ACATAATACTTTTTATACTTTTTTTATATAATTTCTTTTTAAACCTAAGGAAAGTATTAATATATTATTTAAATATATTATTATATAATTTTTTAAAATATTAATTAAAATTAAGTTAATATATTATTAAAATATAATAAGTATATTAAATAAATTAAAGGCATAAACTAGCTATTTAAATAATTTAAACTAGGTTTAAAATGTTATTAAGTATTTTTATTTCTTTATTATTTATATTTAATAAAAGGTTATATAAATATTTAATTTTATAAATCATTAAATGTTAAAAAGAAAGCATAATATTTTCTTAATAAGGAAAAAGGGGTAATAGTTTTATTAAGTTATTTTATTAAAGGCATAATAATTTATATAAAACCGTTATTTTTTATTTACTTTATATATTAAGAAAATTAAGGCCGTTATAAATAAAAAGCTAGCCCTTATTTAACCCTTATTATAAAGTTTTATAACTTATTTTTTATTATGGGCTAGCCTTGGGTTGTTTGCTATAAGGTGTTTAAATAGGGTTTATATTTAAAGTGCAAAGGAAAAGATTTACTCCTTGTTTATATCTACGCTAAAGCCTATTCTTATAAGGCTAAAGCCTATTAACTAATTATAATAAGCAAAGCTTAAACTATAATATATCCTCTTTCTTTAAGTTTTTATAATAAGCCTTAAAAAATAATTATATAATAAAAAATAAAGAATACTATAGTTTAATTATAAATTAAATATTGCTCTTTACTTAGCCATTTAATTATACCTTAATGCCTTTTAACTACGCTAAAGGCCCAGCTTATTATTTATAATTAGCACGCCTTAACCCTTATAATTTAATATATTAATTAAAGCAAGCTAATAAAAGATAATTATTTAAGTATAAGCTAGCGGCTAAATTAATGGCATTCTTATAATTCTTTAATATAAGCCTTTTATATAAGCTTTCTTACTTAAAACCTTAAAACTATAAATTTATTATAATTTGCAATTAATTAGCGCTTAATTATAGGCAATTTACTTTATTAACGGGGATTTCTTAAATTTTAAGCATTTTTATAACGCTAAATTAGCTAATATATAACTAGCCTGCTTTAAATTTAAGCTAGCATTAAGCTAGCAATGCTTTTAAGCTTTACCTTATAAAAAAATTTTACGCCCCTTTAAATAAACTTTTCCCTCTTGCTAGCCTTAATTAATAAAAGCTATACCCTTATTTTTTTATAATAATTAAGGTAATTATGCTTATAATAATTAAGTTAGCTATATGCAAAATATTTAACTTTGCTTATTAAGATTATTATAATATTAATATTTATTGCTTTGCTATTTTAAGATTAAATATTATCTTTCCTTATTATAATGCTAAAAACGCCCTTATATTATTATAAGGCAAAGCAAAAGGCTTTAAATATATTTAACTATTCTTTATAATTAAGTTAAGCATTTACTATAAAAGTTAAGCTATTAACCATAAATAATATTTTATACTTATTTAGCTAATTTTAAGCCTTTATTATATAAGTTAATTAATTAAATTAAGTAAGAAATTCTACTATCCTCTCCTTATAGCACTGCCGCAGGGTGATTAAGCTAAGCCTAGCATACCTTTGCTTAAAAGGGTTCCTAAGCGCAAGGTAAATCTTCTTTAAAAAGCTTTCCAGCTATTTCTTAAATATCTTTATAAAATTAATATAAGGCAGAAATTAATTATGGAAAGTTCTTAGTTAATTAAATATATAAAAGAATTAAGCCCCTTTAGCATTAATTACCTTTTTATTTACTATAAACTTAACCCTTATCTTTATTAATTAAGTTGCTAAGTATTCTTAAAATAAGAGTTTCTTAGGATAAGGAAGGGCTTAATAAGCTATTATTATTCTTTTTAAGTCTTGCTATATTAAGTTTTATATAATTATATTATAAGTTTATAATATAAAAGGACTTTAAATATATATTATAAGCTAGCCTTGGGTTATTTACTATAAAGTGTTTAAATGAGGTTTATATTTAAAGTATAAAGGAAAAGGTTTACTCTCTGTTTATATTCATGCTAAAGCTTATTCTTATAAGGCCAAAGCTTATTAACTAATTACAATAAGCAAAGCCCAAACCGTAACATTTTTATAGCTTAAATAATTAATCTTAAAGTATATTATATAATAAGCTTTATAATAATATTAATGTAAATTTATTCTTTATTAATAATAAATAAATATAATAATTAAATTAATTTTAATATAATAAAAGGGTAAAAGCTTATTTTTTATTAAAAAAATTAATAAAGTTTTATACTTTTTTTAGCAAGAATTTAACTTTGCATTACTTTATATTATTATTATTATTCTTTTAAAAAGCTATAACTTAAAGAATTTAAGTAATCTCACTTAAGCTTATTTTTATTAAAATAATATTTATTATTTTATTATAAGATAAGTAATTTATTTATGCCTTTATAATTACTTTAAAGATTAATTAAGTTAAATTACTTATATTTTGCTAATTTTCTTTTTTTTATAATTATTTCTTAAGCTGCATTAATTATTATATAATTATAAGCTAAGTTTAATAAGATATTACAATAGCATAATTAAAATAAGCTTAGCAAAAGGAAATAAGCTATGCTTAAAACTATATAAGTTAAAATAAAAGCTTATTATATATTAATATTTAAAAAAAGCTATATTATATATATAATATATTAATTTTATAATAAATTAATAATTATTCTTAAGTTTTTTAAAATAAGTAAAGTTATTTACTTTAATCCCGCCTTTTATGCTTATTATTTACTTATAATAATATAATAACTATATTTATTATTTATTTAAGTAATAATAATATACTTATAATTTATAATAATAAAAATTAAAAAAAAAAACTTATTTAATTTATTTTATATTTATTAATATTATTTTTATATAAATTAAGCTTATAAAAAAGGTTTATATTTTTAAATAAAACTTTATTTAAAAATTAATTTTTTTTCTTAAAATTAATAAAATCTTTCTTATAAAGTATAGCTAGCTTTATAACCTAAACCTAAGTTAACATAGCTGCAAAAAAAAATTTATAATTTATTATAAAGTATCTTTATTAATTATAATATAAGCATGCTTTACATTTTTACCAAGCCTTTCTTTTAAACTTAAAATTTAAGGTACCCTAGCTTAGCCGCTAGCTAATTAAAAGAAAAAAACGCCTTGCTACCCTTGCAATCTCTTATTTTTAGCGCCTTAGCTCTTTATTATACTTATTATAGCTATATTTATTATTATTATATCTTAATTTATTGCTTATTATTCTTAAGCTAAGAGCTTTGAAAAGTATAAAAATAAGTTTATATATTATTAATGCTTAAGGTTTTATGCCTTTAATTTATAAATAATTTAATAATATATATTTATTACTTTATTATAATTTATATGCAAAATTAATGCCTTAATAACCTTATTATAAAGCTATAAAAAAATTAATTATAAGAGTAATTTAATTTTATTTTACTTAATTATTTAAAACTTTTAACTTATATTATTAATTATTTAAATTAAATATAAAATTAAGTAAAGTTATTATAATTTTATATTTAAAATATTTTAAGCTTAATTAAAGTAATTATTTATTAATATAAGTTTTTATAGCAATATTTTAAATATTTATAAAATTTATTTATATTAAAGCTATTTTAAGGTTTATTTTATTTATAAAATGCTATAATATATAATTATATTTTAATAAATAATTAATTTTATAAGAAAATTTAATATTTTTAAAAACCTTTAATAAAATTTATATTACTTTATAACTTATATTATATTATAATTTTTTAAGCTAAAAAGGTATTTTAATTATTATTAAATAAGGGCTTAATTAAAAGCAATTTATATTAAATTAAAGGTAAGCTAAGAAAATTTATATATACTTTAAGCTTTATAAATTAATAAAGTATTATTATAAGGAAAAATATAATAATATTATTATTAATATTAATAAATATTATTATAAATAATTAAGAAAGTTAAGGCGCTTTTTAAGTATTTTTATAGCTTAATATTAAAGTAATTTAAGGGATTTTTAATTATATATTTTATAAAAAGATTAATATCTTAAATATAAAGTTATTTATTATTATAATATAAGTATTTTTTTTAAATATAATTTAGAAATTATAATTTAATGTTATAAGTTGGCCTTAAATATTTATTAAAAAGTACTTAAAAAGAGTTATAAATTGTAATATTTAAGAAGTAAATTAAGCCTTAAAAGGGCTTAACTTTAAATTTATCTTTTAAATATATATTTTATTATATAAGAGGGTTGGGTGTAATATAGGCTTGGCATGGGCATGTATTATAACTTGGGCAATAGCTTAAGCTCATTACATTTAAGCATAATATATTATATAATATTACTTATATATTTTTTATGTTTAATTAAATAATAAAGAGAAAAAAATAGCTTTCTTTTTATATATATTTTAAATAAATTAAAGCTAAATTAAGAAAGTTAAAAGAAGTGCATATAAAAAAGGGTTTATAGTGATATGTATTATGCAGGTTATTAGCGCGAAAATAATATGATTGATTGCATGTGAAAGTACTTGGCTAATTTACAACCCGGTGAATTACAAACCTGTCTCTCCCATCTGCTGCGTAATTATACTCATACGTTTTGGGCGAGAATAAAAGCGCGTTCACCACATTCTCAAGTGCCTTCATAGCGAGACATCCGAACTTTTTACATCATTGTCCACATATGTCACAGAATGTTTTGGATTGGTCGTATGACAACCCACTCCACACGTAGATTTTGCAGCGCATGCTGCCAAGACACGGGCCTCCTTACGTCAGCGACCTGTATCTCGAACCTTGAACTTTACTACTGTTGCCCCTCTTCAAGTGCCTCGGGTATCCCCTCGAGTGCCCGAGATTTCCGACAATTTTCTTTTCACATCCCAGAAGCCTAACACACGAGTGTTGTCTACTCACGCTGCTGCAACGATGGACACGACGCTTTCCCACTTTGTTGATTCCTTCAAGGGGACCCAGGGGGCTGCTCTTGCAGTAGCTCTGTCTTTTGGCCTGTTTCTACTGACGGTGTTACAATATGCATCCATGCCGCGGAAGTCAGTCGGGACGAGTCTGCCTCTCAAGATCGAAGCCGTAAGTCTTTGGAGTCCTGACTGGAATAATTTTCCCCAGCAGCATCAGGGGTGCTTGACAATGTGCAACGTGTTGATGATATTCGACAGCTATACTTCTATCCTGTCAAAGGTTTGAGGGGTTGTGAGCTCAAGCAAGGAAAGATTGGCCCCCTAGGCTTTGAATATGACCGAACTTTCTGCCTGCAAAAGGTACACCGCGATCCCGAGACCAACGAGGTCAAACGGCTTGAGACCATGCTCAGCGGCTTCCACCTCCGGATGGTACTGTTCTCGACTCGTCTTGAGGATTCCCCAGATGGTGAAGGAAGAGACATCGTCATCACCTGGACGGGGCCTGAGGACTCAGAGTCAAGCCACAAGAGTGGAAAAGAGATTCGCTTCCCGCTCCAGCCACAATCGAACGCCTTGAAGAAGGTGCACGTCGATCTCTTTAGCGCTACTACCGACGCTTACGATATGGGCGACAGCATCTCAGCATGGTTCAGCGGCTATCTCGGCTTCGAAGCCCGTCTCATTCATCTCGGGCAGAACTCCCGTCCCGTGCTCGGGTCAGGCGCACCACATGGCGAGCAGGCCGTCCGCAAGAGTCTGCCGCCGGTGGCACATGCAATTCACCGCTTTCTCATTCCACCATTCCTCAAGCAGAAATCCGAGCGTATAAGCTTCGCAGACATGGGACAGTACCTGGTCGTCACGTCCGAGTCCAACGCCGAAGTAGGCAGGCGGCTCCGCGAGACGGATCCGTCGGCGGGAGACGTGCAGATGGACATCACCAAGTTCCGGCCAAACGTTATCGTCTCCGGGAGCCCGGCGCCCTTCGACGAGGAGTACTGGGCGGAGCTGCGCTTCCCCGGCGGGACCAAGATGGCGCTGACTGGCAACTGCTTGAGGTGCCAGTCCATCACCGTCGACTACGAGACGGGCAAGCCGGCCGCGGATGTGAGGGGCCAGGCCTGGAAGAAGCTGAGCAAGGATCGGAGGGTTGACAAGGGCTGTAGCTTTATGCCCGTGTTCGGGAGGTATGGATACAGCCCTGCGTCCAACATCGGAAGAGAGATCCGCGTGGGCGACGAGGCTGTACTTACACGTAGGAACCGAGATCGGACCATAACTGGTGAGTCGAGTGCCTTTCTCGAACGGACACACCTGCTACAAAGATACCGACGCTGACATGGACCTGTACATCGCAGATTGGCCACTATCGAAAGCTGTGGCTACCATGTACGAACGGAGCTCAAAATAGTGTTTCTTTTAAACGCCTTTGAAATTCATTTCTTTTAACCGCTCTGAAATTCATTTCTTTTAAACGCCTTTGAAATCCATTTCTTTTAAACGCCTTTGAAATTCATTTCTTTACTCTGAACTACCCATAAAGGGGATACCGGGCAATATCTAGCCCAAAGTATGTGTATTCTAGCCCGGGAGGTGTGACAAATAAAGATTGGCGTTACAGGTGCGACCAACTGTGAACCGTGTCTACCCCCAATTCCACTCTAATGAACTCATCTCCAAATTAACTTTCGATTGAATGTTAGCAGGAGATGTTCAGTGTCCAATGAAGGTGAATTCGGATAATACCAAGAGGGCGATCCTGCAAGACACAGGGCTAAAGACAACGTTATAGGACAAGCAGCCCAGTATTCGAAGATTCGATGAATTAATTTTACAGACATACAGGAAGCCGTGCCGTGTCCCAAGTGACACGACGTTGCAAACTGCGACAAACCTGAAAAGCCGGCGCCGACTTGCATCATCGGCGACCGTATTCGTCCCCCCCCCCTAAACCTCAGCCAGGAATTCAGCAATAACCTCCTGTATCATCTTGACTGTCCAGGACCAGACGTTAGCAATCATCTGAATGCATACTTTCGCTTGAGCCAGGGCCTCGAGAAAACTCACTTCGTCTTGGTAACTCCCATCAGTGTCCGAAGTCGCCGGCCTCGCGTTCGTGGCCGCGGAACGGGGAGGGCCAGCCCTCTCCTTGCCCTTGCGTGTCTTTTTGGCCGAGCCTCGGTGCGCCCCGTGCTCCCTTTGCAGCCTCTCGTTGGCGCCCTTGACTCTATCCTCGGTCATGTCGCCGCTAGGGTCGCTGACTATGGGGTGCAGCAATGTCAGTTTCGGGCCGCCCGGGGCCGGCACTCCTTGGAACGATTCTTACCGCGATATGTGTATTCCATTTGGACGTCTTCAAAGGTATAGATCCTCCTTGAATCATGGCATGGCTGCCCATCGTCGTTGAAGTGGTCCATTGCCACGTTGCCCTGTAGGGGGGGATACAAGAATGGTGCTCGCTGTCCGGGGCCGCACCGCACCACGAAATAGCCAGGGCCGCATTGTTTGTCCTTGAATATGTACTGCTGTCCTTCTACCTCCCAAAAGTCAACGGACTTGGTCACTGGGCCGGCAGGTTGCGGCGCAGTCGAGCGCTTGGCCTTCTTGATCGGCGATTCTGGAGTGAGCGGGGGATCGACCTCCACAACGTCCAGTGACCGTTTGGCGGTCTGCAGCAGATCCAAAGACCCATGATCTGTTTCAGGAGACGCATCCCCCACGGGCGGTTGTTCCTGGGCGTCCTGGTGTCTGGCGCCCTTTGGCCCGGCCGGAGTCACTGGTGTCAGCGGCGCCGCTGGACGCGGCGGAGGGGCCATTGATGATTCCCCACGGCGGTAGGTCGATGGGCGAGGCTCTACATCCATCGTGACGGATCGATTATCATCATCGTCGCAGATCACAAGTGCCTTCTGGACGACGTGGCTGGGGTACTGGTTCACCAGCGGGTCGATCTGGGAGATCAAGTCAAGTGCCCCAGGGAACCTGTCGTCCAAGAATTGGCGGATGATCAGCTCTGCTGTGTCATCTCTTTCGAACCTGGCCAAGACGCTGAGCATTCCGGCATGGGCCAAGGAGAAGCCTTTCATTCCTTCTTTGATCATGTTCCAGTGTCTGCTCATCTCCTCATCGAGGATCGGGTTCCACACACTCCTGACCTTTTCGATCTCACGGAATTCTGCGTATGCTTTTGGAAGCTTTTTGATGATGGAATCGCTGATAGACGTCATGATGGCTGCTGGCAAGGTCTTCGGATGATGGTATATGTCTCCAGGGGTGAATGTGGACCTGTAGATGACAACGGGGTCAATCCCATTTGGCCAGGACATGTGAAGATGAAGCTGATGACAAGATGTCTTTTACTTCAAGACGAATTTGTTAGATGAAGTGGAAGCATACGGACCGATGTTGACTGTTAGACTCAGACAGGGGAGGCACGTGTACAGATACAGGTGTAGACACAGGTGTATAGTATATATGATGATGGCAACCCGATAATCACTGACATCGGGAAGAATGGGATAACAGCAAACGGAGGCTCACGGAGGGTATGTGTACTATTTGTGCGAGACTACTTAGACTAAACAATGTGTGTCTAGGCGCCAGACCGCTGACGGCCTCAAGGCAAACGCTCCCCTCATAGGTCTGCTCCCCTATCAAACTCATGCGCGAGCAAACCAACAGGACAACCACGACCATTCAGAATCTGCCTCACGAGGCTGGCAACATCGGATTATCCACCCAGTGAAAAGTCATCCAGGCCGTGGAGGGAGGGAACCAACCGTGCCGCAGTCGAGAAGGCTGCAGATCGGGCCCTGCAGGTGCTGCTCGCTTAAGCATCCCGCTTGCGGCTGGGGGGTTGGCTGGAGAGGTCGAGCCGCTGCGGCCCCAGGCAGCAGCCGCGGAGAAACGGCATTGGTGACGTTTGTGGAAATATATCCAGCCAACAGTCCCCCCTCTATGTTTGAGCAAAGCGCCTTGCCTCAGGTGGTTCAAGCTGAAGATGCACTACCCATACAGGCTGTGCCAGGCAATCGTAGCGTAGGCAATGCTTGTCAATTCTGCTCATGTCAGAATTATTTTCAGCTCGTTGGGGAGTTCAGCGTGTGCACTCCAGTGGAGATAGAGTGGCACTGCCTTATACATCGGTCCTGGGAGGATACGTGGAAGTATATACTGACACAGGATTTTGGATGACCTGAATGGCCCGATGCAGAGCTGATGCAAAGCACTAAGTTCGAGTAACATGGTCAGAAGGTTCAAATTCTTCTGTATTTCAGCGCTTTGCCGTGCTAGGTATCATAAAGCAGGCAAGCAGCTACGACAACAGACCGCTGTTGACTGCTTCTGTGCAGCCGATATGGAAATGGGTAACAAACAAGTGCAATCAAGACCTTTAAACCATGAGTCAAACGCTGAAATCCAGATAATGAAGGAAGCCAACCATGAAACCGTTGCCTGACCAACCCCGACCAACCTGACAATGCCTTTGCCAACGCCAATTGTTGTCCCTTGATGTCCAAAAATTAGTGTACTTCTCTCGCGTAAAACAGGATGGCGCCCGTCTATCGCCGTCTCTTCTTTGTGCATGAAAGCCATACGATCTTGCCTATGCCCAACAAAGCCGCATCATGTCATCACCAAGACTTGGTCTTGTGCGTCAAGCTCAGCAGTTACAATCAACTCCGTAAACCAATCAAGGTCCTCGCGACTGATGATGGACTTGAGCGTTACCAGGCTCTCACCTCTACGAGGTGGAAGCCCTGGCTTCCGCCATAGCGGCCTTTGCAGCCTGTGCCTCAACCTTCTCGGATACGGTCTCCCACCATGAAGCATGTGATTCTCGGTCAACAGCCCCAACCTTGGACATCTCATCGACCATGTCTCTGACACGATCCACAAATTCAACCATGCCAGAGCTCGCCAGCTTCTCACCTGCGATGCTCGTGGCCTTGGCCTTCTCACTCGTGCTGCCCGCCGCGATGCGCCCTAGGATGTGGTCTCGCAATCGTTTGAGCAGTAGCCGCAGGACTGGCTGGCTGGGGTCATGGGCGTTCGGGTCCCAGGTCTCACTGGGATCTGGTTGCTGGGTATTTGCAAGCTCGATATGCGCAGCGACAAGTTTCTCGACGAAGCCACGCAGATGGCTCTTGGTCGTCGACGGCATCGACCTCCCGGCCTCAAGAGCTGCCATGATGCCGGCGACAGCCGCCTCTTGGGACTCGGCATGGTCAAGCACGTTCATGATGCGCGCTGCCTCCATCCGCCACGGCGCGCGGACGTCGCGTTTGAGAAGGTTCTTGCACTGCAGGAGAATCCCGCCTGTGGTGACCATGTTGCGTGTGAGGTGGCCATACTTGCGTATGCGCTTGTAGTCGAGCTGCAGCATCTCTGGGATTTGACCGTAGCGCATGGTGCTGGGCTGTGTGAAGATGTCAACCAACATGTGAGCGTAAATCTTCTCGGCCGTAGGCCGGTTCTTCGGGTGGTTGATGTTCTCGGGATCACGGCGAGCTGTCTCGGCCATGACCTTGCTCCTCGCCGCCCTCCAAGCTGTCTCGGCCGCGAATAAGCCGTGCTCGCCTTGCTCGATTGCGGTAGAAAACGCTTTGGCCTCGTAATCGGGTGCGTGCTCCAAGAGTTGGGGACCGACAAGTTGCAAAAGGTGGTTGGCGTAGTCACTCAGCATGACATCGATGAAAAGGATCAACGCTTCAAGACGGTCAACATAGCTGCCTTGGCTGAGCTTGTTCTCAACCAGGTCTTTCACCTGGTCGTCACGAACAGGGGCGCACAGTTTTGGCATGAGCGACCCCATGGACGAAAAGAAGCGTTCGTACGAGAAGGATCCATTTCGGAATCGTTCCTTGAATTCGTCGATGTCCAACAGTTCGCCAATAAAGTTGTGCATGGAGTTCCCAGGCTTGAGGAGCCGTTGTAACTTCTCGCGAATGTGCTGGGCGATCCTGAGGAGAAGCTTGAACTGCACGTGACGTGAATGCTCATCTGTCGCGTGAATCGTGGCTCTCATCTGTCCGAGAATTGGTTGAAGCGCCTTTGTTTCAGCCTCCACGAAATCGTCCGCGACCACACGATACTCTTTGTTTATGGCAAGTTCGTGGACGACGGTCCGATTGTCTGGCAGAAGCATACCTTTCTTGATGGGTTTCGGGCCTTGTGGTCTGCTTGCAGGAGTCGACGGCGGGGTGGGGTAGACGCCCGAGGCATCGCTCCTTGGGCTGGAAGGGTGGCTTTTGGCGGTGCCCAGGTCAGCCATTGCCGACTCGGTGCTGATGGTCTGCTCAGCGACTCGCGGTTTTAGGTCGGCCTTTTGTTTCTTCTTGTTGGCAGCTCTTGCCTTCTTCGCCCTTAACCTGGCGTCTTTGATGACTTGAAGCCCGCGCTCCCTGCCTATCAGCCGACTGATTCGAGAGATGAGCATGAGCTGATTTGTCTTCATGCTCTCTTGGTATTGCTGCACCACGGACAGATCGCTCGTTTCCTTGACATGGTCCAGAGTAGCGTCGAGTTCAACTAATTGCCCCAACATCCCGTCAACCAAGGCATTCTTATCCCGGGCCTTCCAGTTGAAGAAAGCACACTCGAATTGGGAATAGACTTGAGGGAGGATTTGGGCCAGACCCGGCGGGATGGTGTAGTTATTGAAGCTAGTCAGCCGTGACATGATGTTCTCGAAGGAGATGAGCAAGTCCCGTGACCTCGCCACGAGCTCTTGACACTGAGGATCGGTCAGATTGTCTCGGGGAATGGGATGCGCCGGTGAGCCCTGGTCTGGAGGCATAATGTCGTAGGTGTTGCTAAGGACCTGAGCAGGATGACCCAAAATGAGGTATGCGCTCAAGAAGCAGCGGACTGCCTTCATTTGCTCGACTGAGTCCAGTCCGCCGTTTTGCAAGCCACACATGGCAAGGACACGAGCCGTGATCATAACCACCCTTAGTTGCCCAAGCTTCTCGGTGACCTCGTCATAGCCGGTCGTCTTGACGCCTTCAACAGTCAAGGCCAGCCGGGCAAACTCTTGAACCACCTTCCTCTTGGCCATGACGCGCCACCAGCTTTGTATCCTCCATGCGGCAGCGTCTCGGGTCAGCGGTCTCGACTCTGTTTCCTTGACCTCTTTGACGACAGACAAAGATTCGTCGGACTTCCTCGTGCTCACACTGGAGCCCCTAGCCCGGACATTCTGTCTTCGGAGTTCTTCGCGGCGCCTCTCAGCCTCGGCCTGACGCTCTTGCATCTGTTGGCGCATCTTGAGGGTCTCCTGCTCACGCTTCTCTCTGGTGGCCTCGGCGACGGCCTTGGCCCTCTTCACTTCCTCGGCGCATGTGGCGGCAATCTCTTTTAGGTTGCGCTCGCGAGCCAGGCGAGCAGCCTCTGCCCTCTCTTCGGAGATGACTATGACTCGGTCTTTGGCCCTGGCAGCGCGCAGGCGCACTTTCTCGACGTGGGCGGCACGGTCAGCAAGACGCTTTTGCCGATCCTTGAGAATAGCATCTCTGCGCTGGTGATTGGCGACATGTTTGCTTTGCGGACCGGCTGCGGCGCCGTGGGAGTTGGAGAGAGAGTGCAAGGAGGATAATGAGTTTCGGCGAGTGGAGGCGGCCGAGTCTTTTCGTCGTGACTGGGACGGGCGGTAGAAACGTGCTGCGAGGTGGGGAGGGGGTGTATAGACACGAGAGCGTGTGCCGTCTACTTGCAGGTCCAGGGCGTAGAGGAAGTCGTCTTCGAGAGGGAGCAATGAGACGTCAACGTCGACGTCTACGTCTACGTCGGCATCGACGTCGACGTCGGCTGTTTCTGACATTGGGGTACCCATGGATTCTTCAAGATTGCGCGAGGGCTCGGAGAGGTCTAGGGATGGCCGCCGCATTGCGTGGATCGCAGGATGTGAAGAATGACGCTCTGTATCGGACCCGGTCGCTGATCGCATTCAATTATAGGTACTATTGAATCTTTCGTGAGGGAGGGGTATGCGGTGTTCGTATGAAGAAGGTCGGAGTCTGCGGTATCCCAGGTCGAGGGCGTCGGTGTCCGGGCGATTAGGAAGTGATATCGATACGCGTGAGAAGGGCCCCGGACAGCCGTCAAAGAGGACGTGTGTGACGGTACAGTCGCGGGAGAGATCCCTTTGTTGTGACGACTAAGAGCAGGGGGAGGCGAGGAGGACTAGGTCTAGGAGGAGGAGAAGGGGGAGTGATGCCGTTGGTAAGCAAGCTGGGCGCAGCTGGGCAGAGTGTCTAGCCGAGTTTGGTCGAGGTGATTGGTGGTGGAGCTGACGAGTTGGGGACGAGGTGAGAGAGGGAAGCAGCGGAGCAGGAGTGAGGAGGTGGAGTGCGGGTTCGGACTGGGCCCAGGCTGGGCTGGGCTGGGCAGGGTGAGGGAGGGTTGGCGTCAAGGTTGGTCGAGGTTGGCGACCTTGGGACTGTGGTCTTGTGGGCGTGGGCCTTGGCCGCTTGGCGTCAAACAGGTGGCGCGGGAGGTCAAAACAAGCGAAGGATGAAACCCACGGCTGAAGTCAGTCGTGCTTGGCGGAGACACGACAAAACCTTGTTGGAAAGAAGAGACCGAGCAGGCAGTGTCGGAGTAATACACGGTAGAGGGAGGAATGCTGTTGGCCCGCCGGCACTACTACCTGCGACCCGCTACCCAGCAGGTGGTAGACTAGGTATCTACAGAGGGAGGCGGGAGGGGCAACGTAGGGATGGGCAAGGTCGTGTCTGTAGTCTGTAGTGTAGGACGTTGCTGAGGCGGATCTTGTTAGGGATGATAAATTGATGTTGAATGTTTTAATGTGGTGCTACATACAGCAGTCTGGGGGCGATGGCCGAGATGCCCACGAGATGGGAGCAAACAGTCGCTCATTGCTGACTGATTGCTGGTGAGTGGGCGGATGGACGGGGAAAGAAGGCTGGGGAAGGTTTGCTGTGCACGCTTCCCGCGCCCTCCAGCACGCCCAGCCCGCCCAGCCAGAGCAATGACGGAAGCGGCCAAGCGGATTGTGAGTATCTCGGGAAGCAACGCCACTGGGTCCCGTCAGTTCCTGCCCGCCTTTCTTCAATCTCTCATCCTCTGCCGGCCGGTACGTACCCAGGCACGTATCCCCACTGCTGTTGTTTGCGCGCATCCAGATCAGGCATCTCACGTTATTCATTCCCTGCAGATCCCACTGCCCGCCCTTCAGAAACCTGGTCCGCAGTACATAGTACAGCACCTTGTATACTCGGTCGTCGAGATCCCCAGCCCTATCAACAATAGTCTACCTATTGACGTCTGTGACTACCCACCTAGTAGTACCGAGCAAGTAGTACTTGTCCTCCATTCCTCATGCTCAGGTCCAACGCGAGCTGCTAATAAGCTTAAAGATCTCTGTGTCCCCGCCTGCCGTGACCCGGACACGGCCGAGGGCGACGCATAATCTTCGGGATCGCAAGTGTCCCGAGGTGTGCGGCCCCTAGTAATTGCCATGGACGTTCTTACAGAGTATCCAAGTACTCATGCACATGATATGTGTGCACGTAGTATACATCTGTACGTATGCGTGCGTGCGTGGGAACACGGCAGCCTGCTGTGACATGTCCAAAGAACAGCATGCCATGACTATCACCTTGGCACGCCACCGCTTCCTGGCCAAGAGGAAGCCAAAGTCCGCACGAACGAGTGGCAGCGAGCCAAGGCGATTTAATCTGAGCTAAACCCCGTATTGTAGCCTGCTTGCTATGCATCCACGCGCCCTCACCACGTACGCGTGCAGCTAGTTATTCCCGGCTGAGCCGCTCCAAGAGCCCATCGAGTCAGTCCCGATCGACATCCTTTGCACCTCGCGATTGGATCTGGCTCTCAGTCCGGCTCGCATGCATTTACTGTGTCTAATGCAGTCCACCACAGAGCAAGAGAGGTTGTGTGTTCGGCCAGACAGAAGATCGGCCGACGTTTGATCACCCTTTCTTACTTCGACCTCGGCGAAAGGACGACTGAGACTCAGCCTCGAGGGGGGGATCGCCCACCCGCCAAGACGTGACAACGAACCTCACCCGCTACCGCTGCTCCCAGCCAAGGTCGTCCCATCTCCGTGCCACGCCGTGGATGATTCTGGCCATGGCCTGGCACGGCGGCATGGCATTGCGAGATGAGACCTGACGAGCGATGAGCCTTGAGGCTCATCTGGTCAAGGAGCATAGAAGGCTGCCGAGCCGAGCGACTAAGATCTCGGCCCCTCCTGCCACGGGCTCATGCAGACTAAGCTTTTCATGTTGTCAGTTGCTCGTTTGTTACTGTCGTCATCGATTAGAGCCCTGTTGTGCTTAATCCAGGAGAGACTAATCACAGTCTTGTAATACGTGTAAAGCAACGTTCGTGCCCAGACTGGTGTTCGGTCAATCGGCACCAGCTGCATAGACACAGACACGGACACGGATTGTAGATGTCGGGAGCAGTACTGATATTTAGACCTTGTAGAGAGCGAGATTGCTGATCGGCACCGAGGTCGGCTGGTCGGCGCTGGTCGGTGAAATGCCGAGCGTTCCTGCATTCGCAGCTCGGTCGGTTCTGGTGGGGGCTGCAGTGAGCGCGCAGGTTGTCGTTTCACGGCCGAGAAGGCTTGGGGTTAACTCGCATGATCAAGTCTGTCCCTGATCAGATTATCTAGACTATCCACCTAACTCTGCTGTGCCTCTCTACTGCAGGTGTATGTATGTACTACTGTAGTGCCTATACTCCTTGTACAGCCCTCCACGCCAACAGACAATCGGACAGAGTACATCCGAGTAGGTATCTTGCTCTACCAACCCTGCCCACTGCATAGTACCATAGTCGTCTGCAAGGTGCTGTTTTTCATCTCGTGCCTTGCTACCCAAAATACACCCGGACAGGAGCCATGGACGGCCAGTAGGCTGGGGCTCAAGCTGCTGGAATAGGCAGGTGGACACGCCTGCGCCCACTACTCGCTGCTCAACTCGGTTTGTGTCGGGCAGTTGCTGCATCTGTCTACTTGTATAGACTGCACACAGCACGTGCCTTTGAGCAGCAGCGGCACGATGAAGGCACAATCTGTGTCTTCGGGTCTCCGCCTGCTAGCGGTGGCAACCTCACCGCGCGCCTGCTCGTCAGCAGGCACAGTCTTCCCAGCTACATCTATCAGGTCTTTCCGCGCCTCTTCTGCTTCTTCTGAGACATGGTCACCTGCGTCTGTCCTAACCAGCCATTGCTATTCGCACCCTGCCGACAACCCCAAGTCCAGGAGCGGGATCATAACCAGGAATAAGAGCAGCACCGGCTCAGCTTTCCTGCCATCCTGCCCAGGTGCTCCAGCCGGGATCAGACTTTTCCACAACCTCAACAGCACTGCTTCCACACTGTCTTGGCACCATCCGGGTCGCTCTGGCCTAACAAAACAGCTTCCTGGCCCTGCGCATCCCCTCGCTACAGCTTCCTGGTCTCGCCCACTGAGAGCCCCACATTTCACCGCAACATCGACGCGGGGTCACGCAACCTGTGCTCTGGCCGCAGAGGATCATCTCGGGAGCATCTCGACAACCCACAACACCACCAGCACCTTCGATATGGGCGACAGAGACCTCCTACCCGACAGCTTCAAGGCTGCTCACTACGACCTGAAGCTGACCAACCTCGACTTCAAGGACTGGTCGTACAATGGCTCCGTGACGTATGCCATCCTGCCCCTCATTGCTTGCTCGCCCATGAGCTGTGCGCTGGTGCCCCAGCTAATCTTCTCCCAACAGCATCGCCGGAAATATCACCAAACCCACCAATGAGATCGTCATCAACGCTCTCGAGCTGAACCTCAGGAATGTCAAGGTCTCTGCCGAGTCTGGCAAGGCAAGCACCTCATGGAGCTCCTCAAAGATCTCCTACGACACCCGAGCGCAGCGGGCCACCATCTCCTTTGATGCTGAGCTGCCCATCGCCAAGGCCACCCTCACCATCGACTTTGACGGCGTGATCAACCATGACATGGCTGGTTTCTATCGATCCCAGTACAAACCTGTGGTCCCAGCTGCCGCCTCCGTTCCCCGTGATGATGAGTTCCACTATATGACCAGCACCCAGTTCGAGAGTACCGATGCCCGCCGCGCTTTTCCCTGCTTCGATGAGCCGAACCTCAAGGCCACCTTCGACTTCGCCATTGAGATCCCCACTGACCAGGTTGCCCTGAGTAACATGCCCGTCAAGGATACCCAGCCGACTACGGAGGGCAAGCAGCTTGTGTCCTTCGAGAGAACGCCGGTCATGTCCACGTACCTGCTCTGCTGGGCAGTTGGTGATTTCGAGTACGTAGAGGCCTTCACAGAGCGCAGATACAACGGGAAGCAACTCCCTGTGCGCGTCTACACCACTCGCGGCCTGAAGGAGCAAGGCAATTGGGCGCTGCAACACGCCCCCAAGATCATCGACTTTTTCTCTGAGCAATTCGACATTGACTACCCTCTTCCCAAGAGTGACATCCTGGCTGTCCACGAGTTCACGCATGGCGCAATGGAGAATTGGGGTTTGGTAACGTACAGGATGACAGCTATCTTGTTCGATGAAGAGAAATCCGAAGCCCGCTTCCGGAACCGCATTGCCTATGTTGTTGCTCATGAGCTCGCACACCAGTGGTTCGGTAACCTCGTCACCATGGACTGGTGGGACGAGCTTTGGCTCAATGAAGGATTTGCGACGTGGGCGGGCTGGTTGGCCACCGACCACCTCCACCCTGACTGGGAGGTCTGGCCACAATTCATCAACGAGGGCTTTGAGACGGCACTAAAATTGGATGCTCTCCGCTCTTCACACCCCATCCAGGTTCCTGTCCGCGATGCTCTTGAGATCAACCAAGTCTTTGATGCTATTAGCTATCTGAAAGGTTGTTCTGTCATCCGCATGCTGGCCAATCACCTTGGCGTCAAGACTTTCCTGAAGGGAGTCTCCATCTATCTGAAGAAGCACACTTACGGCAATGCCAAGACCGTGGCCCTGTGGGAAGCCTTAAGTGAAGCTTCCGGCAAAGATGTTCCGGCCCTGATGAAGCCGTGGATCGAGAAGATCGGCTTCCCCGTCTTGACTCTGGCCGAGGAACCTGGTCAGGTCACCGTCAAGCAGTCACGCTTCCTCTCAACCGGCGACGTCAAACCCGAGGAGGACTCGACAACCTGGTGGGCTCCCCTAGCCTTCGAGGGCAAGGTCGGTGCTGAGGGGGTTCAAGCTCTCGCTCTGACCGCCAAGGAGGACACTATCCGTGACGTTGACGATGACTTCTTCGTCCTCAACAAGAACGCGCCAGGCTTCTACCGGGTGAACTACCCACCGCAAAGATTGCAGAAGCTTGGGACACAACTGGACCGCCTTAGCACGGAAGACAAGATCTTCATCACTGGCTCGGCCGCTGATCTGGCCTTCTCCGGCTATGGCACGACCCCCGCCTTGCTGTCCTTCATTCAGGGCTTCAAGGACGAGACCCACTATCGTGTTCTGAGCCAGGCTCTGGACTCAATTAACGTGGTCAAATCCATCTTTGGTGACGATGACACCATAAAGCAGGGCCTGGAGAAGTTCACACTTCGTCTGATCGACAATGCCTTGAAGAAGGTAGGCTGGGATATTCCTGCTGGCGAGGACTTCAACACCAGCCTGCTGCGAAAGCGCTTGCTTCTTGCAGCCGGGACCAATGGACACCCTGGGTAAGTGGACCTGACCTGGGAGTTATTCCTAATGGATATAATTTCGGGGTACTGACCGCGTATAGTGTGACTGAGGAGGCCCTGAAACGGTTCTCGGCGCACTCGGCCTCTCCCAAGGACAACCCGTTGCACGCCGACCTTCGCAGTCCAATCTACCGTGTTGCCTTGAAGTCTGATCCTGCCGGTACAACCGCTTTCCTGAAGGATCAATGGTACACCACGGATGCCGTCGATGGCAAGGAGGTGTGCCTCACTGTCCTCGGCAATTGCACCGACGAATCCATCATCACTTCAACTCTCATCCCATTTGTGTTCAATCTCTCACCACCAGCACCAGCCTCTGACTCTGTGCCCGCTGGAGACGCGCATTACCTCTCGAGCACACTGGCCGCGAATCGTGTGGCTCGCCCGCTCCTGTGGCAATTTGTCAAGGACAACTGGGCCCAAGTGGAAAAGAAGCTTGGTGGCAACCCTATCATCCTGGATCGCTTCGTCAACGTCACTCTGAGCAAATTTACGACCTTCAAGGATGTCGATGACATCGATGCGTTCTTCAAGGACAAGGACCGCACCGCTTTCGATCGCACCCTCGAGACGGCCAAGGATAAGGTCCGTGGACGAGCTGCGTACAGGGAGAGAGATGCAGATGTGCTGAAGGAGTGGTTGAGCGCCAACGGGTATACCTCATAAGCAATCGGGACCTATGTGTTTTGAGAATCGGGGTGGCAAGGACAAAAGTTTGTGGAATTACCATGCCAGCCTGGTCTGGATTGAATTTGACTAGGTATTCAAACGATCTATAGACCGTGGTCCTCTTTTTTGGTGCCATGCAGATGACCGTCGCATCGAAGGACCATAGAGTTGTCCTCCCCATTAAGCTGCTCGTCCTCAGCGACCAGCACTCTCACCCCCTGAAACTTGGCCCTTTCTTTTGTAACTTCCCCGTTATCATCACCCATCCAATTCCCCTGTTGCATCTTGATGACCTCCGCAAACATCTCAGCAAAAACAAACCCTGGGTGCTCTCCATCCCACCCCAACCTTTCCAGGTCGAAAACCTCCCTCCAGACTTTGCCCACACCTTGAATCACATCCGGTCTCCTCATCTTCTCCTTCTGCCACGTCTCTCCGTTGCGAAGGGCTCGGTAAAGACCCTCATCTCTCCTCTCCATTAGATCCTTCGCCTTTAAGGAGGGGGGTTGAGAGTCGCAACGTCCCGCGCAGTAGTCGACCAGGTACAGCACCTCGAGGTCATGCTGCATCGTGCAGGCCAGGAACGCGATGTCCTGCATGATCAAGCTGCCGTCATCGTTGCCCCCAGCCTCCTCCTCATCGGGCCCCTCCTCCAACACCTCCACCTCGGCTTCGCCAGCCTGTTGCTGCTCCTCATCGTCCTCTGCCCCGTCCCCTCCCTGTTGCTCGCCGCCGTCGGCCACCCCGCGCGCCCACAGGTCCGGCCACAGCTGCGACACGTCGATGGCCACCCTCCTGGCTCGGTGCAGCGCGCCCGCAAGCTCTTGCGACCAGATGCTCTCGAAGATGGCGCTGACGGGGCTCGTGAGGCGCCCGCCGTCCGGGAAGCGGAAGGCCGGGGGCTTGAAGCGCAGGTACAGCACGTCCTGCGTGTTGTCGTATGTGATGCTCGCGCAGCCGCGGGCCGTGCTCGGCGCCCCGAGGTAGATTGTGTTTGTGTCCCCGCTGCTGCTGCTGCTGCTGCTGCTGCTGCCGCCGCCGCCACTGCGGGCTGTGGGCATGGACCTCCGTACTGTGGCTGCCGCGTCGATGCATGTTGCTGCGAGGCCCGCGCGGAACTTGTACATTGACGGGTCGGAGCGGAAGCGGGCTCCCTGCGTGGACACCTCAGTCCCTGGGGACGCGGCATCCTCCGTGGTGGTCGTGGCGAGTGGAGATAGGTAGAGAGTGTCGGTGGCCTCGTCGAGGTATATTGCTTCTCTTTTGGAAAGGGAACGATCTGTCTCTTCGTTGTTTTCCATGTGGCTGTCGGAAGTTGGTGAGGCTATTGTCGTCACCGTAGACTCAGACACACACGGCGGGACGCATACGTCAAAGAGGTGCATCGCCGGCTGGGTGGCTATCGTCGACTCCCATATCTGGAGCTGAATCTCAGGTGGTAACTCCGGAAATTTCGTAAAGGCCATGAGAGAAGTCATCTTGTCTTGGTCGATAGTAATAATCTTTGCTGTGATTAACGTCTTCAAAGTTGCTCGGTTGCTGTTCACGGCTGGTACTCAAATGGAGCACCTCATGCCAGACGCTGACACGGTTTCTCTAAATTTCATGCGAGAGCTTAAAGCTGAGCCCGGACCACGCGAGGCAAGATCTAGTATAAGTATCATATCGAGAAGAGCGTTCCCCAGACAGATGCAGCTTGAAGCATACCCAGGCTTCCGACACAACAAGAGACACCATCCCAGGCCTAGGGGTCGGGTGGAAGATCATGTAAACAAAGTTATTGGGTGACAGAGTTCAATTGAACAGTGTCAGCCGGGCCATCAAATGGGACACGTCCAGCAATTGGGGCCGAAACAAGTAACGAGGGCCGGATGGCGGCCGCGCCTGTGTCGGCCACCATGATACTCGTTATTGATAGGTCAGCACAGATTTGGCCGATTTGATCTTCGCCTCATAACTTCGAAATACGAGCCTTGGGTTTCCAATAGTCATTCTTGTTTCGAAATATTAATGATTCTGGCTGTGTTGCGGCCACTGATGAACTGGGTAAAATGTTCGGGAGTGGAAGGAACATGCGTTCATTTTCCATTTGAGAAGAGTCAGCACCTTGAAATGCTCAACGGGATCGGGATCTGGACTTGGCAGAGGTCGACCAAGACATGGATCAAATTTAGGCAAGCAATCTTTGCACGAGATGTAGAAAGCTTAAAAAGAGTCAGAGTTGTTCTCAACATGAATTGATGTATCAGTTCTATCTGGATGCCTCCATCGGGCCAAGAGACACGGACAGGTTCAGATATGCGCCGAGAGGTATTGTACCAGGAGGGAAACGTGGTTACATTGAGATTCTGCTAGATCTATATCATGACTTGTACTTCCATCGCTTCGAGTCACAATGCTTTGTAAGGATGATTTGTTTGAAGGCGAACATAGACAACACTTGTTCCACAACCTCTGCGCAGGCGTCACACAGCTCGCCGATTCAGTCATACATGTGTAAATATGCGTGACTAACATACTCAGCACGGAAATGCTTCTAGAAACCCTCGTGCTGTTCTGCAACATCTTTTTTCTCGTGGTTATCAGGTTATCCTCACCCTTCTCACACTCACGGTCGGCTGACGGGGTGCAGATTTAAGACCCCTGCTCCCATCCTGCAGGGACTCCCTGTGACGTCAGTCCACACTGGCTTACTCAACTGTCACTCGCGGATTTGTTAAGGGTCGTCATCCGCGCGATCGAACTCCCAGGCCCAGGCGTGTCTTTATTTTGATCATATATCGACAAATTGCGGTACCTGGGACCCTGGCCATATCTTTTACTAGCTGGATATCCTCTGTGCCACAGCAACAATAAACTTGAATTCCGAATACTTTGTTCCACCACGGTACGTTGTGCCCACCCAGCGCCAACTTGAACAGATCTGGACAGTCACACACAGACACGCCCGCCAGCAAGACATGCCAGCAGGGCATTCCAACTCCATCTTCGAGAGCAACCGCAGAGCAGCCAGAGATGGCGAGGCCCTATTATGGGGCGCGCTTTGCGACGAGCCCGGCACCGTCGCGAACTACTTGGAGAAGGACTGTGTCGTGATGAATCCCCTGCTCCACCCGGACAAGTCCTTCGAAGCACTTACGGCAGAGTCAGACCCGTCGCTGTCCGACGCCCTGGAGAAGCTGGCCTCCTCCAAGCACCGGTGGACCAGCTATGTGATGCACAGGCACGACCCCACGCCCGCCACCGCGAACGTCGAGATGTTTGCGGTACAGATCATGTACAGAATGACGCTTGTCCGGGAGACGACCCATCGCCATCACCACCGGCACGGCAAGACGGAGGGGGAGAAGAGCAAACCCGACCTGCAGAAGGTCGACGCGTTTTGCACGAGCACTTGGAGACAGGGCTCCAGCGGAGGCTGGAAACTTTGCTCACAGCAGTTGATACCCGTGTAGGCTGCAGGAGTGATTCGATGTGTCTGATGGCGACAGCTGTGGCGACCTCGCTTTTTCAAGTCTTTTTTCATATATGCTTATATTTAATTACTTCAGTTACATCGATACAAGCGAAACGAATAACGATCAACTCTTAAACGTGGCAAAGATTCAATTTGTAATTATTGCCGCAGACGACGAACACATCCTAATAATATGTCGGGGACCAGAGTCTACTGAGTGGCGCTGTGATTCAGACCGAATTTAACATCTATCGAGCATCCTGTCCTCAGCCTGAGCTTTCCTTATCTTTGTCTCGAGTCTAGCTATGGATTCTCGACGGTTGACTTGCAGATGCGGAGGAAGACCGCGTAGAAATAGTGTCATAAGATCCACCGTCTTACAATTCAACCTTGGTTCCATCACCTGGATCCACCTCTGAACCGACAGGTGAGCTCGTTTTCTCTTTGATGTAGTTGAAGTCAACATAACCTGAAGCAAGAACAAACTGCTTTACAGGGCTGTCATCGGGGTAGCTACAACACCATAGAATTAGCAAGCCTGGGCGACATTCCATTGCCAAGGCTCCAACAAAAAGTCGAACTCACCTCAGAAGCATCTTAGCAAGCACACGCTCTCCCAACAAGGTTGCCGCCACCATCCCGACGATGACGGGCACGCCAGCAGGGACCCCGGCCTCCCACACAGCCAGGCTCGCAGACATGACCATCGTGAGCTCAAACTTTGTAGCAAAGTTCTTCATCTGCCCCAGGCGCGGGTCCATGACAGGCAACGCCTTCTCGGTCAGCCGGAACCAGGCGAACCAGTTGAGGAACTTGACGCTGGCCCTGAAGAGCCCGGCATCTCTGCCCCCAAACCAGGACGCCGCGAAGACGACCGCGTGCATCAGGACCGCCGCCTGGAAGCCCGACCGGATGACCGCGGTCGAGTACGGGCTCCTGGACCGGCGCAGCTCGAGGAGGAACGAGCTGACGTTGAACAGCGCGAAGAGGGTGAGGTCGGTGGTGTCCGGCTTGGGCCACACGCGCAGCGCGGCGTAGCGGGCGTGGTAGCGGAGGACGTAGAGCGGGCCGGCGAAGATGTGCGCGAGCATGGGGAGGTAAGGGTAGCCCCTCGCGCGGGTGAGTTTGGCGGAAGAGTACGAGAATGTCTGGACGAGGAAGGGCGAGTACATGACGAGCACGAAGAGCGTCTCGAGCTCGGGCCGGTACCGTGAGAGCACGGAGTAGGCTGATTGTGCCAGCCAGTGCATCTGGAGGCCCAGTGGGCCGGAGATAGGGCCGGACGGTATTGTGGTTGAGTTCATTGCGGAGGGGCTACTGACACGCCTTGTTGCTTTTTTGCGAGTGACTTCACAGGAGTACTCCGGGTAAGTCAGAAGATGTCTTTCCTTGAGCTTCTTGAAGTGGGGTGTGGACAACACTTTAATAAGTCAACCAAATTCCTTCCAACTGTTATTTGAACATACCGCTCGACTCATCGGCGCCTGTTCCGGCTCTGCCGTTTCACGGTGTCCATATTAGGGCTGACAGCTAAAGTGCAGGAGCCACGCTACCACCCTAGGCACGGTTTATTTTGTTTTAGCATCCAACAGATCCCCAAGCTTCCTGCATTGTCTATTCGGGGAATAGATCGAGCATTAGCTGAAAACGCCTGCACCAACATGAGCTTGCGGGGATCAAACGCTCCATCAGTACCCAACGAGTGATCTACGAAAGGGATGACCAGGCAGCCAGGAGACTGATCCCAGACTCGAGCGAGGCACGGAAGAGTGACTAGTGATATCACGGCCCAAAATCCTCCTGAAGGCATGGATGTGGCATCTGGGATATCAAGCCTCCAAAAGCACAGTCCCGGCGCCTTGACCATGACCTACTGCAGACTACAGCCTGCAGCTGACGCGGACCATGTTCAAAGATATGGAATCAACGTGCTTTTTTTGATGGGCACACGATATCTGCTTGATCGTGGCTTGCGATCTGCTGTCCCCTTGTGACACGTTGTGGTGATACACGAGATTGGAAAAGCAAGCAGCCCATGGCGCTTCGAGATTGAAATGAAGCCATTATTGCGCCCCTTAATAGGCCAGATCCATCCGACGTTGCATTTCCCCGGCAACTAGCGGCCGCCATGGTCACAACGTGGCAATGGCGCCGAGGATCCGCGATGTTTCCTCAGTCTGACGAGGACCGCTGCGACGCGTCAGACCTGTCCACGGCGCCTTTGTGCCGCCTGTTGCTCTGCTTCCTGACCTGCTTTTGGTCCCACTTGACCGGCACGCCCATGCTGGGACCCCAGGTCCCGGCTGCTTTCATTGACTTAGCCTCCTTGGTCCTCGCTTCCTTCCGCTCGTGTTTCGCATCCTTGATCTCGTTCCATTTGTCGGTCGGGCACGGCTTTGCGGTATTGAGACTGATGGCGAGCGATGTGAGGTACATCCTGGGACCAACTTCCAAAGCGTTGCTTCGTCCCTGGCCAACATTGTTAATTCCGGGGTGCTGTGCAGCCAACGTCCCATTGAAATAGGCTTACCTCGTCCACAGTGGCATCGACTAGCCTCGTATTAAGACTGTTGGCTGAGACAGTGGTGATATCTTGCATCCATCCCCATAGGTGACAGGAACGATTGTATGGCCGGTCCAGCTTCTCCCAGACCTTGCTTGCTACAGGTGGCAATTTCCCGTTTCGGATCAGTGAGGCGTAGTCTTTGTCTTCAAAGATATCTTCCCCAATCACTCTCACCGGAAACTGAAGGTCTTCCGGCACTGGGTACATCGAGAGCTTCCGCCATTCCTCAATCAAATTCTTCGGTTCTGCAGGCTTGGGTTGGTCACCGGTAGTAACGGCGGCCTCACCGCTACTATTCGAACGCGGAAGTTGACTGCGGCGGAGGACCTGTATGCCCTCTTGCACATCTTTCCACCCGAACATGAGCGCAGCTCGTGCCTTGGTAGTTTCCGTACCCAAATCGTCTACGATGTTGCAGAATTCCCGAGCGACTTCGTAAGTGCATTCCAGCCGCCTCCCTCTCAGAGCGCTATAGACGACCTTTAACCTTGCGCCGGGCGCGTGCGCTTCATCTTCCAGGTGAGACATCGTCTGCATCGAGTACCATTCTTTGGGCTCGATTTCAGCGTGCGCAATGTCAGACGCCAATGAAAGGAGAATGGTTAGCTCCAGGTTCACCGTAGGTGTCAGCCGGTCCAGATTAGTGTCCCGGAACATGTTGGCAAAGGCTGTTTCTAGAGGAGGAATAGGGGTTTCCAAGAATTGGCTGTTGGAGCAATCCACGAGGATCTCGACGTCTCCTTCTTGCCTCTTGGAGACGCCTAGACAACGGATTCGTCCGAGTAATTTGTCGATCGCTTCGACATGCCCTTCGGTGAGATTTGGCAGGACCAAGCGTACTCGCGGGATTCGGGTATTGCACCGGTTTGAACGTGCTGCTTTGATGAGTTGGCTGGCGGTTTTCACAATACCGATTCCTGTGTTCTCGCCGTCGCTTTCATCGGACTCCTCATCGGTCGAGTCATCAGGATTCCAACCTTCTTGTGCCATTTGGTATATGAGCTTCTTCTCCGTCACCACGGACACCTTGACCCACTCGGTACCGTTCTCTACTACGGCATCGACAGTGGTACCGAGTTTCGTATAGTTGCCACTGAATCTTCGACGGAAGGCCATCAGGCCATGGGTGCGCTTGATGGCATCCCACTGCTCCTGGTGCGAGTTCAGGCCGCAGCCCTGGATGATAGCTGTGTCCTTCTTGTCCCGCTCCTCACGAGACTGGTCGTCGGAACCACTTGAGAAAATGTTTTTCCGTGCCTTCAAGATGCGCTGGACGGAATTCCCCGTGCCCTTGACCGACGTCACAAATTCGTGTATCCCTGGAAGCGGATCCGCCAGTTCCCGTCGTTCCAGTTTCGTCGCATTGGCCAGTTTCTGCTTGTATGCAGCACCGAGTGCGTCCAGCTCCTCTATCAGGGCTTGTGTGCTCTCAAGAGTGGAACGGCCGAGGGTGACCACGTGATCCACCTCGCTGTTCATGGCGCCGGTGTCAATATAGTTGCCAAGGGCTCAAGGCCTTTGGGTCCGTGCCGCCCCGTCTGCCAGTGTAACGTCGAAACCAACGAGCACTCGGAGAAGATAGAACCTCGCCTTCATATACTTCGTTATTTAATTGGAAGGAGCGGGTGGATCGCTTGTTCCCTGTCGTTTGATATTGAGAACGAACGGTGCTTCGCGACCTGAATTTAGTGGTCGGTGGTCGATTTGTTGAACAGCCGAAAACGTAGAAGGGAAGGTACCTGAATGAGGATACGTAATGTAAGGCTCACGAAGGCTTCCAATGAGCTACATAATCCACGATTTTGAGTCTGTCGTTGCGGAGTGACGACGATATGCCCTCAAGTTGTGGTCAGGTGGAGAGAAATTTGTCCTTGACTCACTGTGCGTAGCTAGTGTACACCAAGCAACCGCCGGTGTACGGTCAGGGTTAGGGCTTGATTGTCCCTCGTAGGCGCAAGGCTATATCGAAGCTTCAGTGAAGTATCATCACCTATTCTAGCTTCTCTGGTTTCAATGAATACATAAGAAATGACGAATATCTTTATTCCATCTCCATCAATAGTTTCCCCTGCCGAAGTGTTTAAAGGACCTGCACAAGTTTATCCCAATTCACTGACGAGACCACTCTCGGCGCCGTCCCGGTAACGTTCCGGCAGCATGAGGGTATTCATTTCCGAAAGAGAAGTTACACGTGGAGAAAGAGGCAAAAGTGTGTGATCATTTTTTGATTCCGTATCTTTCTATATCTGCATTCTTATTTTGCTCGATCCACGGAATTGGGCTCAATATCAGTTTCTGTGGCCGGCTCTCGCAACGAAAGTGGGCTGTTCATGTCAAAGGGGTCACTGGTGACGATTAGTTTGGCTTGCCTGCTGAGTATCAGCCGGTCAGCAGGATTGTCTTCTGTTAAAAGCAAGAGATGGTGCAAGCTTCTTTGCTGCTGTGCCGAGTTAGTTAGGCTGAAGATCCTGGCTTCTTGTTCCTTTGTTCGCACGGGGCCCGTCAGAATCTGCCAGTTTGCACGATCCAGCCCAAGGCCAAAGGCGTCAAAGTCTTCCAAAACAATGACGATTCTTGTCGAGGCCTTATTTTCAGTGGACCAATGCAAGGAAAATTGCCGCCTCTCATCAGCCGTTGGATGGCTTGGCAGGTAAACGGTCCTGAGGTTGGTTGCACTGAAGTGTTTTTGTATCCCGGCGAGGATGAGTGCGGCTTCGAATAGGTGCAGGCAGGTTATGACCATCCTCTGCTCGCCTGCCGTACCCACCATCATCTCGATGGACTTCAAAATCTTGGCCAGCTTCGCACTGTCTGCTGTGAGCTCGTCAAATTTGTCCTGCGGCAGGGTGAAAAACTGCAGAGAAGAGCACCGGGATCCGCCCCTGCGGAGTTGTGCTTCTATCGCCTCGGACCTCACGTCGACTCTGTCGTCGAGGAGATGCCCAGCGGCCCCTGGGAATGTGGACACAATTTGGCAGTTTGTCAATTGCTTGAATGTCTTCAGGCATCGCACCACTTGGTTGACGTTGAAGGGGCCGCCGGATGCTGTCTTGATGTCCGCTCGAGCCTTGTCAAAGACACCTTGTACGTCTAAGATCAATGATCCTACCCGTGGGGTATTGAAGCTGACAGGTGTGGGCTCGATGTACTTACTGATGGATCGATCAAACCATTGAGAATTTAATGTTCTCCGACAAACGAGGTACATGAACATCTTGTTTTTGAAGTGGTCCCTAGCAATCTCCAAGTCCTTCGAAGTAGCAGCCATTCTCGGGTCTATGGCCTTTTGATAAACCACCTCTGATTCTCTCAGAGTCGAGGAATGCTTGTAGCGGTCAGGGTAGAGTGGGTCGGTCCACTCGTCCCTCTGGATGCAGTTGAAGAAGCTGCGGAGTCCAGCCAGGCCGTTGCTCATTGGCTTTTCCGATATAGCCCAGGTGTCGACATGTGTTTCCATTATATGACGGTTCTCTTCGATAACCTTGAAGATCGGGCTATTGTCTGGAACTTGATCGAACTGATCAACCATATGCAGCCCAACAAACGCACCGTATGAGTAGCGGTCTCCATCAGAAGGGTTGATTGGGATTTGTCCCTTGAGCTTGGGCTTCCTGTAATTGTATCCGAAGTCATCCAACCGATTGCTCATAAATTTTCTGTATCTTTTCAAGTACCCGGCTTCTTGCCCCACGAGAACGGTGTATCTTTCAGGTTGTCTTTCTGGGTTGCTGCTGCTTGGAAGCATGACAGACCAGTCGGCGTCAAAAACACTTTGCTCGCCTCGAGGAGTGGTTTTCCGGAAATTGGGTTTGATTTCCAACTTACCTTTGAACTCCGGTGGCGGCCGGAGATTCTCTCGGTAGAAGTGATGGATGAGCAAGGGCTGGTAATATGTTGGGTCGGGTGAGCACCTCTCGAGCAGTTTCACCCATTCGTCTACACTTTCTTTACGAACGAATATCAGCTGTACACCGCGAGATATATGATCCGCAATATGTCTAGCTGCACCGCCAGCACAGTAGCACTGTAATCCAACAGGATTTCCACTTGGACATTGCTGTAAGGAAGGCGCATCTCGTGGGAGGTGTCGACGCTGACGACTTGGGTCTAGCTCGCAGAGCATCCACTCACGCTTGCAATCCGCCTTGCTATATGCCAAAAGAGCTCGAATAAAGCATACAGCCAGACAGACCTGCTTGTACGTGGTGGAATCAGATGGGTACTGATAGGCTAGGATACCTCCATTCAGGCCTCGCAACTTTGAGATCAGCATGAAGTATGCATCCCATAAATGATAAGATTGAAGGCGCAGCTTTGTGAAGGGGATCTGGAGTTCCTCGTCTGGGCGCTGAAATTTCAACCTTTGATCTGCATCTAGGAGGAAGAGTTCGCAGAACTTCGCGCAAGTTTGAGGTGAAGGGTTTGACATGACGCGGGCGAGATTCTCCAGCTCTCCTTCCATGACATCCGAGAACCCTCGCATCGTATTCAGAGTCTCCAAAAGGCCATGTTCCGGTTCAGAGTCCATGTTGTTCATTGTTGACTGGGAGTGCCAAAATGCTGCGACTTTCGCGTGATTGTTGAGGCAATCCTAACTCCTTTCAGTGAAACAATATTCGAATTCGCTCTGCGTGAACGACTGATCCGTCCGATCTTGTAGTTTTTTTGTAATCAACGTCTTTATTCCTGCTGGGAATCCTCTCATTGTGATGAACAAGGCCTTTCTTTCTATGTCTTCCGCCTAACAATCTTTGGAATCGATCTGGCAGTGCGGCCATCCGCTTGTGATATAATTAGAACAAGGAGCAGGCATGAATGCGGACATGGTCACTTGTGTTTAATAGCGTTCTTTGTCATGTGTATGTTTTGAGTATGTTTTGAGATTCACCTAACACTTTCAAGATAAGGAACTCAAAGATTGCTCTGTAACTTCAATGGCTGGTTGTAATGACTGTATGCTGTCCTTGGTACACCCGTTTTTGAACACTTCCTGTTGACCTTGCTTATTTTGGTAAGTGAGAAATTCCACAATTTTCAACGCCCAAGAAGAAACCCGTTTCATGTAGGAAGAGACTGCAAGACCATTGTACGCTATGTGATATTCGCGACAGAGTGATAATCAACGCTAGTGGGCGAGTCGCAAGGCGCGGAGCGAAATGCTAGCCCTTACAGTCACGCCAAGACCGACGGCGAAGCTGTCCTCCTTAATCAGGCCAGGGGCCTGAAGAATGTCCGAGAATGGGATCTCGAAGGTGGCCGTCTCGTCCTTCTTGTTCAGCAGAGTAAGCTTGAAGCTTTCTGGGTTGGCAAGCAAGGCGGCGGTCAACGGAATCCTGAAGGCCTGGTCGAAAGACGGGTTGAAGATGTCCGTTCCTGGGGTGTAGGATTTGGCGGCGGTGAAGAACTCCTTCTCGCCCCACGACACCTTGACGCTGGGGTTCAGCTCGTCTCGCTGGCCCTGCAGTCCGGAGACGCTGCCAATGAGCACTGTGGCGAGCCCAACCATCTGGCCCTCCTCCGCGTCGCTCTTGCTGGACAGGATCCCGGCGTCATCAACAAAGTTGTAGAACTGAGCTCTGACGCTGACCCTGGCATCTACTGGGTCGCCGTTGTGGAAGAGCTGCAGCTCCTTCGAGCCGCCATCGAGCAAGATGTCCTTGACGGTGGTAGTGGCGATTCCAATATCGTCATCGCTGCCAAGATCCTCGTCCTGCACATCGATCACGATCTCCTGGTCGTTGTCGGCCACGAGGAAGTCGTGAGTCTCGTTCCACTCCGGGTTGTTTTCGTCCTTCTTGGTCGAAGTCCGCCATTCTTCCTCGGCGCCGACGGCGACCTTGCAGTAGCAGTCAGGTATGTCCTTGACGATCTTGTTCAGCAGTTTCATGACAGCGTTCTTCTTCGGGCCTCGGACTCCAGTTGCCTTCTCAACAGTCAGGCGGAGGGCTCCGAGGTGGGGCAAGTAGGTCTTGAAGTAATCGTTGTTGTTATCAAGCTTGACCAAGAAGCGATTGGGAAGGACAGCCATGGAGGAGACGATGTTGAGTATAATTTTGCGGATAGCCTTGTCAACCAGGAAGCAGTCGGCGAGATTGGCTGCATCGGTGAAGTCGAGCTTGAGCGTAGGTGGGTTGATGAAGGCCACTTGCGCAGCGCCAATCTTTACTCATCATGTAAGCATATATTTGGTGTCTTGGAACATATACGCATGCAGGATCAGTCCATACCAGAGGGATGATGTTGGTCAGAGGTGCGAGCAGAACTGAGAGCCGACCCTGCAGGTGGATGTTTTTGATTCCCTGTTACAGCAAGTTAGAAATGTGTGCTCTCTTTGCATATTTATGAATCAAGTTGCGTGCAGCGCGCAATTTTACCAGCTTGGGGACCAAGGATCCTTCAAGATCAATATCGCTCTTGCCATCCCAAACGATATCCATGTCAAGCTTGATGCCGCCATTTTGGGTCTTGTGGACATCCACCTCGGATATCCTGATGGGCTCTTGCCCCAGGTCGACCTTGACGAAACGGAGAGAAGAGAGAGGGCCGGGAAGCGTGGAGGCGAGGATGGGCTCGACTATCTCCTTGATCATCCTGCCGCCAGCGACATTGATGTTGGGCCATAGTTGTGCAACGATGTCATTGAGGAATCCTGCTCAGGTATCAGCTGGTCTGTGACTTGGTTGAGCTGCTGAGTGAGTCGCACCTGCGTTTTCGGTGCCTCCTGAGGCTGTCAGTTTGTCTACGAGTCCAGCCATGGTGTGCCGAGTCCACTTGTCGGTGAGTGATGTGCGTTGAGGAATAAGCTTGAGAAGCTTGAGAATTTGGACGCGTCTTGAGTCACGAAGATGATATACGAGATACCACGTGGTCGGACAGGCTTCAAAGGTGGATCTTTGAAAACAAAGAGTGCGCGCTTTTGACCGCTAGAAGGTGTGTTGTTCATTTCTTGGCATGAAACTGGGTGGGGTCTCAACGTCACTCAAAGCCACACTGGCAAGGTACGCAGACGCCACTTCGTAAGTACTAAGAAGTTCGAGTATAGCTCTACAAAAGCATACATCCTCATCAAAAGAAAACCATGCAATGTATGTGACTGACGCAAATGGGGATTGAGACTCATGGGTTCTGCCAATACTTAGCACTCGGAACGCCTAGATGAATAGACACTTGTACATCATGTTGAGACAATCCAAACCAGTAGAACAAAAAGGGAATTACTGTGTAGTGACAAATCAACCTTTATACCGACCTGGATTGGCAAATACTCTGGCACCGTGGCATGTGTCTGGCTAGAATTGATGGTCTGGTCAATGCAATTGGACGAGTGATCTCTGTTGGTTGCCACACCAAGCGTTTTGCTTGCACTGTAACAATGGATTGACCCATTACTAGGCCGGGCAGACGGATTTTTCAGTTGCAATAACTCCGTTTGACAACTTGCCAGGGTCATTTTTGAGAGTAGTCGGTGAAGTTGCCCCTGTGAAGTAGACAAGAATTATACTTTGGATTTGCTCAAGTCCTTGGTCCTTGACAAAAGGCTTTGCTCTCTCCCCCCTACGGGTTAGGTGTGGATGGAACTGATGTCGTTTGTAGCTTCTGAAGCTCATTCTCGGCCGTAGTTGGTTTACATCAGTGATTCATTGCCTAGCTTCATCTCATATTTGGCTGGCTGCAAATTCATACTGATCGGACTATCGGCTCAGCAGATGAATGGAGCACCAATGATTCAACGCAGGGGCAGCAGTCACTACTCGGTGGCTGAGTTGGGCAACCTTTCCATCGCGTTGACCACCTACATCATCAACATCTCAACCGCAGGACAAGATACCACCGTCGTCCTCTATACCGGAAGCTTTGAGCTCTGGGTCGGCCCGACCTGTTCCACGGCAGCCGGCGACAACGTCACAGACAGCGATGGTGTTTCCGCCAACCAACAGGGACACTCACCCGACTACTGCAAGTCCATCGGTCGCTATGACCCAGCTTTGTCTCCAATAGCGAAGGATCGTAAGAATGGAGATGCCCTTGTCTACGTCGACAACACCACCGTCGGAGTCAACTCCTACACTGACAGCATTGCCATTGGGGCCCTGAAAATCTCGGGGCAGCAGCTTGGCGTTGCAAACGACATCAATGGAATTACCTTGGGGATCATGGGTATGGGGCTAACGTAGTGTATGGCTACAACTCTCAAAAGCCACACAGCCTAATCTTGGACTCAATGGCTTCGCAGGGCCTGATTGCAAGCCGTGCATTCAGTCTAAATCTCAGAGAACATGACTATGCTACGGGGTCCATCATCTTTGGTGGGATCAGAAGAAGTTCCTAGGCTCCCTACAAACACTGCCTCTGGAATCTCTTCAGATGGCGGCACGTCCCTCGGGAAATGGCGGCAGCAACGAGAAAATTGCAGTATCCGAATAAGTCTTACCGGATGAAAAAGGCCCTGAGGGCCCTGCAGCCGGCTAACACGTTTCATTAGTTACTTTGTCACCGTCCAGTCCCTAAGCATGACCAAACCAAACGACGCCGCCTCAAGCGATTGCGATCAAGACAGCTTCTTAGGGCTCCTTGACCGCGGCATACCCGTAATCCTGGCTTCCGAAGGCGTGTCGTCTCGAATTTGCGACGATGTAGGAGGAAAGAAGGCAACAGCACTCGGTCTTAGCGTCTGTTTAATCGCTTGCGATCTCAGAGGCCAATCCGGCGGACTGGACGTGAAATATGACACCAAGACAATCCGTGCCGACTTTGAGACCCTCGTCGCAGAAGTCGAGCAGGACGGGCAGACCTTTTGCGCCCTTGTTGTGACCGATGCAGTCGCTGCTATAGACCCGCCCATATACATTCTCGGCAGTCCGTTTCTAAAAGCCGCGTACGCCGTGTTTGATTGGGATAATCAGCAGGTGAATCTTGCCCAGGCTGCTGATTGCGGTAGTCAAGTGGTGGCGATCGGCACCGGTCCAGGTGCTGTGCCCACCGGGGTTGGCTGCGAGGAGTCTGCGGCGCTCCCGTCTGTTCGGAGCAGCGTCGGACCAGTGATGGCTATTGTCGTGGCGAGTGTGCTGGCTTTGATATGATATCACTACTGAAAGTGATTGCGTTGGAGGAATTTTGGCAACCTCTTTTCGCCTAAGCCAGCGCTTGAGAACGGCCTCGGAAGAGCAGTACTACTATATCTCCGTACTGGATATATTAGAAGACTTCCCTAGGATCGACAGCATAATCCACTCATCACCACACTTCTTGCATTGCATGCCTTTTCTTGAATTTCTCTCGTGTACGTCCCGCTCTTACTAAGCCTTTTACGCTGTTTGGAACCTCGGCTTACCAAATGCCAATGGGCCTAGCTGCCAAAGCTGACCTTCGTTACACTTTCTCTTGCCGATCATTCCCCGCGTGATCCTGCAGGCTGTGCACGACAGGCGCCCAGCGAAGCTAAGTCGCGCCAGCCGGGAAGACCTTGCGAATCAGAGGTTGAGCCAACCCCTTGCCTGCTCTGTTTGTATCACTCCTCCTGCAAGCGGCTTATGCAGACATGCCCCAATCGGCGGTCAAAATTGGGATACGGACATCATTGGCGCTCGACGAGAGCTTCCTCCGCTCGTGGTACTACACAAACGCTGAAGAGAATGTGGCTTACAGAAGCCTAGCCATCCGAGAACCCACTTTGACAGAGACTATTACAGTTTCTAACTCAGATGTCGGGTATCTTTCCCAAAGCGACGGTTCTTGTGAAACGATATATTTACCCCCGCTCTCATCACTCCCCGATCCATATCTAGACCTGCCTTTATCGTTTGCACCTTCCAGGGTCCTCGCGAATTCCTTTATTTCTTTTCTTTGAATAAGGCGGACACAAGATGGGACTGACTAACAACCCTAACGAGTGCATTGAGGAGGTGGATGTCATTATCGCCGGAGGCACGTCTCATTTGCTTTGTCCCTTGTACATGAAGACCACATAGCTAATCATAACGAATTCCAGGAGGTACTGCGGCGTGTGTGGTCGCTGGAAGACTAGCAGAAGCGGATCCAGAACTGTCCATCCTCGTCATCGAGGGCGGACAGGACAATTTCAACGTGCCCAATGTGGTCAACCCGCTCCTCTATTTTCAGCATCTGCTACCCACCAGCAAGACAGCTTTGTTCTATAAAGCCAAGGCTTCCGAGCACCTCGCCGGGCGGGAGTCAATTGTGCCTTCAGGAGGTTAGTGCTACAACAGTCTTGAACACCCGCGGAAGGACGATTTTGTGCCTGCTGCCTTTTAGTCTGCACGGCATTCAGGTCACGAAGGGCGGGGATGCGGGTACTAAAATGCTCCTCGATGCTGACCTGGTCTTCGTACAGGAACTTTGGGCGGAGGATCTTCGATCAACTTCATGATGTATGAGCACCTTTCAAGGTTTGAAAGTCAGTGTTGGGAATTTTGAGTCGCTGACACTAGCACTTCAGGTACACGAGAGCCCAGCGCGAGGACTTTGATTCTTGGAATACCCCAGGATGGACGACTGATGAAATCCTTCCCTTCATGCAAAAGGTCAGCATACCCAGGACCAGATTACGGAGCTCTCACTCATGCTGGTTTGCCATAGCTCGAGAGTTACCACGGCCCTGGCGACGCAAGCAGGCATGGTTATTCGGGCCCGATTCACATCAGCAACGGCGGATATAGTGCGAAGAATCCTGAAGATGACTATATCAAGGTGCTCGAGACCTACGGTGGCCTGCCTGAAAGCAAGGATATGCAAAGCCTCGACGCCAACAATTGCTGCGAGCGGTCACTCAGGTACGTCTCCCCAGAGGGCAAACGCCAGGATGCCGCCCACACGTTCCTCCACCCGAAGCTGCAAGATGGGAAGCACCCGAACCTGCACGTCCTTGTCGAGACCAAGGTTGTACGTGTGATATTCGATGACGCCAAGAAGGCGTGTGGTGTTGAGGTCGCGCCCAATCCGGATTTCCAGATCCAGATTGGGGTCACCAAGAGCCCGAAGCAGGTCTTCAAGGCTCGGAAGTTGGTCGTGGTCTCCTGTGGGGCCAACGGAACACCAAGCGTCCTCGAGAGATCCGGCATCGGTGGCGAGAAGGTGCTTGAGAAGGCGGGTGTCCCGGTTGTAGCAGACCTGCCTGGTGTGGGAGGCAACTGGCAAGACCACCACCTGATTCTCATCCCATTCAAGACATCACTCCAGCCACGCGAGACCAGTGATTTCATCATCAGTGGCCGCGTCAAGGAGGAAGAGTTGATCCGCAACAAGGACAAGATCCTCGGCTGGAACTTTGTCGAAGTCGGCGTAAAGATGCAGCCTTCCGAGGCAGATCGCACAACGTTGGACAAGGATTTGTTGGCGGCCTGGGAGAGGGACTTCAAAGACAAGCCGAACAAACCTTTGATGCTAATGGGAATGATCAATGGGTAAGTAAACGATGCTGAATGTGCTTTGCGAATGGCTGATTGACGACTCGGCCTTTGCCTGTGATCCAGCTTTGTTGGCGACCAGTCAGCTCTTGAGCCGGGACAGTATCTTCTCATGGGGAACTACACAGCATACCCGTACTCCAGAGGCTCGATACACATTACCGGCCCCAACTTCGATGACCCACTTGACTTCGACGTCGGGTTCTTCTCTGACCCGGGTGAAATCGACCTCAAGAAGCAGGTCTGGGCATACAAGAAACAACGCGAGTTTATGAGACGTACACAGCTGTTCCGAGGGGAGGTCGCACTCGGCCATCCAAAGTTCTCCCCGCAATCAAAGGCGGCAGTGGTCGAGGATGTCTCGACAGCCCCTGGCGTGAATGGGACAGACGTACAAGACTTGGAATATTCTGCCGAGGACGACAAGGCCATCGAGCAGTATCTTCGGGAGAACATCCAGACAACTTGGCACTCTCTGGGGTCGTGTAAGATGGCGCCGAGAGGAGAGATGGGCGTTGTAGACGGGAATTTGAACGTCTATGGAGTTCAGAACCTGAAAGTCGCGGATCTGAGCATTCCGCCGGAGAATGTTGGAGCAAACACCAACAATGTGAGCATCTCGTACCCCTAGCGACCTAGTTCCGCAAGACTGACCTGAATTACAGACTGCGCTTGTCATTGGAGAGAAGGCTGCCGACATTATCGTGCGGGAGCTTGGATTGCTGAAGAAGTAAGGTTACCTGGCTATGGAAGCGCCTCCAAGCAGTTGTGACTTCCCCAGGTTCGAGTCCAGGAGCAGCTGGTCTGTTGATCCCAATATTTTCTGTAGGAGGTACGAGTCTAGTCTGTCATCACCATGCAGGTAGCTTTTGGGAGTAGTGCAAGTTTGAAGGTGCTAGAGGCATGAATTAGCTAGACTTTGACTTTACATTATATTACTATGCCCATCGATTTACACACGTCAATGTTCCGCGCGTCACCATCTGGATATAGCGGCGATGCTATTCCGAACACGGTATCAAGCAGTCTTGCGCCGATATCACGAGGCAAATGCAGCAACGACACCATTTTAAAACAGACAAAAGAGGATTTGTTTTTAGGGATGGTCCCAACAGTATCTATGGCGCAGTACAATAATACAAGATGATACATTACGATATGGTTTCGTGAAACACAAAGGAAATTTTGAGTCCAGCTATGCAGCTTTTTGTCCAAATCCAAACCAAGAAAACCAATCTATAGGGGTATTTGTGGTATAGCAAGACGAAACAGCTGCAGGAAACCATCGCAGAAAATGCACAGAACTTTTTTTTGAACCCAACGCACCCATTTCCATACCCAGGAACATTTCACAAATTACATGAAGACGCTTGATGAAAGGATGCTCGCTGATAAGGACAAAGACGTAGGAAACATGCTTTCGCTCAGATGCGGTTGTAGCAAAGAGTGGAGAAAAGCAGGCAAACGAGAGGGAAAAGGGGCCTTTGAAAGGCATCAGAAGTATGAACCGGTGACGAGCTTGCCATCCTCAGGAGTGGACTCGAACCTCGCGGTCAGGGCCAGCCCGGGGGAAGCGTGGAGGCCGTCGTCGAGGAGGGTGTTGTGGGCGATGTTGCCGCTGGGCAGGCTGCCCAGGATCTGGCTGTGGCGGGCGGGCCTCCCCTGGTCGACGCTCTTCTTGCGGGAGTGGGACATCTTGACGGGGCTGTTCTGGGAGGTGCTGAACTTCCTGGGCCTCATGGGCCCGGTCGGCGGCAGGATGTTGAGGTCCTTGGAGGCGGTGCGCGAGTGCGGCGGCGGGAAGGAGGGCGTGGTCGGGCTCATGGGCGAGTTGGCCGACGACGCCGAGGTCAGCGAGGTGAGGGACGTCTTGGAGCTCGAGCTGGACGTCCGGCCGAGGATGCCGCGCGGCCCGGCCTCGGAGGGCGACTTCTTGGCCGCCTCGTCCAGGCTCATGTTCTCGAGCAGGTCGGTGAGGACCTCCTTTGCCGGCTTGCGCGCGTCCGGGTCGCAGGTGCCGTTCAGCCGGGACTGCCACCACGCCTTGGACTGCTTGTCGGGTGCGGCGTGGCGGAGCACGTCGGCCAAGCTCTCCTCAACCATGCGTGCCTGGTCGTCGTTGAGCGACAGGGCGCTGTGCTCGGTCGCCAGCTCGAGTAGTGCTGCCGCGTGCCGCACTTCGTTCTGCTTGCTCTGGGTCGAGTCGCGCAGGCCGCACGCGTCCATCTTGAAGACGATCAGGTCCTCCAGCGAGATGTAGGGCAGCTGCTCGGGAGTGGGCTGGATCTCACTGGCTGGCTTTGCTGCGCTGGGGAGGAAAGGGCAGAGCATCTCGGGCGTGATGCGGACCTCGAAGCCCGATGCCGGCGATGCAGGCCCTGGCTTTGAGGCAGTCGCTGGCGGTGAGGTTGGCGGTGAGGTGGTCTGGTAGTACAGGAGCTGCGATGACTCGACGACCGGAGACATCGGGTGCTGCAACAGCTTCTTCCTCAGCAGGCTGGCCGAGGTGGACGAGTTGACAATAAGATCAATGCTTTGCTGCAGGCGATATTAGTACTGCACCGTAACATGCGGGCTCACCACAAAGCCTCTGGGGTGACTTGCTCCTGCGTTTTGGTGCCCATATTCCGGCAGGTATTTCCGGAGGGCCATGTCTCCGGAAATAGCCAGTTTCGTGGCCCTCAGGTCGGGTGTGTCCTTAATGACCTGAATCATACAGCACGCGGCCTTCTCCATCTCTGCTAATGTTGCCGCTGCCATTGCGTCCCGCGCCGTTTCCTATGGGACCGATATTCCCGTCTCTGCCCGCCTGCGCAGCCTGGAAGCTTTTGAGGGGGAAAAAAAAAAGGAATGAATCGCTTGAGGAATGCAGTTGAGGATGGGACAGGAAAGCAGCGGCAGCTGGCTTTTGTCGTGCGAAGGCTCCTTGATATCTCATTTTGTTTGAGCCGGGACTCACCCTGTCAATCCTTTCTCGGATGCTCCACCCGTCGTTAATGCCCGATGGGAATTTCGGGAGGGCCTTGTGTTGCCCAACTGGGAATGCGACACCGACAAAGCCAAGGGGTTGGCCAAGTTGGGCCTCAAGAGCTCAGCTGCTGCCCTCATTGCAGCGGCGTATTGGGCTCTCAGCCCAGGGGCATTAGCATTTCGAATAATCCCCCGGCTGAGACAAACGGCCGCGAGGCAATCAAGAGAGAAAAAAAAAAAAAAAAAAAAAAAAAAAAAAAAAAAAAAAAAAAAAAAAAAAGCAGGCGTAGGAGCTGCAACCGTGGGGTTAGGGTTGGTCCAGTTGCCGGGCCCCCAGGTGGGTGCTGGCAAAAACAACATGAACTCTGGAGAAGGCCACGAATTAAATGGGTCTATGGATACGCAGGAGGAGGAAGGCTGTCGCAGACTTTGCAGCATCGAGATCCCCGCGTGCTACACACGATCTCACCTGCATCTATTTCGTCGGATGCATCGGCTCCTGCAAACGTCCAAATTGGGCCCAGGCATCATTTAATTCTCGAGTCTGAGGACAACATGTGCTGTAGCAATCTGAACGGGAAGTGCAGAAGGAGCTGTGCAAAAGCCGTGTTTTGGTTTTTTTTTTTTTTTTTTTTTTTTTTTGGCGGTATGTGCACAGCGGAGACTCTCCCACTTGCTCTGAGCGCGTCTCCACGGTGATCTAACCACACGCGCCTTGTGTTGCCTTAAGCGCCGACTATCCTTCAAGTCCAAGGGTCGTGATCGTCTGTGATGTGCGACACGCTGGGTGTAAACGGTTCCGCAGTGGGGGATTGACGTGGACACAGCCTCTGCACAAGCGTCTGCTCGTGAGATGGGGAGATGGGCACCAATGACATCCACACAAGCAGTATCACTTAGGCTGACAGACTACGGTATTTCAAGGCAGCATGACGCTTTGGTGAGGAGGTGGGCGCGCGGGTTGAGACGACGGCCCAGAAGTTCTGTCGAACTTTTTGCCATGCTCGACCCACCCATAACAGCTGGTGAATAAAGTTTCAGGGAACAGAGCAAACCCAATGCTTGGCTTGTGGACCCTCACTTCAATGCGAGCTGACCCACGCGGCCCGAGCAGATGGGAATGGTCCAAACCTCGACGAACTAGCATCAATGTCACAGTCTAGGTGGAAGCATTCTAGAAGCTTTCCAATCCGTGCAATCCTTGTTTCTACTCGGTGGCTACGCAGGAACCCGAGCTGGACGGGAGGCACGCATGTTTGATTCATCTCTGCGCCTTCACCGCAGGCATCGAGTCACCTGTCGCAACTCTCGGGAGTTCGGTCTGCCACCGAGTCATCCAAGTCCGTATGTCATGGTTCAGACACTCGCTAGCCTGCAGGCGCGTAGCGTAGCGGTGGTTATGATTATAGTAATAGAATTTATCTGCAACTTTCGAACTTCCCCGAGGTTTGTTCCAGAGAATTTCAACAGCAACAGCAACTGCGCGACAAAACATTTACATGTCTTGCTATTGGCTCCGGGTCGTTGTAAGACAAGTGCCGGATGGTGCTCAGACTGCCACGCTTACGACTATCAATATACGCTGGGGTTGAGTCAAGTCAAATGTGCATCCTCGGTGGGGATTCCCAAGACCGACGTGGAGAGTTCCGGCTTCCCCTTCAGGCCAGTCCCTTCCTCCAGAACATCACGGCGATGATCAATCCTCCCGTCGATGCCTAGGGCATAGACGGTAGATTGTCAGGCCCCTGTGGATCAGTATGATTTTGATAATTTCCCATGGATCCGGTCAGCATTCAGGCTCGGGGCCGCCCGAAACTTGCCCCGGATGAGTCCTAAGTATGTGGGATTCAGGCAGGCGGAAGCAGAATAAACCCTGAAAACAAACCCATGCAATCCAGCCCGTTGCTACTCAAGTGCTTCGACTGCGGTTATGAATGCAAGAGCCTAAACAGTCACGTCCAAGACTGAGCTCGTCGATCTTTAGTCGAGTATATTTTTCGTAGCAATAGAAGGCGTCGCCTAAACACCACCTACCAGGGGGAGGGGGGGTTTTTGTTAACATCACACCACGATGTCAATGGAATAGCGATATAATAGTGACATGCAATCAAGGTTTTAACATGCTTTTTTTATGTATACATTGCATTATTTATATGTTATTAATATATAAACATTCTTGATATATTGTAATATTATGTTAACCTTAACATTATATTAACTCTTAATATAGGGGTAAAAAAAAAACTCTTTTTTTCCTTATTCCCAACCCAACTACTTATTTATTCTTTACTAGCTTAACTATTTATTATAAAAGGATTTATGAAACTATGGAAATATTTAAAAATAGAACTAGGTTTGGAGTTAATAAGGTTTAACCCAAAGCTTTTAATATAGAATTATAATAATATTAGCTGACATATAGTCAACGCTAATATAAAGTTAATATTAATATGATTTAAAGCTTTGATATAATTTCGTTTTAATAATATTTTAATAGCCTTTTACTAGCATTTCACTAGAATTATGAAATTTTGATTGAATATCAAAACATGAGTGTATTGCGTGACCCAGTCAGAAACCCCCCTCCCCCCTGGTAGGCAGTAGACTACATTAGAAAGCTGTCTAGGCATTCATGCTACAAGAGAATCTCCCCTCCATATCAATTTTCCCCCCTCCATGCAATTAGACTGGAAAGCCTTGTTTTTACGTAAGAGACGGCGCTTGTTCACGGACTGTAGGTATGCTAAGTGGAGGCTTCATCGCAAAATAGCATTGCCACTAAAGATGCGCCATCTAATCGCCATCGAATAGCTTCGTTTTGCCTAAGCGATACATGATTTTTATGGAGGCATTGCTGTCGATGTCATCCTTGCCGTAGAGAACATCCTTTTTCTGCCCAACGTCTGACCCAGTTTCTTCCTCGCAGGCAACCGAACAGCCACGAAGGGGAAAGTTGGGTTGTCCTTATTGACCCAACGAGCAATTTATGTTATAAAACTGGGATTGGGCGAGATTCATCTGCCCACATAGTACCCAACGTTCATGCATACAAGGCGACGTTCTTGCTCGACGTGGGCCAACAGCATCTCTTCCATTCCCTTCTCCTCAGAGCTCTTGTGTCTCCGGTTCCAATTCTACAACTGCGCACATGTACATGTCGTCGTGCTCAAATGCCGTGTTTATTTTGATTCGGTGTGATTGTTTGTTCTGTATGTACTTAGCACGACGCGCGTTACCATGTGCTAGCATGATTCTATGGATGCATTAGTATCGGCATGTGAAAACATTCAGGCGCGATGGTGTTGAGATGTGCATGCCTTGTCACGGGTCGTCGAACAGTGCCTGATGATCTATGCAGGGCAGGTGCGAAGGTCTCGAGTAGTCGGTCGCGACGTCTGATTGTGGGCGTCGAGCGAGGCTATGCGTGACAGTAGTACCCCGTACGAGCCACATCATGCTGCTTGGGACGTCTCCCGTGTCCGATTCACGGAAGAGGGGGAAAGATTGAAATTCCATGATGTCCGATTTGGGGAAGTCGAACGTGTGTATCACTTGGACTGTTCGAATCGCGGATTTTCACTAGTTTAATAAATCTTGGTATGATGAGTGGTAGCGATATATTAGTAGGTTGTAGTACAGAATTATGATCGCCTATAACACTGTGATCAAGCACACAATCGAAGCAACAGTGAACCATCAAATAGGACCGATGTAGATAACTTCGAGAGTAAGCATGATGTGTTCGCAGTTGCACAAACTAATGTAGTAAAGCTAAGTCACCATGCGCACTTGCTACTTTTGAAGTTAAGAAGCGTAGAGTGGATTACGATCGCAAGCGTTACCCAGGCTTGGTTCCCATTGGCCCCTCGGTCCACACACAAAAGCATTCAGCACAGGGTTCAGATACCTTGAATCCTATGAAGAACAAGCTACGGGAATGCCGGCTACGACTCACTAGAGGTTCTCATCCTTGGTCTTCATCCTGAGAGATAAGTGAGTTGCACTTTCCTGACGCTCGGCTGGCCACAAACAACTCTGTCTCTTTCTGAAGAGAACGGGTATTCGCACCCGCAAAAACGGAGGGTACACCCGTACATCACGCGCGCCATGGCTGCAGCTATTCACACACCTAAACACCCAACGCCTATACACCCAAGTTATACATGTAATTAATATACCTGATTAGTTTTATGCATATTAATTAAGTATGTAATTGAGGCGTGTAGGTATTAGATATGTAGATTGGGTGTGTGGATTGATTTAGTGCTGTTGATGTATGGGTGTACCCTCCGTTTTTGTGAGTGTGAATACCCGTTCTCTTTCTGAAACTTGGTGGCAACCTTCAAGTCCAAAATATTCTTTGGTCTCTAGTAGAACTCTCACGCATATCATTTATTCATTCTCTCAAACAACAAGTACAGCCTCCGACACAATATGGCACAACCAACACAATCAAACACCTGGATCGAGGAGCGCAGTCGGCAAGAGGGGCGGGAACGTGCCGCCGACCTTCTGCTGGAAGATATGCAGCGGTTCCTGCCTGCTGTAATGGATCCCACGACTCTGTCGGCTGTGAAAGATTCCACAGTGACAAAGTACGGCCAAACTGAAAACTATGACAAACTCGTCGTGCGACACGAAGCCATAAAGGCACACATCAGACATGTCGAAGAACGGCTGTATCACAACTCTATCCGGGGCTACAATATCCGGCAAAGCAGAGCGTCGTCTCTCATGACTCCCAGGAGACTGATTGATACCCTCGAACCAAATGGATTTGCTGTCAAGACGAATCCCGGCAAGCCTTGAAACGAGATGAGCTCGAAGGGAGAATGCCACCAAAGCGCGAGGCTGGGAGGAAAGCCCGAACGAAATGAGCTGCCGGTTGGTTTTCTATTTCGACTTCCCCTCGAGGAAATTGGTTTCAGTATCATCTACTAGATCCATGAGCGTCAGTTAGCCTAGAGCTAGAGCGGCCTGGTGATATACTACTGTCACCCAAGTTAACATGAATTTGAACATGCTACCAAAGTCGAGATCATAGCCCCTGTACTTTCTCAAATGTGCCTGTCCTGGCAGCAATACCAAGTGCACACCGCCGTCCAGAGCACGGCAACGACTCCACTTTACGATAACACAGCATGATATGGCCGATCTATAAGGACAGGAGGTCCGCTAATTCATCAGGGGTTGGCAATGTTGTCATTGGTTTCTCTCCCATCGTCATGCGAGGAAAGAGATGCGGCTAGGTGTTCCTTGCGAACAGCAGTGTGTATCAATGTTGTTAGTGAGACATTAATTGCATCCATTTCGCTGAATGTTTAAGTCAGCTGGTCGTAACGTGCAAGGAAACGTTCACAATGATTCCAGTGGAGGTCATACGATGTGTCTCGGTCATCGACTGGACTACATCACACTGGCCTGGGTGCAATGCCAGCGTCAACACAGAGCACCCAAGGACGTAACGTAAATACCTCTCCTATCAACCTGGATTTACCAAGATCCAGGAGTGACAGGAATCCGGCACGCCCGGGCCTGGGCATTGCGGCTCTTTAGGACAGGCAGGAGTCAGTGTTCTTCGAGTCCTGTGCCTCGAACAAGGTGGGGATCTACACCGCGTCAGGTTTTGGCTTGCAAATCGCCAGGACCTGCAGACGTGACCCCCACGCTCGCGCCGATGAGGAAAACCGAATGCAGGCCGCAGGCAATTAGCCTCCAGGCCCACCGCTGGCGGGGGGTGCCCTGTTGCGGTAACTTGACACGATGACGTGCATTGGGGAGCCTCACGGCTGAACTGCCGGGACCTCAGAGGCATGGGCACAAGACGACACAGGGAGAGATTAATTTCGTCCGTCTGGTTCTCGTCGTGCTGCCGAGTTGCAGCTGGTGAAGCAGAAAGCCCGTTGGAAAGGGGAAGGCATGTCGTCGGGATAAACTCGCATGCCAACCCCGGGCTAGAAGCTTGGGAGGCACAGTAGCCGAACCGACTTGGACTGCCGAGCCGACGGAAGAAAACTCTTTGCCCCTGATTTTAGTCTGGGGGCTGATCGCTGCTTAATAACTCGAAGCTTGACCTGCCCAGAAGCGGAAACGAGAGACGGCGGCGTGGGATGCCGTGCCAGTCTTTTTTCTCCCCTTTACTTTCCGTGGTTTGGAGGTGCAACGTGAACTCCGCAGGACGTGATCGAGTGATGGAACTCTGGTGGTGTGACCGAGATCCAGAGTCGAACCAAGATCTCGTATGCAGTGCCGTCTGCTCCCAGAGGGTTCCCGCGTCTCTGGGTGGGAAAATATCATCGCGTGGCAAGTTTTGGCCTGTGAGGACCTGACGATGACCCCCACGCGCAGCGTCGGTCAGCGCGTCTCGGCCTGTTTCCGTTCCCCAGGTTGACCGAGTCCGTTTCCCCAGAATGGCGACGCCCCACCTTGGCCCCAGGAACCTCGGGAATGTTGGGGCTCTGCGTCGCATCAGCCCTCCTAGTGGCCGGGCTCGCCATGCGGCATGGAAGGGGCCCCAGAGCTTCCCCGGCGCCATCCCGCCAAGCGGCCGAGGTAGAGCCAGCGTGTCCCAGCGCGCCCGCCGCACTCCCAGGCGCACGGTTCCGCGCAAATGCCCGGCAAAACTGGAGATATTAGGTCACGCCCCTCTGGGTACTCCATGGGGATTCGAGGCCATGTGGAGCATTGTGGGGGTCGGGATGATAGGTTGCAAATGCGAAATGTGCGGGGGGGAAGTGGCTCGACTGCACTGGCCGCACCTTGGGTGACTTTTTTGGTGGAGTTCTGCTGCCCGGAATGGCGGACAAGAACCCTCACGAGACCGCCCGACCACAGCCGACGCGAGCTCGAGAATTGCGTGGTGACTATATAAGGCCAGCCTGCCCGCCCTGCCTTTTTATTGCAGGCAGCACACCCCCCCCTCCCAGCTTGTTGTCTGAAGCCCTGCTTGGTGGTGCCCTCTGTCCCGGTCTCTGCACAAATTTCTTGGCCACGAGACAATTCACACCAGGATGGCGGACCAAATCTCCAGGGCCGTCTCCAACGGCTCCGTGTCGTCCAACAAGCAGACCGAACAGAAACTCGAGAATGTCGCCGGCTCGGCACCCAGCGACGCAAACCACCTGAACGTCGCCCACATGACTCCGGAACACAGGGTCCGGGTCGAGAAGAGCCTCAAGCGCAAGCTCGACCTCCGCTGCTCGCTCTTCGTCGCCATTTACATCATGAACTACCTGGACCGCAACAACATCGCCGCAGCGCGTCTCAAGGGCCTGCAGGACGACCTCAACCTCGACAACACCGAGTACTCGACCTGCCTGAGCATCCTATACGTTGGATATATTCTCATGCAGGTCCCCTCCAACATGCTCATCAACGGCCTCGAGAGACCATCCCTGTACCTCAGCATCGTGATGCTGATCTGGGGTCTCATCTCCACCCTGAGCGGAGTCGTCCATGACTTCAAGGGCATGGTGGTGACCCGTTTCTTCCTCGGTTTCGTCGAGGCGGCTTTCCTGCCCGGTGTGCTGCTCATCCTGTCCAAGTGGTACACCAGGAGGGAGCTGACCCTGAGGAACGCCATCCTCTTCTGTGGAAACCTCATCTCGAACGCCTTCTCTGCCCTCGTCGGGGCAGGAGTGCTCTCAAACATGCAGGGAACTCTGGGCCACGCCGCCTGGAGGTGGCTCTTCTGGATCGAGGGTGCAGTCACCATGGTCAGTAGTCCTCACAACATCTTCAGGTAGTCCCCGGCAGTTGCTGACTCGAGCTTAGGCTATCGCCATTGCCGCAATCTTCGTCCTGCCCGACCTGCCCCACAACACGCGCGGATTCACCGAGGAGGAGCGCCAGATTGCGCAGCTGCGGATGATTGAGGACGTTGGCGAGGCCGATACCGACTCAAAGGACCAGGGTGTGACTGGTGGTCTGGTCATGGCCATGAAGGATACGAAGGTGTGGCTGATGATGCTTGTCCTGTGTGCTTACGTCGTCGGTCTGTCATTCAACGCTTTCTTCGTAAGTGCAACCATTCTTCAACCGCGGCCTCAAGGAAGCTTTTCTAATTTATACCACAGCCAACACTCACTGGCACTCTTGGATTCGACTACGTTCCAACACTCCTGATGAGCAGCCCTCCGTGGTTGTTCTCCTGCATTGTCTCTCTGATCAATGCTCTCCACTCGGATCGTACCGGAGAGAAGTTCTGGCACATTGTGGGCCCGATCGTTGGAGGTCTGATTGGCTTCATCATCTCCATGTCCACTCTGAACGTCGCCGCCCGCTACGTTGCCCTCTTCCTCCAGGCAAGCTCATACGCAGGGTGAGTCTCCACTGGTGCACCAAATCCTCTAGCCCGAACAATGACTGACCTGAACACCACAGATTCATCGTCTTCTACTCATGGATCTCCTCATCCTTCCCTCGACCTCCGGCCAAGCGTGCGGTCGCGCTGGCTGCCATCAACGCGTTCTCCCAGCTGGGCAACATCGCGGGTTCCTACGTCTGGGACCTGTCCGAGAACGGGTTCCGCAAGTCCTACGGCATCGTCACCGCCATGTTTGGCGTCACGATTGCCGGGTGCTGGGTCTTCAGGCTCACGCTCACCCGGCTCAACAAGAAGCTCGAGCAGGGCGAGCTTGTCGACTGGGAGGCGAGGGAGGACGTTGCCCAGCAGACGGCCCAGATGGAGGGCACCACTGCTGATGAGGCGCTCAACATGAGGAAGGGCTTCAGGTACCTCGTGTAAGGGTATATATAGCTAACTTTCAGGGATGTAGATAAAGCAACAAAAGGCACAGTTGCAACGCGTTAATGCTTTCTTGTTTTGAAATGAATCATGATGTTAATTCTGACTGCCCATACAGACCTTTCGAGAATTTGAAACCCTTACCACCTAGCTATTACTGCACGTGTATGCTTGGACTAGCATTGAGATCCAGGGGCCATAGCTCTGACGACTGAGTTCAACAAACCAGCAGCAGCAATCGCTGTTTCGCTCCCCCATCAGAATGGTCCCACATGTCAAGAAATCCCAACATGGCGGGTTCTGCATCTTGATGAGATTATTCAGTCTCTTGTTGGGCAGCCTAGACGCCAAGCAAACCTTGACCGGTCCCTACCCAAGTCACTCTCAACGTTGAGAAACTACTAGGCTTAATTGGCCACGTGAGATGACCAGGGTTACATTCGAACAAAAGTCTACACTTGAACTGTATTACCTTCCAAAAATAAATGCTTGCTCTTCAGCCGAGACCCACTCTCGGTGCCAGTCTTGGTCCCTGAAAGAGACCATGTGAACTTTGACATAGTCAATATGTGCTCGGGTCTTATCACATATTGATGCACCCAATAAGAGACTCGAAGTATCGATTTATCAGTCTTCCAATGAGGGTCTAGCGACGGTTAAAATGTCTATTCTCAAGCAACTGCTATGCTATATGCGCAGTGAACGCCGGAAAAGAACTGATCGGGTGAGCGACAGCCCGCGGCCCCCACCGGCCCCTGTAAACCAGCCAAACGCCATCATACCTCGTTAATTACTACTCTGCGGTTGTCTGCGTCTCAGCCGCCCTCTCCCTGGCCTCTTTTGTCTCCTCATACGAGACAACGTCTACTGAGCCAACGGACTCGCCGCTCTGCGGCTTAGCACTGACGGCGCTCTGAGGGGGCGTGGGCATCCCGTTGATGACCTGCCCCTGAAGCCCATTCAGGGCCATGTTCGGCACGCCGCCCGGCATGCCCATGTTAGACCCGAGAACCAGGTTGAGCTGCTTCTGCTTCCTCTTCTTCCTGGCCGCCGCGGCCTCCTTTGCGCGCCTCCTGGCCTCCTCCATCGAGGCGATCTCCTCCTTGGCCCACTCGCGCAAGTTTTCGACGGCGCCCTGGGGGTCGCTCCGCCAGTTGAGGAGGTAGCCCTGTACCTGGGCCGGCGTGAACGTGTTGTCCTCGACCTGGCCGCTGAACCTGAGCGCCAGCTTCTGCAGCTCGTCCTCCCCGATGGTGGCCTGGATCGCCTGGGCCGACGGGTTGGACGGGTCGAACTCGTACATGCGCTTGAACATGAGCTCCGCGCTCCGCGGCGAGATGTTGCCCAGGAAGATCATCCTGTCGATCCGGCCCGGCCGGACGAGGGCGCGGTCGAGCCGCTCGGCGAAGTTGGAGGTCATCAGCACGATCCGGCCCTCCTGGGAGGCCACGCCGTCTAGGACGTTGAGGAGCCCGGACAGTGAGATGTGGCAGCGGGGGCCGTAGTGCGAGCGGTCGTCGTCTTCGTCATTCTCTTCTTCGCTGTCTTCTTGCTCGTCTTGGTTGAAGTTGCCGCGGTTCTTGATGCCGACTGCGTCGATGTCCTCCAGCAGGATGAAACACCTCGGCGGGAGTGTGGTGAAGAGCCGTTCGAGGTCTGTATCTGTGCGCACGCTGGGAACGTGAAGGAGGTAGAGCTCAAGGCCAAAGAGCCCAGCCAGGCCAAGGGACAGGCTCGTCTTGCCGGTGCCTGCAGGTCCGTGGAGAAGGTATCCGCGCCGGTACGGGATTCCACGCTGCGTGTAGAAGCGCCGAGTCGCAGGGTCGAGGTAGTTTCTGATGTCAGCCACCAGCTCTGCCTTGGTCTTCTCGTCAAAGTGTATCGTCTCAAGCGGCCGGATCGGGCGCAGGATTGTCGTTTCCCAGGACTCATCGCCATACTGAGACTTTGAGGCTCTGACTGTCACGTACGACTCGCGCTCCTTCTCCGCAAAGTCGCGACAGGCATCCAGGAAACGCTTGATCGGCTCGACGGAGCGGCCGAGACACATGACAATCAGGGGCTCATCTCCCTCCGGCGCAGCCGCGAACTCGTCCGGCACCTGGTCCACAAAGGACATCCCGGAGGAGTTGGCCGAGACGCGCCGCACGATGAACACGTTCCGCTCATGAGTGAACCACGTGGTGCCGAAGGTGGGAAGGTACTGGATCGGTTTCCGCTTATCCATGCTGTAGTCGTCCCGGGGCTCCGGGGTCCGACGGTAGTAGAAGGCATCGCTCTCGATTTTCTCGGAACGGGCAGTGACGATGCGAGTGCCCTGCCGTACGAGAACCTGCGCGCCCAGCCAGTTGAGGACCTCTCGGTTGAGCTTATCTCGCGCGTTTATAGACACTGACGCTGTGAAGAACCGGGTGATGTACCAGTATAATTTGACGGCTATTGTTTGCAGGAAGCCGAGAACGCCTGAGATGGTGCCCAAGATGGTGAGAGCGGCCGCGATAGTAGTAATATCAAGCTTGAGCCATTGTGAGACAAAGCCCTGGAGCCAGCCGAGGCCCGGTATCTTGGCGAGAAAGTCCTGCAAAAAGGGAGCTGATGTATTTGCGTCCCTGAGGAGGTCGTTGATCCCATCCATGCTGATGGGTGTCGCAAAGTTGCCGAAGTCCACTTTGAGAGATTTCTAGCTCAGAAAGAGTTGTTGACTGGGCTTTCGAGCTCGTCGCCGCTCGGACAATTCGCTATCTCGGGAGCGACTTGACACCCCGGCTGACAGCGGGGTTGACGGTGAGGTGAGAGTCCAAGTGCCGGCAAGGACAAGAAAATAAGTTGGTGACGACGGTAGGCTTTATCTGGTCCGTGGTCCCTGGCAGGGGACGGGCTGCAATGTCCTGGTTTGCTGGTGAGGGTCGGCGGTGAGCAACGAGCTGAGCTCATGGGTTTGGACTCGACTTCGGGGACGGTGAGTCTTTTTATCTTGACTTGGACGAGTGCGCCCCGACAGACTTGTGCGTATGTACATGTGCCGTCACGCGATGGAGGCACCTCTCGTCAACTCTGCTTTGTGATTCGATCCACCGGGGAAGCTAACAAGAGCTGGGAGTTCTGCCTGCATGTGACTAAAAGGGGAGGAGGCCCTGAGGTGGGTGGCCGGGGATGGGCCAAAGAAACCCGGGGGTTGTCGTAACACGGTGAGACTGTGGGATGCATGGACGCGGCGTAGCATTGTGTGTACTGTACTGGAGATCTAGTCCACCGTCCCCCCACACACATACGGTAAGCTGGTTTGTTTCTCCCGCAGTAAGCACACACTTTCTGTGCCCTGCAGCCACATGCAAGCTGCAGAGCGCTCTCATGCAATCACAGACCGATGCAGCCATAGTCCCCAGGCACGCACCTCACCTGTGCCACACTCGACTCATCTTTGGGATGGCCTCTGTTTGGCCACGGCCTGCAGGGGTTGCAGGGCAAAGTTCATGTGCGTCACCTAGCTAGGCATAGTAGCGTCGACTCTTGGCTTCAGCCACCCAACGCAACCAAACTGTCGGTGCTGTCTGCCTTCGGTCGGCCCGGGACAATTCTCAACTTTACTGGGCCCGGCTACGATGCAAAGCACATTCCATGCGTCATGCCGGGATTGATGCCAGCCCTTCGAGCCGGTCTGGCTGAGGCGTCATGAGGCAGCCAACTGTACCTGCATGGCATGGCGCTCGTGGCTCTTGGCTCTTAGCCTAACTAATGGCCTCAAACCGAGCGCCGTCATTCTCCTCCAAAGGCCCACAAAAGCTGCACGGGAGCCTGGATACAGGAAGGATTCACCAACACGGCACATCCTTCAGTACCGTGTGTCCTATCAATGCGATCGGCGAGCCCAACCACAGCAAGTTGTTACTGTCAGGGCATTGTGGCACAGCAACATGTCTGTTCAGTGTTATGGCGGTAAAATTACACCGCCGGCCAAACGAGGATTTTGCCCGCATGTATATTCGACCAGGCAGCATTCTTCCACATCATGTTGGTGTCTAGAAGATGTCCAGCCAACCCACAGTTTCCTAGGCTGCTACTCTGTCTTGGACCCTTCACAAGTGTCCGATTTCCTGACAAGGCAAGTCGTGTGGAGACTTGTATTTTTGTTCATATTAGGCAATGGCCTATGAACTGCAATATCGTCTCACATCTCTCCAACCAATACATTAGAACTGTTTATATACATGCTATACTATAATGAAGATAACGCCTAACACTCTAGCGCTGACTTCTGTGAAAGCTGCCTATACTGATTAAGATCTGCGAGCATGCGATCGGCGTTTCTTTGAGCAGGGGACACGCGAGGGGCCGGCAGTCGAGGCTGCAGTGGCAACAGCCGAGGCTGCATCAGCTACAGCTGAAGCTGGATCAACAACAGCAGAGGACAACGCCGATGCCGTGGCTGCCGAACCTTGACCGACAGTGGATATTGCTTGGCTCGCTGAGATGACAGCTTCTGTTGCTGAGCTGCTCAGAGGCAGTGTGGCCAAAGTTGTCGGCCTGGTCAGAACAGCAGTCGGCTGTGTCTGGTTCGCAGCGATCACACCGGTCGAGTTGGCCGAGCTGGCCGAGCTGGCCACAGCGCTGATGGCATGAGTTGCCGAGGACTTCACGTTGCTGATGGAAGCTGGAGTAGAGACAGGAGATGAAGTGGCAGCAGCTAGAACCTGGAAGTAGCAATGAGCGGTTAGTAAGCATGTCGCTGGGGCTCCATATGAGAGGAGGAACTTACCGATGAGACAGAAAAGAAGGCTGGCTTTGGCTCTAGGTTCTCGTCATATAGACAAGCTCCGCCCTGGCCGGGGAAGGTGTTCGGCACCCACTGAAGAATTCAAATTTTAGCTTCCAGGCACAGAAGAGGTTGTAAAGTCGGTAGGGTTAAGAAGGGCATGGCTGCCCGAGGGCAAGCGATGGGAAGGCCCGAGAATATGGGAGAGATATGTTCGCAGAAAGAGTAAAGGCAGCATCAGGAAGTTGCTTACGCTGTATTTGTCAGTCCAGTCCCAGACAGTCCACCCTACGCAAGCCTCGACGTTGAGGCAGGCCTTGATAACTGTTGTGTAGTCCTGTGCCTGCTGCTCGAGACCTGCGTCATCGTAGGGAAGGCTGTCGAATTTGACATCAAACTCGGTGTAGGCCACCTCCGACACGCCCGCCGCGACGAACTCGTTCATGACAGACTCGAGGTCCTCCTGAGAGCTCATGCTGCCGACGATGAAATGTCCTTGTAGGCCAACGCCGTCGATGCGTTCTCCTGCATCCTTCACCAGCCTGACGAGCTCGACGGTCTTCTTCTGCTTCGCATTGGTGGCCTCGATGTTATAGTCATTGTAGTACAGCTAATTTACACCAGAATGTTAGTAACGAGGATTTTCTTTTTTTTTTCGTCGCTTCGTAGCAAGAATCCTGCTTATCATTTGAAATGAGTCCTTGAAACTTGCCTTGGCATCTGGGTCCGCGGCGGCGGCGGCTTTGAAGGCGAGCGGGATATAGTCAGTTCCGAGAGCTTGGAAGAAAACTGTGTCTCGGTACTCCCCGTCGTCATCGATGGCCTCGTTGACAACGTCCCAGGAGTAACACTGTCCCTTGTAGTGACCGGCGACATTGGAGATATGAGTCTCAAGCATCGAGGTCAGTGTCTCGGCCGTCCATGTTCCCGACGTCACCCAAGACGGCAGTTGGGACCGGTACAGGAGCGTGTGGCATCTCACAACCTGCCCGTTCTTCTTGGCAAAGTTGGGAACCACATCTCCATTCGCGAATGAGAAAGATCCTTGGTTCGGCTCTGTTTGATCCCACTTCTGACCATTAGCTGGGGTTAATTGGCCGTAGTTCTCCGTCGACGATGTGATCTTGACGTAGGCCGAATCGTAGAGCTCGCCGTTGTCAGTGCCGGTGCCGAAGTACGATTTCCCGGCGGCCTTGGCGAGCTGATTTAGCTGCGCAGAGGCTGTGGTGGCCGAGAGAGCCAAACCGGTGATAGAGGAAACACGCATTGTTGGAACGGCTTATTTCTGAGGCTTTGAAAGAGTGAGTACAAGCTGAAACGTAGGCCCAAAAGCAAAGTAAGGAAGGACTAAAATGAGTGTCAGGGCGCAGACGATTGAATTTGGCCAGAGCAGCAGAATCCAAGTGCGATGGGACGAAGTTTGGGTGATGTCGGGATAGAATTGACTGGTGTATATATAATGCTCAGCTAGCACTCACGGAAATGTTTCGTCCCCCTTTTGTTTTGTTAGACCTGTCATGTTTCGTCTTCTCCATGTGTACCAGGCGTTTAAGGGGGACATCGACTGAATGGTTGTTCTATGTGCGGTTCGTGTGGGATCATGGGTGGGTCACCACTCAGTGATACGGCCTCTTCTATTTGGTTACCGGGCATGGCATGCCAGATGCAGCGACAATTGCCTTGTTGAGTCCAATACAATTCCTGTGAGAGTCAGCATCAAGACTCTCGTGCTCCACAAATCATACGAAGTTACATCCCATGCGGGATGGCTCGGCCTCACAGTGGATCTCGCTACCGAAATCCGGGGGTGCAGGCGCCAGGGCACGTAATTGAGCCCAGAAGCCACAAATTATAACATGAGCTATATAATAGAGCACGGCGCTCACAGAGGCCTTTCCAAGAACGCGGAAAGATGCACTGGTGTTTGTTTAGACTGCTGCTAGTGATTGCCCTTCGTTAGTAGGGTGGACAGTTGAGTATTCCGTAACTGACGGGGCCTTCTGCTGTGAGAAAGTTGTGGAAGGCCTTAAGAAATATGGACTGAGATTCGGCAAGGTGAGAACGAAGTTCTGATTCAATTATTCGAATACTGAAGATGACAGTATACCAACGGATTCCAGAAACAAACAGTGATACGTAGCCGTGGCTAGCGTGCTGCTCTATTTCGCTTGTTCAGCCGATTTCGTTACATAATTGGCCATCGGATGTCTGAGTGGATATGTGTGAATATGAAGGCCGTAGCGCTGTTACTCATCAACTAATTTTCTCTTTTAACAGAATCATGACGAAGTATTCATTGTCTTTCTTCTGCTCCCCTATTTTTCTCTTCCATTCATTACAGTTTCTCACATGGGGTCGTGTCATCCTGTGAGGTCTGCCTCACAGGCGCGGAATGGAACCGGGCATGTCTTATTCATGATCTATTTTTCTTGCTCCCATCACACTCTGCCATCAGGACTTGTCTTTTTGGTGATCATGTCCACAAACCATTAGTGGTTGTGGCTTTTATTATCCTACACTCTCTGTATCGTTCTCAGGAGAAGAAGAGACAGTGTCCCAAAGCAGAACTCGCCTCCGAATTCATTCAATCAGTGATTCGTTGGTTGAGTAGCCTTCCTTGCCCAAAGCTACAATTTTCACGCGATGGCTTACGTCCTGGGAATCCTTGTTCGGAACGGATCACATCTTATCATTATGGAAGAAGCTCTACTGTCTTTGGAAACAAGGGTTATGGCTTCAGAACTGTTGTTGCCTTTACTCCAAATCAAGTCACCTGTTCCGAATCTGGGCTTTCATAATAGTTTTGACCAGAGGTGGCCAGACTCTCTGAAGTTGTTTCTCAAACCCAATGATAATTTCAAATACTTTTCTTGAATACCTCAAACAGCGAATATTCCATCAAGCCTTTCAACATTCATTTTTGGTGCGTGTACCGGTGTTGATCAAGGCAATGCGGCTGCAATGAGCTATCACATCTGATAGCCCCGAGAAACTCCGGCCCGCCGGGAATGTATCAACTGTGAGTAAAAAACTCCCACAGACGCGCATGACTACTGAAACAAATAATTTTGGATTGATGCGTGGGAGCAAAAAGAGGAGTCGATCAGATTTGGTTGTTCGCACTTGAGTCGATTCTCAAGCAACTCGCAGATAGATATAGATCGTGCACAGCAGACCCGGCAGGTAGCGGCTGTGTCCGGCAGTAGACTCCGGGACGTAAGCCAGGAATTACAACAATTCAGCACCGGTAGTCGGTGACTTCCGGAAATGGTACATTGGGTTCCGCCGTCGGACACCATTCCTAGGCGCCCTTGAGAGCTCCTGGAAGTCGGTCAAGCCGCAAGGGGGCTCGCAACCGCCGAGATCCATCGAAATGGGTTACTTCATTACGTACATGTGGGATCGATCTCGGAACGAGCCTGTTAGTCTACTCACATTCTAATCTCACAATGACTATTGCTTTGTCGCAGTTGGCGCCGAGGTTCCGACAAGGTTTGTCCCCACGTCCACCAAGATCGGTGATCAGCCGAACAAACTCCAGAAGGCCAGACCTGTCAGCTCCTGAGGCGGAAGGGGATCATCCTCCAAAAGGAGAAGAACAGCGGTGTCATGCCAGAAGTCTCGTGCGAGATGGAAAATTAGGGACACCGTATGGGGTCCACGTCTCAAATCCACCAATCACAGCACGTGCCAAGAGTCGCTTATCCCAAGGTGAGCCTCATGAAACGACGTCCCGCGGCGGATCTCAGGCCAGTCGCCTGGAAACATATTAGGCGATCCGGGGGGTAAACGTGCAAACAGGATGTTTCCTGTGAGGGTAGCCGCTAATTCGGAACCAAGGCCGAGTGCAACAGGGTAATGCAGGTCTGAGCTGTCTGCTTGACACTTGCAATATCGCTTCAGGGGCAGACTCTGTGGGACGACCGAGGGGGCGAACAAGTCCCGGAGAAACGGCGAGCAGGAGGAATGAAGAGGTTAGATATATAGCTATGGCTGTCCGCAGAGATCACACCATCAGCCCAGTTCATCACACTTCAAGCTCGTTCGGTGTTCGATATTCATTCTTTTGGCTGAGTCCACCTTGATCGCAGTGCGATATCACATTCTTTGCTCATTCTTTCTTACAGACTGCATCTGAAGTCTCTGGTCGACTATCCTGCTCTCCAACCACCCAACAAATACCGCCAAGATGAAGTACACCATTTCCGCTGCGCTCGCCACTGTTCTGGCTGCCAACAACGTTGCTGCCCACGCAACCTTCCAACAACTCTGGGTATGGTTCCCCAGCCCTGCCATGATTATTCAATATCCATATACGAGGGCCTCTCGCTGACCGAGCATAAAGGTTGACGGAACGGACTTCGACACCTCCTGTGCGCGTATCCCTCTGAGCAACTCGCCCGTTCAGGATGTCACCTCCAAGGACATGGCTTGCAACGCTGGAACCTCCCCGGCCAAGGCCAAGTGCGACGTCCCCGCGGGCAGCACCGTGACCGTCGAGATGCACCAGCAGCCCAACGACCGCAGCTGCTCCAACGAGGCTATTGGAGGTGCCCACTACGGCCCTGTCCTTGTGTACATGGCTGCTGTCGACGATGCCGCCTCCGCCGAGGGTGCCGACGCCGCCTGGTTCAAGGTCTTCGAGGACACCTGGTCCTCTGGAGGTGCCTCTGGCAGTGACGACAACTGGGGAACCAAGGACCTTAACACTTGCTGTAAGCTAACGATCTGGAGATTATACCAACGTCCTCTTCTAAACATTTCATTTACTAACCTCTTCATGCTACAGGTGGCAAGATGGACGTTCCCGTGCCCAAGGACCTCGCCCCCGGCGACTACCTCCTGAGAGCCGAGGCCATCGCCCTGCACGCCGCCGGCTCCGAGGGCGGTGCCCAGTTCTACATGACCTGCTACCAGATCACCGTCTCCGGCGACGGCACCGCCACAGCCGAGACCGTCTCCATCCCCGGCGCGTACAAGGCCGCCGACCCCGGTATCGAGATCAACATCTACCAGGCCATGACCGAGTACGTCGCCCCCGGCCCCGCCGTCTACGCCGGAGGCTCCAACAAGACCGCCGGCTCCGAGTGCACCAACTGCGAGTCGACCTGCGCCCCCGGTGACGCCCCCGCCGCCACCCCCGGCTCTGGATCCGCCTCCAGCTCCGCGCCTGCCTCTGCCGCCGCCTCGTCTACCTCTGCCGCTGCCACTTCGGCTGCCGCCGCCAGCACCACCCTCGCGACCTCTGTGACCACCCAGGCCGCTGCCGTGGCTACCTCGGCCAGCGAGTCTTCTGCCGCCGCGGCTACCACCGCCGCTGCCGAGTGCAAGAGGCGCAGGAGCCGTATTGCTCGCAACCTGTAAGCGAGTGGCTGCGAATATGAGATGCTGAACGGTGAACGATGAAGCTCGTCGTACATGATTCACGGACGGTGCATGAGAGGGAGATATTCTCCAGTTGGTTCATTCTTCTGTAAATAGATTATATTGCTCAACATACAACGACGAAAGTCTGAAGACAAGCCACATGAGTGTACCTGAAGCTCACATGGGACTGCGTCGTGGAAATGGTGACAACATGGAAATGTAAAATGTAAAATGTGAGGAAAGTCAAAATTTAGCTCAATTATTGGTATTCTGTAATAGACCTACCTAAGTACTTACCGTAATGGACCAACTTTGTCTTGAAAACAGAGGTTGGTCAACCGGGCATTGTCTCGGCTACCTCCTAATTAGGGGCAGTCCAGGTAGAGTCCCAGCTATTGCTCATTGTGTTCCACAAAAGAGGTTCAAGCTTGTGCTGTTCGAGCCAACTCTTGACATACGCGCGCGATGCAATTTTGCATGCGAGACAGGCCGGCTCGTTGTTGACCAGGGGAGGGATGACCTCTGGCTTGGGTTTACCACAACGCCTGTCGGGGCAGTGGATTGTGTGATAACTGAAATCCCACCGTTTGCTGCACCCTAAACAAAGGCTGTACTCTGAGAACGAGTTGCACATGGTGATAGTCTTGGTATGCTGTGACTTCCGAGGGAATGATTGTTAGCCAGTGTAGGTGTAAAGATGTTGAGTGAGGCAAACTCTGGTTGGCATTTCCTCTGACAATTTTTGGACACTTCCTCGTGCCTGCTTATATATTCAATCTACGACAATAGCGGACTAAAGACACCACTGACTATTGTCGCATTGATTTGGGTCGGCCCTTTGTGCCTGGTTTTCTGTATTGTTCTTCACAAGCACTTGTCCCCTTACTTCCAGCAATGGAACGAGACAAAGTCAATGTCTTTCATGAACGAGTCTTTGGGTCAACGTTCATTTGGGCGGCTGAAAATATCCATCTGCTGCTGTACTTAGCGATGAACAGGACGGGTCTTCAATCGGATGTTACGGTAATTTCTGATACGGCCAGGAAGACGGAAGTCAAGTCGGAATGATACATAGATTAGAGTGAAGATTTGGTGCTTTACGACCGGGTATCAAGGATCAAAACAGAGATCACTCAGTTTGAACTGCCGGTTGAGAGCATGGAACTTTCAGCGTCAGACTTGTGAGAGCCCATGTGAAAAAGCCAATAAAGTGTCACAATATTGAACACAAAACCGGAAGACGAATCCAGCCTATCAAGGAAGACGGAGTGGAAGTGTAGAAATCAAGTTGATCATAAATTCACATTGTGGTACTCGACGTCTTGACGACAATTCTGAGCACGTCAATTTTCGTCAGCCACAATTGCCCGGGTGGAGGAAAGCCGTTCTTGCGAAGGGACTGCAGCCGCATGACGTGTTGAACATATCGAAAGACGACTGTGATCCTCCTTCTGTTCCTGGAAATGCATTTGACCATGGTCTTGTTGGTTGACGATAATTCAATCGTAAATAAAATCGTCTTTGCAAGTAGTCATAACTCTCCGAGAGCACATGGCGGTTATACCCTGGATTCAACGTCAGTCACGATACATCTTTCTTTGCTGCTGGTTTATTTGGAACCATTTTGGCGTTGCCAACATATTCTGGGCATATTGGGATAAAAATAGTGCGTGATCCTCGGGTTGACCAAAGAAATTTACTGGGTCGTACCACCTGGTGCGTTTTCATGTTGCCCGCACCTCCTGACCCTGAGCCGCTTGTGACTTGACGAGAACAAAGACCAAGTCAGGATGACGATTCTCAAGAGAACCCCCTATCATGCGGCAGTCACAAAGAAATTCAAAGCACATCCTACATGAGGTGTGGTACACAAGTGTGTTAGGATTGAGGGAGAGGATTTCGGATCAGTTACATGCACAGAGAGAACGTGTTGGTGGAATAGAGACAAAGGGCTCGAAGGTTCGGCCGTTGACAGTGGCATTTCCTCACACATCAAGAAAGGCGGGAGCCGTCCGTCATGAAGAATGACAACATTTTCCTTGTTTACGATACCTAGAGACTGCCTCGAGTGTTGGGCCACTTCATATGCCTGTGCTGAACAATCGCCTCGCTGGGGCAGCGGCCTCACGAGCCAACCCCCAAAAGAAAGGCAAGGATGAAGAGAATTAGAAGTCAAAGCTTACTGTACTTGGAGGCTGCAAGATCTACATGGCCGTTGTGTGTCTGCCAGTTCCAGGGTTCTGAAGCAAGGCGCAAGGTGTCTTCAATTGCCTCCAAAGTGATCTCCACTACCAAAGAGCACTCACCACTTCTACTTGGACTTGTGATTTGCAGGGAACCTTCAGTATTTCCAACTGAGCCAATAGAAGCACGACTCCAAACATAGACTTGGGTGGATCAAGATAGTCTGACTGGGTAAGTCTGCAGCTATCTGGACTTCAGACGTTCTGAACCAATTGTTGAAAACTTGTTGGACACATTAAGCGTTTTGCGTTCATAATGTCTATTGTCTCCGTTCGCTTCTATGCGTCACGATCCATGCAGCGTACTTACTATGCAGGTGCTGGGACGAGCAAAGCACCTGTGCGCCATGAACTAGCAAAAGTTTAGCCTCCGATGCTAGGTCACTTAGAAGGTTAGTGCGCGGTCAAGATCAAGATCTGAGTATGCGCCAAATTGGATTGGGAGGTGGTCCGACATCACGAGCTTGCTCGGATGCATGCTGCATGCAAAGCGCTGGCCTTACAGCTTGGAAGGTCTAAGTTGTTTTCTCTAAGGTCGCGAAGTGTTGCCGAACCCACCACCAGAGCAACGGTGGAAGGCGGTCAGGCCCTATGGCGCAAAGCTCTTTCGGAGCATTATTGCCGTAGGGTGCGCAGCCGACTGGTCGGAGAAGAATGTCACAAGTGAAACAGTCCGGATTTGCTGTGCAGGAAAGGTGATGAATGAGGTATGGGCAAGTCAGCGTGTTGGGGGGGGGGGGGTCCAGAGAAGGAGGGAGGATGTGCCGGGCTGCCGTGGACCCGGGAGCCATGCCAAACGGTGTTACAGAGAGGGCAGAATGGCTTTTATTAGTCTGTTGTTAAACCACAGCTGGATGCATCCCCTGCATGACGCGGAGTCAACATGGCAGCATTGATCTGATCAAACACTTGAACACAGGAGCCCAGGCGGCGGCCGGGTTGGGCCTGACGCGAGGGTCGTGTCGCCAGTTCGGTGTGGACGCCCGAGGGGCCGGGGTGCAAGCCTGTGGGATCGTGCAAGCTCGATGGTCTGTCCCGGGACAAAGAAGGGCGGGATGAACCTTAGTTGACAGCATGAAACATGCATAGCGAGGAGGGGGTGACGATGTGGGAGCACTGAGATGATGGGAGTTGAGAACAGAGTTTGCAGAGAAGGCCAAAGACGCAACGCTCCTCAGCCCGGGTCAGGGGTTAGGACGACGGCTCATTCCATCCAAGGCTCAAGCTTTGGCGCCAATACAGAGACAGAGATACTGACATGAGAGCGACGACACGGCCCAAAGCGTGATGGTGAATGAAAGCTGCACCTCGACTGTCAACAGACCCAATACCGATCGAGCAGTCGGGACGGAAGGCAGGAGATGGGTAACTTCATCCAGTAAGCAAGCAGACCGTGGTCAAGCCAGGTACTCGGATACTGTAGTGTCTAAGTAGACCACCTAAGCATCTTGCACGCATGTGATGGGCGTGCCTGAGTCCTCGAGGCTTGCCCGATTCGAGACATGCTGCTAAGACAAACATTTGGAGATGTCGCTAACAATTAAAGTGGAAGTCATACGCCACGTTGGTGGGTCCTAGTCGGTGATGATCGCTACGTGCTTCGACGACATATTTCCCTACACATCGCACAAGTGTCCCAATCTCGGGACGGCAAGGTACGGGCCCAAAAAGGGTCCAGCCTGGCAGAGCGATGGAAATCGAGGGCGATCATCAGCTCCAGTCTATTACGGCGCAGTGTAGCCACGCCAGAGTGGCAGCTGGCAGACTGGCAGACCCGGCGGAACTGGGTAGCTCCACCCCCCTGCTCCCAGGTCAGCTCCGGTCCGGGGCCCAGGTCCAGGCCCTGGCAAATCAATCAGTCAGTCAGACCCGACCCGAGACCACCCTCCCGTCATCCGTTGCCATCCGCTAACCAACCATCCCATCCAACCACACCCCCCCACTCTTCTTGGTTATCTCAGCTTGCCTGCTTGCATATAATGATTGACCGCAGCGCAGGTCTCGAATGGCGGTCTGCTGAAACTGGGCGGCTTGTCTCTGGAGAAGGGGAAGGGGATGGAGGGGGTCTACGGTTCCTGGCCGTCCATTCTCAGGAGCGTGTACTGCACCCAGGCATGGCATGTACGCATGTATTGTCATGGCCCGCCAGTTGTTCGGCTTCTGATCACACGGTAATTAGAGCACGTCTTTTTCATTGCTACGGGTGCAGCACAGCATGCAGTGCACCCACACAGGCACACAACCCAACCCACGCACAAACAAACATCGAGACCAACGTCAAGAACCTGGAATGATGGCATTCTGGTCTCTCGCCTCCTTGCAGGCACATCCCTGTCCCATGAGCTCCACATCTGACCTGCCTAGCGCCGTCCTGGGCCTCGCTGATCGATTACCCCCTGTCGCAGCTCACTCACTCGCAGCTCAAAGCTTTTGCTTGCACCTCTCTCTGTGCGTGCATGCTTTTCAGGTTTTGCAATCGCGCCATGCAGCCACCCAACACCTCCTCCTGCCTCGACACTACCGTGTACCGATGGAGGCTATCTATAGCTGTCTGCTTGACTTTGGGGGCATGAGTCTTTTTGTGTGCGTGTGTGTGTGTGTGCGTGCGCGGGCGGGCGGTGGTGGTCCTGCCCTGTCCACTGGTGAGCACAGATGTAGACTACCTAGGTTCGTGCCTGGGAGTGTCTGGCAGGTACCGTTCCAGTCGCGCGCCGTTGCATGCACAGTTGCTTCGCGTAGTGCCGCTACATGATATGTACATGGTCTAGTCTGCGTTGTCCCGTACGGGGGGACGTGCGGGTTGCTGACTGACCTCAACATGACAAGTGACATCGTACAGTACATGCGTCCCTCCACCCCCTGCAACGTCCCTTCCCTCTCGCTCGCCTGCTCTTCCCTGCCGTTCCCTGCCCTTGCGCTTGCCCCTTGCTCTTTCCCTGGCACCAAGGCAGGCCCCATTGCCGCTTTCCCCATATTTTCCCCTTCCAAGGTTTGTCGCAACGCCAGACAGGCGGACACAGACGCAAGACACGGACAGAGACAGACACAGTCCTGGCCATCCAGAGCATGCATCACGGAGCATGACCCATGACCCACACCTATGCAGTCCACCTCAGACTCACCAAGGCTCACTCCACTCCACTCCACTCCAGGTCCTCTCCGCGTCAAACACCCACACACACACACAAACAATCTGCATCAATCTGCGGCATCTTGCAATCTTCAACACCACGCCTGCACCCGCACCCTCGCAGCGCCAGCTTCCAGCGTTCAGCGTCAGCTTCAACCACCGGCCGACCGCTGTTTCAGGGCAACCATCTCACCCGTCTTCAGCATTCCACTAATGCTTCGCGACAGGCCTCTTCCATCACACAGGCCCTGCTACTACCGCCCATGCCACCCAGCCTTTGAGATCACCAGCCGTCGTCGTGGGACCTGAACTCGGCCTGCCTCACCATTTGTTTGCTGACTAGCGCCGGTCGAACCAGCTTCAGAAACGCTCCTTGTCGTACTTGCGTGGGCACAATTCCCGACCTCGACTCCGACACAAGCTCAAGGGAAGACTAGCTTGGCCTCGCGGTGGCTTGGCTGTCTTTGTCGTCACCGATCTCGAAGAACCTTCAAAATGGATCCTCGAGATCAAAGACAGGCGCAACCGCCCAATCTACCGTTCTCGCGCAACGCACAGTCTCCACTTTATACTCGACAGACCTTGCCTCCCCCAACGCCTTCTTCAGCTTCTGCTACTCCCGCCCAGACCTCGTACGCGATAGAGAGACAGCAGCAGCCAGGGCAGCACACACAACCACCCTCCTCAGCCAGCGCTGCATACCCTCCCGAGAACCTCCAACGGCGACCCTCCGACCCTCACTATTTTCCCTCCTCCCGTCCTTATGACCATGGCGCTTCTCTCACCCCTTCGAACCACTCGCGACACCAGAGCTCCTCCTCTGTCACCCCTGCGCCGCCCATGAACCGCGCCATGCCACCTCCGGGCTCGCCTCCCCAGCCTGGTCAGGGTCCTGGAGGCCCTGGGGGCCCGGGTCTACAGATGGGGCCAGGAGGGCCATATAGCTTGCCTGCTCCGAGGCCATCGCCCATTTCTAGCGGGCCGCCTACAGCATTCCCTCCGGGAGGCCGCGAGCTTCCGGCCCTGGATTCTATACAGAGAGGAGGCAGTCAGGGGAGCTCAATGTCGTTGAATTATATGCTTGGCCCACGACCTCGAGATTCGGCTGCGCCTTCCTACCCTCCCCCGGCATCGTCAGCTGCCGTATCCGCGCCCTCTTACACGTCCGGTGTACATGCCTCTCCGAGAATGGCCTCAATCTCCGCCGAGTATGCCCCTTACCGAAGACCCCACACACCCGAACAACATCAACGAATATATGAAGCTCGAGATCCGCGAGCAGACCCACGCGCAGATCCCCGTACCGACCCGCGAGGAGACCCGCGAGGAGACCCGCGGGATCAACGGGACCCTCGAGCCGCTGCTGGCTCGCCACATGGTGTTCATCTCACACCGGAGATGCAAAGGTACGGCACGCCACGGGACACGTATCGACACCCTCCTCCGCCAATGGGCCCCACAGAGCACCCCAGGGACTTCCAGAGACTCCCAGGACCACCTGGGCCCCCTCCTCGGCCAAGCAGTCAGCCTAAGTCATTTCCCAACATCCCACCGCCTTCTCGTCAAATGGAGATGGGAAGGCCAGGGCACCCCGAAATGTATCCAAGGCGCGAAGAGCCGAGGCATGGAGGAGAATACAACCCGGAGCGTCTCATTATCGTCAAGCACGAGGAGGACAGGTTGATGTTCGAGCGAGAAAGGCAAGAGAGGGAGATGGAACTACGGGATCGTGAAAGGAGGGAGAGAACGACCTCAGGGGGCGATCCTGGAAGGCAGCATGCCATGCACCAGTCTGAGTATGGTCCGCCGGGCATGCAGCGACGGGAACCGCTACCGCCGCAGTACTCGCGCCCCTTGGATACCCGGGAACAGGCACACTGGCAAAGGCCGGCATATGACCAGCCGCGACATGTCTACGAGGAGCCGAGACCTCAACCCCGACAACACGAATACCCTCATGCAAGTGCACCTCCATATAACAGCAACCAAGGAGCTCTGTCGCAGCCTCCTTTAGAACGCTACCCCCCGTCGTCTCATCCTGGGCACTCACAGCCGGCGCCTCAGGCAGCCCATCAAGCGTCGCCTTACGAGTCGCCGAGTCGCCATCGTGCGGCGGCGCTCCCACAGCAGCAGCAACAACCTCCTCACCGGCGACCTGGCGAGGATGGTCCGCCCCCACCTTCTGTCGCATACAGCAACGGTCACCCCGCGCTCTACGATTCACCGCGACACCGAGCTGCAGAGGAGCCTGGCCACCCCATGGCCCACCAACAAAACTTCCTGAGAGTCCAAGAAATGAACCGAAAGGGCCGCATATCCCCGCTCCCACAAGCCGTACAAGGCGCTCAGCCGCAGATACAAGGTCCTCCAGGCGAGGCTGGCATAAAGAGCGAGTTCGGCCGCATGTTCTCAGGTATTGGGAGTGGAGTCAGTGGCCTAGGTGTTTCCAGCCCTGTCGCGGCCGGTGCCCAGTTACCCTTCACGAGTAGTGGCCTAGGGCGGCGTGAGGATTTGGAGCATGCACCGCCAGACGTAACCTCCGACCCTAAGGGCAGCCGTGACAGTGCTTCCCGTAACAAGCGCAGAAAGTCGAAGGATGATGACACCAAGAACGACGAAGACAGCACCGGTAGAAGTACCCCCCTGGGCAGAACCAAACGCCAAAAGACTCACTCTCATCACCATCACCACCAGTACGTATCGCCCCATTTGACTGTGTTACCCCACGTCGCTCACATTGCTAGCCATCATCATCATCACCATCACATTCCCGACCAAGTGTCGCCCCAGCAGGCTGTGGTCACCCCGTTCAAGAACGTCAAGGGATCCACACCACTTCCCTCCCCTACAGGCGTTGCGAAAGATCTCCTTATGACTCACCACCATGCTCCTCCAAGAGCCAGCGCTCACGGTCAAATCAGAGAACCACACGCCCAGCCAGCCGCGAACCTTCCAAACGCTGCTGTCAATGCCCCGCCGAAACCGAAGCGCATCATCTCGAACAAGGCGATTCTTGACAGTGTGGCGCACAAGACACGTGAGCACCTCGGGGACTGGATTTACGAGGTCACTCTAAAACCGGCACGGATACTGGATGGTCGAAGTGGTCGACAGGCACGGCATGCGTATCAATCCACGCCTAAACCCCTGCCAATGTCAACAATCCAAGGCAAGGAAGGAAGCACCCTGATGGTAAAGGTTGGGAAGCAGCACCTTAAGCCTTCTGCGAGAGCTGAAATCACATCGCGCCGGGCACTCTGGGGAACGGATGTGTACACAGACGATTCAGATGTTGTTGCAGCTTGCATTCATGGTGGATGGATCCGGGGCGAGTGGCCTGATGACGTCGATGTCAACCTGCTGGGGCTCGAAGATGGCATCGGTGCGGATGTCAAGGAGACCAAAGGCAGCAGGAAAGGCAGAGGCAAGGAAATAGCCGAGCCGCTGCAACAGAGCAACCCGGACTTCTTGGAAGCACCATTGGCAACAGGGCCCGTGCAGGCACCCGAAGGCCGAGACATGCACATCATGATTCAGATTCTACCAAAGCTGGAGAAGTATGCGTCCACGGTACGTTTTGGGATCAAGAGCCGGGAATGGGGTGGGAAGCTGGGTCGAGATGGACAACGGTCCAGCCACGACGGGCTCAGCTTTATGATCAAGTCGGTACGGTTTGTCACCAACGGCGCAGCCCCGCAGAGTAGGCTTCGCGGCCAGGCCAGAAGGGACAGGATGCGGAAGGCAATGCAAGAGGTTGAAATGAGCAGGGCGTTCGAGGTCAGGGTGGTCCCCAACACTGGCAGCGGCATCGTCTCATTGGCGCCGAAGAAGAAGGCAGCGGACAGTGCCGGTGACAAGGAGAATCGGACGCTGGATGATACTGGAAACGTCGGTGGGCGCGACAAGGAGGCGCACAATGGCAGCCCTGGAGGAAGCAGGGCAAGGGGCAGCCTCGCGGAGGGTCCAGCCGCGAATGGTGGAGATGCAGATCGCAATGAGCAGCACAACCGGGACGACGATAGCGGCGTCGGTGATGTGAGCGGGGCAGGGGATGACCCAAACGTGCCGGCAGCTCTGAGCGCTGCTGCTACATTAGCGGCGGTGGCAACAGTTGCGAGCAGGCTAACGCCGCCTGCGGAGGCGTGATCCAGACACATACACGATGGAGGCCTTGGCTGAAGGACTCAGCGTCGAGGGCATTGGGTTGTTGAAACTAGAAGTGTTGTTGTTTGTCTTCTAAAAGTCAGGACAGCATGTGGCGTTTGGGTTGATTCTGGGGTTTCAAGATACCTGTGGCATGGGCAGCCTGCCTGCATTGGCAGCTTATTCGGTATGCTACCAAGCGCTTGCTTTGAGTGAAAGCAAGGCTCAACATGTCACGCCCCCTCCCTCCCCGCTCGTGATTCCGTACTCGAGCGGGCACTTGATAGAAAATATTCTGTACTGTTGTACACGACCTACGGATACCACGAAGAATATTCTTTTAACAGAATGCGCCAGTTTTGAAACAACAGCTTGGTAATTTACAAGGCTGGCCTTTGCGAGAGCCTGTGTTGAAAAGGACCGGCCACTAAATTGCGGTCGAATGAACCTATTCCAGCCCGGCTTGACCTCGACGTAGCCATACCGGCAGTATTGCCTTTCTATCTACAACACGCTTGCCTACGAGTGCAGTAGGTTCTAAGTCACCCAACATTCAACGTGACCGTATTAGGATGTCCCCCGGACCACCACTATCATTGGTTTGCGCCGGCAGACAGAGAACTGCACTGCCACCATGCGCGCAACCCTTCGGGGGACGGGGCGAGGGTTGCTCATCCCTCTACTAGTCCATGCCCGCCTTCTTGTTCTTCCGCAGCAAGCTCAGAAGTCGGTCACGCGGCCGTTGTAGCTCCAGTCGCCTGCGCTGCCCCACCGCAGCGGCTCGGTCTTTGGCCCGCCGACCTCGCCCGTCTTGGGGTTCCTCTCGCCGTCGAACTCCGGGGGCGCGCCGCGCCACACGCCGCCTGTGGTGGGCTCGTCGGCTGACGGTGATGATGGTGATGGTGTCGCCGCCGTTGCAGCTGCCGCAGCTGTCCCGTCCGGCGTGGTCGTGTGCCGTGGCGTCGAGGCCGGCGATACGGAGGGCTGCTGCTGCTCGTGCGGCAGGGGCGTCGGGTCCGCGAGGCGGTCGGCCACGGCGCGCTGGAGGCGCTCGAACTCGGCCTGCTGGTCTGGGGGCAGGCGCGGGGGCGAGGGGCCCTGTTGGAAGGCTGAAGAGTAGGGACGCGCGGCGAGGAGGGATGGTGGCCGTGTCTGTGACTGCGACTGTGATGGTGATGGTCGGGGCGCTGCTGGCCTTGTGAGGGCTGCCTTGCGGATCGCGCGGAGACTCGAGGGCCCGGGGAAGAGGCGGATCGAAGGCATCGTGTTGTTGTTCTGGTGGTGGTGGTGGTGGTGGATTGGTCCTGGATTGAGACCAAGAGGACCGCAGGTACAGTTGGTGGTGGTTCGCCGTCTTGTTCACGTAGGTTGAGCAACGGGGGCGGAAAGCAGTCAAGGTGTGCACCTAGATAGATGTGGTGGTGGCCGAGGTTCGGCAGCCAGTTGGACCAGTCTGCCGTTGACGACATGGACTCGGAGCCGCGGCCCATCCGAGCTACCGGGGGTCTTTGATCTTCGCACGCCGGACCCGATCAGTCGGATCTAGCCGTCTGACTGTGACTTTGCTTCAGCCCGATATCACATCACACTGGCCAACAATGCAATTGCACAGCCGGGAATGACTACACTTTCAACAGAATCCATATCTCGTCGCTCATGAACGGCCAAGGAAAAGCATCATTGGTTTGCTTATCAATGCATCATAAGTCGTGCACGGTTCGTATCTGCAGTGCATGACAGTCTTGTCCAGTTCGCACTTGACAAATAGACAAGGGGCTTCATCAGCTTTACGCGCCTGGCTAAGGGCTGGCATGTCTGCGAAGGTTGGCGATTGTCATGGCCATGTATGCCCAGGCCTACCTAGGGCTCCCAAATTAGACACGCATCTTACGCCCGAGGCCGCTCGGAGGAGCCGCATCTGATACGAGACCGACTCCCACTCCACCTTATTCCCGGGCGATTCTCTTGGCTGCGCCAGTGCAGAAGAAGAAGGCTAGGGGAAAAAGAAAGAAAAAAGAAAGAAAAAAAAAAATTGACAGTAGTGATAGACCGGTCCCAGACCTGCCAAGTCCATGTTCCCACACGCCAGCGAGACGGGCCGAAAGCCGTGAGATTTCATTACGCGGTACAGATCGAAGATTTCAGGGCCAAACGGAGGCAGGCCCGTGTACGTGTACCACAACAAACATATGACTCGGCAGCGTCCGTGTCCAACGCATCAAGAAAAACCGCACAGGTGCTACAGCGGCGCAAGGGGGGGCCAGTCAGTCAGTCATTCAGTCAGCCCAGCCAGCCCTGCAACGCCGCTGCCTCCCGGCCCAGCCCTCTGCGCCTGTGCCTGAGTGTCTAGCTCTGGCCTGATAACCCACCGCACTCCTTGGTCCGGGTGGCACCATTTTTTCTAACCCTGAGGCCCGGATCAGAGCACGATCCATCTATCTTGCTGTCATCAACTGGCCCTGCCTTGCTGCAGATTGCATCAGGGGGGGCACAGTGACACTTCCAGCAGTGGCCATTTCATGCCCACGTCCGCCTAATCCCCCCCGGGAAGAACCGGGACGCTTTGATGGTGGACGATTACATGGATTTTGTTTTCTGGGACTGGGAAAAGCCCCCTTGGAAATTGGCTGTGGTGTTATAATGAGTGTTGTGGAATATCTTTTGATTTCCTTTTACCGCTGAGACTTTAGACAATATTGACTCACGACACTGTTCCTAAGCCATCAATGTCACGACCATAAGCGCACGACTTTAACTCGGTCATATTTAACGAGGCAGCGCCTTACTCCATTAATTACGTCTATTCTCTGATGAGTACCACGAAAACTCCACATGACAATCTGAATACCCTCTTTCTTTAAAATGAGCAGCCACTTGTGAAGTTTGAGTCCATAAAGGGGGAATCATACGGCGATCAAGACTACATCAGCTGCAACACGACCACGTGCTCGTCACCACGACATCACAACAGCATCACCAAAAAAGACACCTGGGACATATTCCAACAACTATTCAGGACAGCCTACCGTTTACTACACACAGCCCAAGCAAAGATTCCCCGGAAACGGAGATGGCTACAACACAAGTCTCCCAGTGCCGGAGAGCCAGTAGCATCTCCGAGGCCGATATAAAGGCCAGCGTCGACGAGTATATAAGCCCGGATATTCTGCATATCTTCCGCGAGGACAGGGCCGAGGCGCCGGCCAGCCCCCTCGCACCAAAGGCCCACATCTCCGCCCCGTCGGAGGAGCTGCTGTCACGGTTCCCTCAATTCCAGCGCCTGCCACTGGAGATCCGCTATTTGATCTGGGAGGCGGCCGTCCCCGAGCCGACGGTCGTGCCAAGGACGTGGAACAACGCCAAGTTCAGGTACAACCTGCAGAGGAGCGTGCCTGCGGTGCTGCAGGCCTGCGCAGAGTCGAGGAGCCTCCTGGTCGCGCAGCCAGGGTCGGCGCGGACGGGGAGTGTCGCCCCGAAGTACGAGCTCGTCCAGACGCGGGGCCGCGAGGATGAGGGCGTGTATATGGACTTTGACAAGGACTCCATATGGGTGTACCGAGGCTGTGAGTGCTATTTCCAACCCCTGCTTTCTGCACATGCCCCCCCCCCCCATGTCGAGTCAGGTTCGCTGACTTCCAACCGTAGACGACATCAACGACGCCGAGGTCGCGGCATACTCGGGCCTGCGCAGCCTCGTCATGAACTGGGGGCTGCGGCCGTGCTGGGTCGACTCGGCCGTGGACGACGGCGTGAGGTTCGTGCGCAGGTTCCCCGAGCTCAGGCTGCTGACGCTGCTGGTGGACTTCAACGAGCACGGCTGGCCGGAGCCGTCGACGCTCAAGGGGCTCAGGAGGCTGAAGCGCACCGAGGTAAAGCGCATCTGGGCTCTGGTGCGGGCGGCGTTCCGGAGGGCGGAGGAGGAGGACCCGGGCTGGACGGCGCCGCGGTTGCATATCGTCCATCGGACGGAGAACTGGTGCCGCCGGGAGGCCAGGTGAGATCCTTGGGCCGTGGTTGGCTCCAGTGAGCGGAGTTTGGCATAGGGCAGGCGTTGGGGATGTGTTTTCACCACTCGTCCATTGACAATATACCCACCTTTTTGAACCGGGCGGGATGAGATCCTGAAGTTTATGAACAGTGTTCAAGAGTTTGAGTGCTCTGTTGAGCTTCTATGTTTCTAACCATCAAATGTTGGTGAATGACGAGACTGAAGGCCAACTTTGCGACCGGAGACGTAGATCCTGTCCGCCTTCAGCCCACCTTGATGTTCCTGCACCAGTCTCTCCCATGCCGGACCTGCCAATCACACAGCCACACCTCTACAGCCATGCCGATAAATCCAGCGAGGCAGATGCCGGCACTGTCAGCCACGGACGTCGCGCCGAGGCTGAACTCGCGCTCTGCGACCGGCACGTTTTCTATAATCTCGGCAAAGGTGTTCACGTACACGGCGCCGCCGAGGAGGCCCTCCCAGAAGACGACAAGAAATACGATGTAGACGGTCGGGATGAAGTTGAGCAGGGCGTGCAGGGTCAGCAGGACCAGGTTGCCGACCTGCAGGAAGGACGGGATGTAGACGTGGTGGATGCGCACGAAGGGCGTCGACGAGCGCGAGATGAAGACGCCGAACTGGTAGAGGAAGTTGTAGAAGGGGTAGAAGTCCCTGTGCTCGGCGAAGGGCGAGGACTCGAGCGGGAACAGCAGCGTCGGCGAGACGCCCTGGTTGATGGTGTACTCGGCGACGTAGACCATGAACAGCGGGAGCATGTACGGGATCACCAGCGACCTCGCGCGCCGCAGGTGCGCCACGAAGGACCCGCTGCTGTGCCCTTCCGGGTGGGCGGAGTAGGCGGTGGTTGCGACGGCGGGACCCGGGGCCAGCAGGCTGGACGAGGCGTTGCCCGCGGGCATGTCGTCGACGTCGTCCTCGGCCAGGTCCTGCTCCGGAAGGGCCTCGTAGCTCTTGAAAGCTGCGCTCTGGCGCAGTGGCCCCTGTGGGAGGATGACGAAGAAGCTGAGCAGCATGACGGCGGGCAGGAAGGCCGAGGCGAGCAGGCTGTCCCTGACGCTGAAGCCGAGCCAGGTGGTGAGCAGCACGTACAGGCCCGCGCCAGCTAGCCCCGCGCCGCCGGTGCCGCTGCCCCAGGCGGCGAGGCTCATGTGGCCGTAGTAGTGGGTCAGGCCGAGGAAGCTCAGCTCGCCGCCGCCGCTGCTCAGGCTGGCGAGCACGACGCCCAGCATCTTGACGGGGACGGAGCCCGTGGCCGGCGTGAGCGCGATGAGGAGCATGCCGGTGGCGGAGATGCCGGCGAATATGGGGATGCGCACGGCGTAGGGGACACGGTGGATGAAGTAGGGGGCGACGAGCTTGATCACGAAGGAGGGCATCACGTCGGCAAGCAGGACGATGCCCTTGGGCAGGTTCCCGATGAGGTCCTGCGCGGCGGACAGGATGATCACGTAGAGGACATTGTTGATGAGGCCTATTGTGGGGAGGAGAGTACCATCAGCTCATGCATGTTTCTGTGTGCCTGCGCTCCTCAGGAAAGAGCTGGGCGTGCGCGTACCAAACAGCCAGAAGGCCACCAGGACGTGGGCGTCGGCATTGCGGAAGACGCTGGCGATCCTCGCGCGCCAGGCTGGAGTTCCAGGCATGGGTAGGAGTCCGGATGAGGATGGCGACGGGCTCATTCTTGTATGGCCCTCTTGTCTACGGTCTATGTTGTGGGACGGAAGGCATATTAAGGCGGGACGGGGAGAAGGCGATGAAAGGAGCTCGTGGCTTGCTCGTGTGACGTCTGTCTACGATAAGCCGGACCCTGAATGTAAGGGTGGTTGCCGATAGCCGGTCGCCTTGGGCAGGGGGTGGGGCAATCTAAGGGTTGCACCCTGACATGGACAGGAGTCGAAGGATTCTTCGAGATGTCGGCAGAACATACTCTATGCCGTACCACTCCACATTTTGCCCAGTCGAGTGAGTTATAATCATGGGGGCGAGGTTACATCGCCAAAAAGCTTGTTATGTTTAGCCGTTTATCGAGACGGTCGTTGGCGCATCAGCAACAGGCACATCGCACGCCTACACTCGTAATTCGGAGTTGGACAGGCACTCTTCGATGGCATACATATATATAAATCTATATGTTGCCTGGATTTTGATCATGTGTCAAATAAAATTAGACATACGTATATGTCGACTTCAACGCCCAAAAGCAAACGGACAGCCCGAATTGGGAGTCCTGCCAGTTAAATAACCCCAAACACCGCCCAATGCAATACCTTTGTGATGATACCATTTCCCTCCCGTACATGTCTGAGATCCGAGACACCGGATGAAACCCTCGAACTCCAAGTCGAATCATCCGCATGGCATCACGTTCATGACCCGTTAATCTGTTGTTCCTGTCAGCACGTGCTCCTGAATTCTGTCAATAAGCCGCCGCGCCACTCACCTTGTCCATCTGAGCCTGCAGCTTGCCCCTGATCGTCTCGTTGTTGCGGATCATGTCCGCGGTCTGGATGGCGATCTCGCCGATGGCCTTTTGCGACAGCGCGAACGGCGTGTAGAACAGGTAGTCGCTGGGGATCTGGCACACCTTGACCGTGTCGGCCGCCTTGGCCGCCAGGTCGACTGCGCCGTCTGCCGAGTCCACCTTCGACTTCTTCTCTTCCTTCTCCTCACCACCACGCTTGCTCCTACTTCTCCTCACCTGCTGCTCCTGATCCTGGTTCTCCGGCTTCGTCGCGCTGGGCACCTGGACGTCGCCGCCGATCTCCTCGTTGGGGATCTGGAGCCGCACGCCGCTCTGCACCGAGATGGCCACCAGCGCCGTGTCGACTCGCTCCACGCACGAGTTGGTCACGTCGCGGTACCCGTCCTCGACGGCCCCGTCGCCGCGACCGGCCCCGTCCCGCAGCCGTGCGTTGCGTAGCTGCCGCTCCACCATGGCGTCTAGCACGTAGTTGGCCATGTTGTACGCGTAGCCGTCGCGGACCGGGCTGGGCCTGCTCTGGGGCGCGGCCATGTCGACGTTCTTGCCTTGGGTTGCCGTCTGGGTCGCGGGGGTATCGGCGAGGGGTGAGGAAGAGGCGGCGGCGGCGTCTAGCTCGGCCCTCTTGCCCTCCTTGCTTTCCTCCTCGCCAGCCTTCCTGTTCTCCTTCCTGACCCACTCCACCAGCCCGTCGACGATGCGGTCGTTCCAGTGCTCCGTCAGCTCGGCCGAGTTGCGCATCTGCTCGGCCTTGGAGTGCGCCTTGGGGAGCTGCGCCCTGAGGTCGCGCCAACCCGGCAGCAGGGACGGGTCCATGACGCGAGGTATCAGGAGCCGGAAGTACTCGGTCGTGTCTTCAGCATTGGTCTCCGCTTCTGATCCATTTTCGGCGCTCCCCTCGTTCCTCTTCTCAGTCGGCCCCTCGGCGGGTGGCTCCTCGCTGTCCGCCTCGGGGCTGGTCTCCGGCTCGGGCGGAGCTGGGACGTAGTTGGTGTCAGACCATGCGATCGATCGGAAATCCGTCGAAGCCTCGTACAGCCGCTCGATCTGCTCAAATATGTCTTTCGTCATGGCGTCTGCAGCAGTCTTTCCGGCGGGGATCGGCATGGCCGATAACGACCACACGTCCCAGAAGCCAAAGTTGAAGACCCACAGCGTCTCCTTCGGCGCGTGACGTGGCTTGGGCATGGCGAGGAACCGGTCGACTTGGTCCTTCAGGTCGAGTGTCTGCCACTTGGGGGCATAAAGGGTCGACAGGTACGAGTAATCCATGCCGGGGCTGGACGTTTCTGACGTCTCGTTAAGTACGCTCTCCACGCCGTGGGCATACAGAGCCTTGGAGCTGACGGACCACGCGGGAGAATCGGGTGACGGCGCCATGGTGATGTGCTTGGAGCACTCCAGCTAGAAGAGGGAGTAACGCCTTAGATTGTGCCCCAGTGTGGTGATGGTCAGCGGGGGATCGTGATGACTTACCTGAACGCAGAGCGCCTCAGTCCAAGACTTGTTCCCCTCGACCTCTTGATTCTGCCCGATCGGCGTGCCGATGTCGTTCTCCCCAAACACGACTATCCTCAAACCGCCAGGTATGCTGTCATCCTCACTATCAACTGTCGGCAGAGTTTCTTCGGCCTCCCCGGCCCAGAGGTCGTGGGGTATCGAGTTCAACGCGCTGTCGCTCAGCCCCTGCGGCATGAGCTTTATCACGAGCAGCAGGCCAAGCAGCACGGCGGCCAGATTTAGGAATATCTTGGGGCCGCCCCTGACGCCCTTGTTAAAGAAGAAGCCGAGGAGGGATTGGATGCATGGCGTGTCTCTCAGGCGCTGCCCGGAACTTTCCTGCTGGGCCATGTCGGCCTGTTTTTGCGACTTCAGCATCTAGTTCTGTCCTGGTCTTGCAGGGTGTGACACAAGGGAAACAACGGCCCAAAACACGGGCTCTATTTGTTGACCGAATGAGAGGCTGACAAACCCTTTATCGTCGTTCGCCTCTGGTAACCGCACAGTAGTTCGCCGTGAGAAAACCAAAATTCAGGAATTGGCGGAATGCGCAGTGAGAGGCCGGTTGATGCCCTGTGGCATCGGCTGCCAGGAGACGCCGCTCGGTGACGTTTGCTCGGCTGCCAAGGCCTGTAGGACTGGTGCGACCCCCGGAAGCTCGGGGTATGAGATGTGATGCGAGGCGAGTGTGTTGAGGTGGCGGGTCGTACAGAAAGGGCAACAGGTCGCGTGCTCGAGTGGTAGGGCGCCTGGGAAGAGACCGGGAACAAGAAGATGGGGCCCAGGAAGCACGGAGACAATGGTGGTTGTGCCGGAAGGAAAGGCGGAGTGCTGTAGAGAGGCGAGCCAGAAGCCAAGAGGAGGACAATGTGGGATGTGTTCAGGAAGTTGGGAGGCACATGATTGTATGTACAACGAGAGAAGAGATCAGCGAGCCAAGAACCCACCCGGACTCCTTGGCCCAAGCAGTCAGCACCCAGCACACGCCAGCCCTGCGCGACACAGGACAGGACAGGGTGGGTTTCTGCGGAGGGCGGGTTGTTGACGAGCGCGGCTCAGCAGTGTGTGATGCGCCGGGGGGGGGGGGGGGTTGAGTCGACAATCCCATCGGGGATCGGATCCTGGGTGGGCGGTAACACCGCAAGGGGGGGAGGAGCGTCGTCACCGGTGGATCCGGCCTCAAAACTTTCAGTGATCAAGCCTCTCTCTGGGCCGCCCAACCCCTGAGTCGTAGACCCCAGCATCCCGACCTGCCAGACAGCCAGACCGCGGTGCTCAAGGTGCTTGGCCATGCGTCCCCACAAGCCGAAGCCCAGCATCCTGGGAGTGTCGCGTGTGAGCAGGCGAGCATGGCGTTGCTCTCATTTTAAACATAGTAATCCCCTCCCCCAATCTCGAGCTTGTGGGTTGGGTTGCCGGGGAAGCGGGCACGAGCGACTTGCCGGGAGGCGCCTCAATCGACGACGTTGGACGGAGCAACGCCCCCGGCGGCTGACGAATTGTTCAGTGAAGCCGAGGCCGTCGGGTCGGCCCTGAACCGAGTGGCCACAGCAGCTCTTTTGTGTTTGCGACGTCCAAGCACACACCTGGTACCTGGCTGTGCCTCGTGGCAATGTGTGCGCCTTGCCTTTGAGACATGGCCATTGTTTCCTGACACCAGCAGCGCCTGGGAGCCGTCATCATCTCACCATCCATTAATGAACATTAATGACTGCGAGGGACTCGGGCTCCGTAACACCTGACTGGTGGGAAGAGGGAGGACGACGCGGCTGCAGTTGCGCGGCTGTGGAGCGCCTTGCCCATTGCGTGGGGTCGTGGCGCAGTTGCAGGGGAGGGGGAGAGAGATGCGTCTCGATTGGGGGTGGGGTACGTACTGCAGAAAGAGGCGTGCTGGAACTATACGCAACGCGAATCACTATCTTGTCTCTATTATATTGTTCGGTGTTTTGACGTGCTGATGAACAAATCCGTGTCTAGCTGAAGTTTGCTAATATACCCATGCACACATAAATCCATACACCTACTGGTTCAAAATGCGTGGACGCCTTCATCGTCTGCTCACCAACAACCCATCGCAAGGCTACCTTCCCGAGTGCGGAGAGACTCGCCCGGCCCCCAAGCACATAGTATACATACGTACATATGTATACATATCCAGCAGAACGATTGACTCTTCCTCCTCCTTGGTAGATTCTAAACCTATCACACGCAGCCAGCCCTCAGCGAAGCTCCAGGTACGAACCCGCCAGCCCCGCGATCATGAAGCCGAGGAACATGGGCCTCTGGGGGAAGCCGGGCCCGCCAAACTCCGGGTCGAGCCCTTCGGTCTCGGGGAAGTAGATGGCGGTCAGGCCGGTGAGCCAGTAGGCGCTGCCGGTGAAGGCGGCCAGGCGCAGCGAGAAGCGGTCGATGGCGGGCGACGGCCCCAGCAGAAGCGGCCACCAGGTCAGGTACAGCGTCGCCAGGCCCAGAACCGTGCTGAGCCCAATGGTCTGCGCGTTGTGGAATCTGCAGAGCGACAAGGGGCGCGACCGCGTCAGTCATGCCTGCAAGGGCGTCCGTCCATATATCACCGGGCGGATATGGTGCGATACGGAGTGCATTCGTGTGCGTGCGTGCGTGTGTGCCATGTGTGTGTGTGTGTGTGTGTGTGTATATACATGTAGGGACTACGGTATAGTAGAACTCACTTTGCATGGGGTGGCCAGCGCGGATTCCGTTGATGGGTGTGATTCATATCTGCAACCCACGCGCCAAAGAGGAGCCCAAGGCTGTCGAGGGTGAGGAGTGCGCGGCCCAGCATGGTGGTTGATATACAGCGTTGGATCAGGACAGACGGCCCATGTGCGACAAGAAGACGATGCTGGCTTGTGGAAGCCCAGTCACAGCACTGCGGCTGAACCGTGCCGGCTGGTCTACTTATACGTACCCGGCGAGCACGTTGCACGCGTGAGGTGCATTGCTGCGTGTCGCGAAGGCCCGAAACTGATATGTAATCCTGCAGTATTGTCAGACATCGGACCAAACTAGCCCGTCCGTCAGAGGTCTCAGAGCTCGGCCTCGCAAGACTTGGATGTGGAGGCGGTGTTGACTGGATGAGGGATCCGTTGCAGGTCAAGTATCCACGAGCTGAGTCAAAGTTGCGGGCAGACCCATGGAGAAGGTAGAGCAGCCAACCATGAGTCTGGCCAGCGCTGATCGACTTGACGAGCCGTGGTTGCTCGTTCGCCTTTGCCAGGCGGGCTCAAGTCCGCAACCAGCGCGTTTGTTGGGTGTTGGAAGCGGTCGTACTCGTGTGCCGATGGCAGTTTCTCCAACACATCTTCACAGCTTGACACTTTCGAGCGCGGGTCGTCCTGTCCCACAACGTCCCATCCGATCCCTCCGGACCTCCGTGGAGGGGAAACATTGAACATGTGCGAGTGCCAACGGAAGGCATCCCTTGCGTAGGCCTAATCCATGCCTCATTCAGCAGATTGGACTTGTTTTAAAGATATCTGCATTTAGACATTTGAGAGGTTGTCTGCCACCTGGCTGCCCTCACCAAGGTTCTACACCAATATTGTGTGTCTGTTTTGGAGTGGAGGGCCTCTTGTCGCCGAGATCCCTCTGGACTCGGCAGCCAGAAATATCACTTCATTATCCCCCAACACATGCCTGTGATATATGACCTTCCCAGTCTATAAGGGGTTTCTCCATTGTCAAGCCAAGCATGCAGACTGGCTGACTGGCAGAATGGAAGAATGGAAAAGGGTTCTCCTCGCTGTGTAGACCGTGCCCAACATGAGCGCAAGCACTGGCCTGCTATTTGGCCGGCTCACATCCTGCCACAGTGCTGTCCGCCTGCCATTATAGGCACCGCATGTTGGGGAAACACCTGGGGGTGGTGCCTGGCCCACCTGTTCTGCCAGACTGTCGGACTAATAATCAGGCTGCCCAGGCCGTCAGGGCTGTGGGACAACTATGATGGGCTGCCGAACCCAAGCCCAGCCCCGCTTTCTTCTCACCAAGCATCACAATCCATCACTTTTCACAAAGCCCATATTGAAGAAATGAGTGAGCCGAGCTGAACCTGAGTTGCGAACTGAACTGTGCACTGCACCATGTCGTTTCGGCCCCCCCCCCCTTCTTTTCGACCGAATTTCTTGACTTCCTATTGTCAAGCCGTTTCAAACCACACACAATTCATCCCTTTCCCATTATTCCAGCACCTCTGTCAGGTCATTCAGCCATGCCCGACCGTGAAGCAAACACCGGCAGGTCTGCCTGTCTTCGCCAGAGCCATCAGCCAACCCTTTCTCTGACCCCCACTGCCATTCCCTTCCTACCTCTCCCCTTCAGAATCTGATCCCACAAAGTCAGACAGACAGACACAGTGACCTCGGACCATCTCTCAAAAAGCAGAGTATTTCCACCTCCTCAGCTCCATCTCTCACCACGGGCACCAATCCCCCCTAATCTCCATCACCTCTGCGGCTCGGGAAGCCGGGGGGCATGACGCAAATCTCCCACGCCCTAGCCGCCAAGATGGGGGCCAGGAAATTGTCAGCCAGCGCATCCCATTTTGCGGTTGCCCTCCAGCCCTGAAACGGGCCATCATCTCGAATGATGATGCTTCGCAGGGCGAGGACAAGACTTCTTCCCCAACTCATCCGTGTGTCTCGGTGCGTACAACGTGCCTCTCGACAGGATTGTGGCAAGGGCGGCAAAAACACCACGGCGGGGGGCCAGGACGGGCTGCTGCAGTCTGACGCCTGCACGCCCGCTTGAGGAGACATGGTCCAATAACCCCATCCTTAGGGAAAACCCCATTTCCCCTTTTTCCCCCATCTCTCGGCCGTACACGAAGAAACCGACTTCAGAACGACCAATCGGCTCAGACAGGACATAGCTGCTGTCTTTGCCAGCAAGGCCTGCCGATGCGACTCGCCCGCCTGTTCGCCCAGGAGAGAACCTGCAGACAGAACACACGGCTCGCCCCGATGATGGACGGCAACGCGCTGGTGGACGACGATGGGACGACCTCCCTACACAAGCAAGTCACGTTCAAGAGCACGACACACATTCACGACCACTGGTTGCACACACCTCACTAAAATAACATCCAAACGAACACATACACGAAGAGGGGCAGCGAGCATGATCAAAAGCTGTTTCAATTCCTCTGCGAGCGACACGAATGCCGCCTCTTTCCTGCATAAAACGCCCCCTGAGGGTATGAGCCGATCGATGCGCCTACAATGCTGCGCACACGACAAAAGCCACGCCTGTCAATCCCTTTTGTTCGTCATTCATCAACATTCCGCACCTCGTCGCCCCTCTCCCGAGAGAGAGAGAGAGAGAGAGAGAGAGAGAGAGACTCCCCGTCAGGGAAAAGAGGAAACCCAAGGTCCAGCGATAGCTCCTCGAACGCCCTCGTCACGCTCCCTGAGGCTTGCCACGGTGCGCCGGCTGACGAGACTATTATACATGAATATGGACAATGTTTCTACACGGTTTTGGAGGGGCGCAGCTAAGAGCTATCAGGTCGAGGTGTCGTCCGAGTGTCGCCCCTGGGTGCCCTAAGTCTGAGTCCACCCCAACAGAGGCCAGGCCGAGCTCCAGACAACTCAAAAAGGTCAACGCCGCAAGAACGAACATCCATCTTCTGTCAACCAGATGGAGCGGTTTGTCCGTCCTCGGGAGATTGCATGCACAGCAACATTGGCCAGCTACTGGGTTGCAGCTACTCCTCTTCCGAAGAGCTTGCATCATCACTGTCATCATGCCGGTGACCAGCCTGTGCGGTCTCGTTGGGCTCGATCGACGGCACCGGCTCCTGGCTACCGCTTCCGGGGCGCTTGTACGAGTCCTTGAGTGCCTTCAGCTGCTCGAGCTTGCGCTCTTGCTCGGCCTTGCCCATGGGCTTGTTCTTCTTCTTCGCCGCCGACTTTGCGGCGTGGGAGCTTGGTGGAGCAGGGGCTGGCGCAGGCTCGGACTTCTTCAACTGTTCCTTATAGGTAGGGAAGGCTTTGAGCACCAGTTCAAACAGCTTGACTAGGGCGTCGTCGCTGAGCTGCTCCATGTCCAATTCGAGCTCGTCATCGTCGGTCTCCTTGAAGCATCAATAATCAGCCATATCCGGGGAGGGGGAAGAGTGTGGTGCTCACAGTCAGATTGGTATCCTTCTTAATGATATCAATCGCCTTTGTCAGGCTGTTGCCATCAAGTCTGCCGATAGCATCCGAGACGATCTCTTTCTCCTCGTCGCTGAGCTTCTTCTTCGCAAGCTTCTTGGCCGGGCCGCCGCTCGCCTTCTTGGTGGGATTCGCATTGCCCGCAGCCTTCTTCGGGCCGGCACCTGTACCACCACTCGCCTTCTTCTTGGACGGTTTGGTGGCCTGCGAGGGCTTCTTCTCTCGCGCCGAGTTTACTTCAGCCCGTCTCTTGATGATCTCGTCTTGGAGAGTCTGAATGACCGTCCGGCTGAGGTCAATGGAGGCCGAGTCAGGGTTGTCTGAAAAGAGCTGGTTGTTAAGTTCCTCGTTCTCTTTCTTCAGCCGTGCCATGGCATGGTCCAGCTTTCGTTGGGCCTCCTGGATATCGACGGTGTTATCCTGCTCCGGCTCGCTCTCATCCTCTCCCTCCTCGTCATCTTTGGCAGCTCCACGAGGACTAGTCGCGGCCGCGGCTGGTGCTGTTGCCTGAGCGTGTTTGCTCATCCAAGCCCCCTTCTCCGACCACTTTCTCTCAAACAGCTTCTCCAGCTCTTTGCCCGCTACGTGGACAGGATGGCCGTCCGGGTTGAACTTGACGCAGTTCTTGATCATGAGGTGGAAATCTGCCTTGAACGCATTGGCCGACTCGTATTCTCCACTGTCCAGCTTTCCGGTCATGGTACCCAAGTCCATCGGCTGCTTGATGACGCTGTGATAGGTGGGGATGTTCAGAGCCACCGGGTCAACAGGCTCCAGGAAAAACTGATTCAGGGTCCAGTGTTTACTGTGTTTCAGCTCCTTGAGAACTTCCTCACAGAACTTCATCTCGGGCTTGCGCTTGTTCTTCGTGTTTTTGGGCTGGAAGCCCAAGTCCTTGTTCTTGGGCGGATGAATGGGTCTCTTGGGCCGGTCGCCCGCGTTCTTCGTGCTGTCTCGGCGGATGGTGGGCACACCGGAAGCAGGCACAGCAAAGACAGGTGAGTCAGAAACCTTCTCCGCAGGTGAGCTTGCCGCAGGGCGTGACTCCTTCTTTGGGGGAGGAGGTTGGTGGTGTCGGGGCTCAGCGTGCCGTGTAGGCATCTGCTTGACGTCCTGCTTGACGGGTTTCGCGGGCTCCTCGGCGGACACCTCTGCCAGCCTGATGTAGATCCCGTCCACTGTTGCCTTGGCCGCCCTGGTCACGTCGTGATCGGACCCGTTGAACTTGGTGGCGTTTTCAATAATGAGCTCCACGTCGGTCCTGAAATCCGCCATGGCTGAGTACTTGTTTTCACGCAGGTTCTGTTCGATGAAGCTGATGTCCACAGGACGCTTAATCAGTGAACGGTACTGCTCCCAGACACCTGGCCACAGTGTCTGCACCGATGCTCTGAACATTTGTCCACTCTTGGTCTTCTTGACAAGGGCCAATACTTTCTTGATCTCCTTGTTCTGGTAAGACGTGATGGCATTGTTGGCAAGCGCCGGGTCATTCAACTTGCGAGACTTTCCGTTCACACTCAGGGCCACAGACGCTCCGGCCAGCGCCGGCCTCGCTGGTGTCGCAGAGCCGGAAGCGGGAGCTGGAGTCTCAGAAGGTGGATCTATGGCCATTGCGTCCTGCCCGCCGGACGTGGCAGGTTGCGCTTGCGCCGCCTTTCCTTGCGCGCCATCTTCTCCTGAGGTCCTGACACGCTTTGCGAGGGGCTCGTCGTCGAAGTCTTCCTCACGCTCCCGAGCAACTTTGGCGGAGTTCTGCGATGGCGCATCGGTCATACTAGTGTCGACTGTCAAAGGAATAGAAGCAGCATCCTGAGACTCATCTTTAGGGGATTTGGGCGCATTGGCGGTTGGCGAGACGGTATCACTAGCTGCCGCCTCGCTAGCTGCAGTCGCCTGGGTGTCCTCTCCTTGCTCTGTCTTCATGTCTGGCTCTTTCACTGGCGCCTCGGACATCTCCTTGTCCTTATCATTGCTCACTTCCGCCTCTGCAGTTTCCTTCGCAGCCTCGGTAGCCGGCGGTGGTTGCACAGTCGTAGCTGAGGCCTCAACCGGCGCGCTGGTCTCCGCAGGCTCTTGTGCCACCGGCTCTGCAGGTTGGTCGGGGGTCGGGGATGACTTCGCAGCAGGTTCGGCTGGGGGTGAAGGCGCCTGGGCGGACTCGGCCGGTGCATCAACCATCTCTGTGTCCTTGACCTCATTTTCGTCGGCATCTTTGCTCAGCTTTGTTGACTCAACCGCATCTGCTGACTCAGCTGTGGGCGGCGTCATGGCAGTTATGTGTGAGTTGGTCGCAAACGCGTCCTTGTTCTGGTGCTGGTTCGGCTCTGGAGTTCCAGCGCTCTTCAGATCGTCTTTGGATGCTGATGCATCGGCTTGGTGGTTTGTGGTGGCGCTGTCAGCCGCATCGGGGCCGTCAACGGGTGTAACGTGGCTGCGCGAGTTGACGCGTTAGTCTGCCGACCGGCAGCAAGAATGTTTTGAGGGTTGCAGGATGAAGTGAGTGTGGTGTGGGCGAACCCCAATCTATCTACATATGGAGCGCGTCGACGACAAGATGGGGAGGACGCGAACAGCGGGCAGTGGGAAGACAGCGGACTAAGAGCTAGGCATGTGGGATTTTTTGGGTTAGGTGCGACTCACCCATTGACCTCCAAGCCGTTGCGCTCGTCGGGGAGCGCAGTCGCGGCCGAGGTGGCCATGTCCAGCGAATGCGACTTTTGGTCGAGAGCGATGGGTTCCGGCTGCGACGTCATTACTGCCATTCGGGCGGACTGTGGATGCTGCAAATCGGCTCAGCGGGCGCGTCGCGACATGAAAGGGAAGCGGCGATTAATTGGGCACGAGCTTCGGGGGAGCGGCGGAGTGACTGAGATGCGCGCGACGGGAATTGTGGGGCAGGCGCGTTGCGACAACGGTGCACCAACGGCCGTTTTGGGCGGGCGTGCGAGGGGTGTAAGCTGGCAAAAGTGGGCTCAAACGGCGGGTGGGAAATGCGCAACGACGCGGACGATAAGAAATCAAACCGTCCGGGTCATGCACAAAATGTAAGTGTTGAGGTGGTGGATGGGAAAATGGTGGTTGCGCCGGTGTGTTTTTTTTGGCCTGAGGCTCGTGATAGCTTGGCGCGGCGCGGGATTGGGGATGCGAGATGCGACTGGGGGAGCAGAGGAAGAGAGGAAGGCTGAAATCAAAAATGCAAAAGGCAAAGAGCCAAAAGGTGAATCAATTTTAGCTTGGGCTAGCCTTGAAATGACGCGCCAAGTGGAGGCTAGCGGCAGCAGCGGGAACTCGGTGGTTGGTTTTTCCCAGCCGCCCCGGCGCTGCAATTGGCTGGCGCAGGGCAGGTTGCGGGGCCACGGCAGGGATCAGGAGACGTACCTCTTGTCGATGGTGCCTTCCGGTGGTTTACCTTCTAGGCTCAGAGCTCGAGGACGGTAGCAGCAGGCACATGCCATGCCCGTGGAGGGCGGGGGAGGTACCCTATTTATCAAGCGCGCAATCAGCTTCCAAGGGGGGGGGTCGATGAGGGGGAGGGGGAACAGCTCCCATTGCTCTTCCTTTTCTGAGCGCTGCTCGTGATTGGGCTGCGCTTGAGACGGGTGCCACCAAGCCCGACCAGCGACCAAGCAACTAGGCTCCTTGACAGAGCCGGGAAAGGGTGGTCCCTGCAGACCGTCATGTCGAGGTGCAACTTCTCATTTCGACTAGCAACTAGCACCTCTCTCACACCAGGCTGCCGAGATACATCTGCAAGCCCTCGATACCTGCATTTTTTTTTGGTCTATTTGGTGCTACCTAGACCGCCCGTCTATGCAGCTCTCAAGGTAATGCAGCACGGACGACCTCGCGAGTCTCTAATACTCCAGTCCACGGTGCCAGCTTGTGCCATCGGGCCTTTCTCTGCCCGGTCTGACTCGAAGTTGCAGCCGCGCACGGAGGCCTGATTCGACACCACGGAACAACAGTACCATGCGGGGGACAAGATGGCATGGCCAAACCTGTGTGCAGCATCATAACAGCGGCCATCGGTCTAGGTAGGTCGATAGATTATGTACGTCCCGAGGGGTTGCGTGGCAAGCGATGCAGGCAGACGTCTTGGTCAGGCAGAGGCAAAGTCCCCGAGACAAACCTGAGCCATCCACGGCAGCAACCCGCCACCGTTTGTGCAAACGCTTTGACGGCTGCTGTAAAGATGCGTTCGAATTCTTAGTCTCTCTCACATGGGCCATCCTTAGATCCGCACCGGTGGCCACGGTAGACCAAAACTGAGATGCTAGATGACTGGAAGCAGCAGCAAAACCGGGCGGGTGAGAGGATGGAGAGCAACGAGATTCTGTCACACTCCGGCCGCGACGACGCGTGTGGTAAAGCAAGTCGACTTTATTGCTGCTATCTTCTCGTCAGTCCTGGCCTGCTGACTCAGGCAGATCAGTACAAAGCAACAGTACTTCCACATGCATGCTATTCTGCCTTTCAGTTAGAAAGTCAAACACAATCCACAAGTATGCCCAAATCTGGTTACTCAAGGAAACCATTCTACTACCTAGGTACTCCTATCTCTCATTTTTAGTTGCCTGCGTGGAAGATTCCGTTTTCTCTTTCTTGTTTCCCAAGCAAGGCAAGGCTTCACTAGACTTAGTGTTAAATACCAGAGTGGGGCCCCTTGAAGTCGTCTCTGGAAATGCCTAGGTACGAACACTCCACATTTAATGCCTTCAGGTAAAGCAGAGCAGCCAGTCCAAGAATTTCGCGCAGGCTCATTCAGAATCTTTCTCATGCATAACTGTGACATGTTTTATTGAGGTATACTTGAATGCATCCATGTCAACAAGACGTGCTGGATTGTGAATACACGCCAAAGGTACTCGATGCCTGGCGCAGGCTGTGCTCGGACCATGTGGGCACATGCACTAGGAAAGGAAGTCGGTAAGGCCTAAAGAGGGCAGAAAAGTTCCTCTGCAAAAAAGTTCCCGCTGTGACCTCCCCCAAACTCTGCTCACTGCCCGTTCACCCTATCAGCAAATCAACCGCACAGCGATCTCTGTCAGGACTTCTCATTCCCTCCTCCGTCTTGAGCGCCCATTGCCCGACGTGCTCGTAAAACAAGGACAGGGGATACCATCTACAATCCTCCCGGGCTCGTCCAAATAAGGAATCATGGCCACAAAGAGGAAGCTTGCCAAGGTTGCTGCGCCAGTCCAGCAGAGCACCAAACTGCCCAACTCCACCAGGATAGACGAGAGCAGAACATCAGTCACAGTGCCTATACCTGCAAAGCCCAAAGCATCAAAACAAGTCGAGACAATCGAGATCTCAAGTGACTCTGAGAGCAACTACGACGACATCTCCGACGTGGACGATGACGAGGTCACAGAAGAGCAGACTGCACAGCCAGGCGACGGACAGCCGAAATTGGATGGAAATGAGGACACCGAGATGCAAGAGGAGGGCGAGGAATCAGATGCAGAGCCCACATTCGGCGACCTGATCCGCAACCATGAGACCGTCGATGTTGCTGCTGCACTCGGTGGCGGGCAATCGACCGATGCGAGCACCGCCCTGACAGCCGCCCCTCAACGACAAATAGCACCACCCTCCACCTCTTCCATCGGCATAGTACTCGCGCAGGCTCTGCGTACCGACGACGCTGACCTTCTCGAGTCCTGCCTGCACACCTCCGATGCCACCGTCATTCGCAACACCATCCAAAGACTAGACTCCAGCCTGGCAGGGGCGCTACTAACACAACTCACCTCACGTCTCCACCGGCGCCCTGGCCGTGCACACAACCTCATGACCTTTGTCCAGTGGACACTAATCGGCCACGGCGGCGCATTGGCAACCCAGCCAGACATCCAGAGACGGCTTGCCGAGCTGAACAGGGTACTGGAGGAGAGGACGCGGGGCCTGAACAGCTTGCTCGCGCTGAAGGGAAAGCTGGACATGTTGGAGGCACAGATGACTCTGCGCCGCGGGAACAAGTCTCGTCGGGCGTCGGGTAAGGACCACGACGATAGCGACAGCGATGACGACGAGGAGAATGGTGAGGAGGCGGGCCTCATTTACGTTGAAGGCCAGGAGGACGACACCACATCGAACGGGCTGTCACGGCGGAGAGGGGATGACGAGGATGACGACTTCCCTGTGGTCAACGGTGTCGCCTCCGATTCCGAGGAAGAGTCAGGCGACGAGGATGAGGACGATATGGACGTCGATGAGTTCGCCGAGGAGTCAGTGGATGAGGACGAGGTGGATCACGACGACATCGAGGAGGACTCGGCTGAGGAAGACGAGAGCGAGGCCGAGGTCGCGCCCCCTGCGAAAGTACAAAAGAACAGCAGATCCTCCTTTTCGAAAAAGAGGTAAACGGGGTTACCCGTGCGGAGTTTGAGGGAATAATAGAGTTGTACATGATGATACCATTATCATCCATCTCGAGGATGAATTCAAGGCCAAGCTATGAATGTCTAGCAATAGGAGGTGGCTGTACCTCTCTGAGGACCTGGCACGGTACTGGGAACTTCAAATCAACCCCATCGCATCAAGAACTTGCAATCAGAAAACACGTGCGACTGTGATTTGGGTTGAATAAATTTCAAAGTTTACCCAGCCTTTGCCGCCTCGTTGACGAGATCACCTACGCCGAGTGATCTTTGCAGCATCAACCAGCCCAGGCGGTAGTCTAGCGCGAAGGGTGCGTGCCCAGAACCTGATCTGCTTCCCAACAAATCGCCTCAAAAAGCGCGATCCATCAACAGCTGGTACCCGACTCGTGACCCAGTATCACGTTCCAGCCGCCGGCGTCAAACGCCTGTCCCAGAACCACCTCCTTCCAGTGCCCATGAACTTTGATCTTACTCTTGCACTTCTCCTTGATGGCATCTGCATACGTGGCCATGGTGGCCCAAGGGACCTGCGTGTCGGCCTGGTTGTCGTTGCAGCCGTAGATGGCGAGGCTGTTTGAGCAGCTGTAGCGGAAGCACCAGCCTCCGCCGGGCTTGTTGCCCAGGGTGGCGTTTCCAGGCATGTTCCGGATGTGGTCGGCGACCTCGGAGTAAGAACTCAGATAGGACGTCTTGAAGTTTTTGACCTCGCAGTAGATGGCACTCTGTGTGTGGGTCAGCATGGTTGCAGGAGATGCCAGGCTGCGTTCTGTTTGTCACTTACTGGGTCTTGGGCCTTGAAAAAGTTGTCGTTGACCACTGACGGAGTCGTGCCGGTGGATGGGGAGAGGTTGGTTGACAGAGCAGCGGTGTTGGCAAAATCCATGGACGCCGTTGTGATGGAGAAGAGAAGGGCGGCAATCAGTGCCAGGACGTTCTGCTTGAGAGACATTTTGCTTTTGTTCTTCTTGATCTGTTGCTAAGGACAAACAGGGGGAGATGGAGTGCAAGTAGTGGATAGGGGTGTTGTGTAAAAGGAGCTTTGGATGCAAATCGAGTTTCTGAGGGCTTGGTTCGTTTCTTTGTGTGTGAAATTCAGAAGATCGGTCTTGTATGTTTTCATCCTGACCATTCACAAGAAAACTGTTTGGATTTATCGCGAGTGCAACCAAATCATGGGTCTAACTGCGTGTGTTGCAAAGCAACGGCAGCTTTGGAAATAGCTACCATCCTACACATCTGGACAGTGACTTCCTAACTCGGACATTCATGGATGTCATCTGGCACAGAAGGTACGTGATACCTCGCTGCATGGTGAGGAGCCCTCGGTGGATTTCTGCTTCGTCAACAGCCCTTGTCATTGCTGATGCCCACAATCACATTCCAGCCGTCCGGATGAAAGGCTTGACCCAAAATCCTCTCTTTCCATCTACCGTGGATCCTCCTCTGAATTTTGCAATAGTCGCGGACATGTCCTGCATATTCAGCTATAAATGACCAAGGGACCTGAACGTTGTGGGATTCGTTGTCGTTGCAAGCGTAGACGCCAATGTTGTATTCGCAGCTGTAGCGCCAGCACCAGCCTCCGCCAGATTGGTGGCCCAGGGTAGCACTGCCTTTGAGGCCCTCGAGATGCTTGATCAGGCTGTTGTAGTGGTCCATGCCACTATCTCGGTAGCCAGGAACATTCCGGTCAATGTTATACTGTGGGAAGTTAGTGTGAAGCTGGTGGTGTGGATACACAACAGATGCTGCTTACCGGCCAGGCCGTTCGGTTCTTGAGTACATCATCAGGAAGTACTATTGCTGCAACCATGAGTAGGAGGCCGGTAATGAGTGTCAGCAGGCTCTGTTTGAGAGACATGTTGTGTTCCGGTGCTGCAGATGGCAGTTGTTGGATGGTGGGTGCTCCATCAAGACAAAACTGGACAGAAGCAGAAACCCTGCAGTTCTAAATCCCGTGTAGATTAGGAGCTTTATTAAATGAACAAGATGTCGGGGCAGTCAATGAGTTGCCCTCCCCCCTGATTCACCTTTTCCTGATTCACTGTCACTGTACCTGAGTAATCGTATGTTATGGGAGCTAAGCGTCCAGGCAAGTTGTTATCCATGGTGACTGTAGCTAGAGTTGGAGATTCACCAGTCTGGTATCACCAGGTTTGACGGCCCACAATTGAGGTCATTTAGAAAGTACCTACCTCCGTGGATCTATATAGGTAGGTAGCCATAAACCCTATGTGAAACTCAAATATACAATGTCAACTTCCGAGTATACTCACTCCTTAATTCCTCCGCCCAAGATATCATTTATCTGTTTCTGGTTTCGTTCAATAAACGAGTGTGACGGTACGGTGCTTATGTGCTGCTGGGTGTATTTCCAAGGGATTGGAAATTACTAGTCTTTTGGCCGAGCGGTCTATTTCGCCAGCAGTTTAATAGATTCGTCTCAACGAGCATTTATGTGCTCGGCTACCAGCCAGTATCTAATAAATCATGTTCAAATTATGCTATTTCGCCTTGGAACAAGTCAAACAGGAAAGAGAGCCAGCAAATTTTGTCCTTATATACTCCTTCCAAGTAGTTTGCAGTATTCGATTTTGTAAATGGGCAATGTGATTTGAACAGAATCACAGGTACAAGAACTGTGATCCTCACTATAAGGCCAGGAGTAACATATCTGTTCTTCAAATCTAACAATGAAAGAACATTGCTTATAAATAGAAGCAAGAACTAGAAGGGATGCACCAATATTTAATGGTCAAAGATACTAGCCACTAATATCTGGCCTATTTAGAGGTTAGAAAGAGGTTAAAATCGTGAACTTTGCCCATTTGACTCTGAGTGTCAAATGTCAGCATGGGATCAAGTCATTAGCTGATTTGGTTCTCTTACAATAGGATACAAGGGGAAGACTGACCATATAACATTCACTCTTCAAGCAAGGCTGATAAGTTGAAGATGTTTTTTAATAATTTTGAAGACTTTCTCCAAAGTCTCACACCTATATAGATAGCAACCGTAAACCTGCTACCAAATACCATGGAAACAGAGCCACAGTTATTGAATGAGGAAATAGAGAGCTCGTTTGTAAAACTATATAAATGTGGAGCAATGCGGCATCGCCGAACAGGGACGGACGGTTGGCTGCCGCCGGGCAAGCCGCAATGCCTAAATGGAGGTAGATACCGTTGGCATGGACGAAAATCTCAGGAATTGGATGCTGTGCTACCTCATGCAAGTTACCGATCATGTATGATGACAAGCTTAGACAAGGGAATGTGCATTAGGGTACAACAGACTTGCAGCATGAAAGAACAGCTCAGTTTGAAAATATGCAAGATTGTCCGCGGCCGTTTGCTCTCCTCACATGCAGAGTATCTTGATCTGACTGCTCATGTCTATTCTTTGACCCCATAGTTCCCACGGAATTGTACAAAAAGAGCATGTTCGCCAGCAGATGATCTGTTGTGTTCCCCATGCCAACTCATACAATTCAAACATTCTGCAACGCAAACCCTGGTACTTCACATTGCTCTGTACCCTCCCGGAAGCCAGCAACATTGCATCTGCCCAAATCGCAGCCCGGCTCTCTAAAGGCCATCGCTCAGGCTACCCGCGAACGGGACCATGGCAATCACGAGCAAGCAGCAGGATCCCGGCACCAGCAATCACGTCTCGGAAGCAGCCAAACCGCATGACCTGGTTCTCGAGGAAATCAAGAGTTTCCACGAGTCCCTAGAGTCAGAACGAATACACCGGGTGCTGATCAGATGGCGCAAGAGGAAGCGTGACGAGGAGCTCAGCAATGGTACCGCAATACTGGAGAAGATCCTGCGGACGCTCCATCAAGAGCTTGAGAGCCGCAAAGAGCGAGCAGAGCTTTGGGATCAGGCCTTAGTCGCGGAGCTCCAGCCAGACAGGGCGCGCCAGGAACTGGATGGGCGCGCCGCCGCGTCTGCCCTATCCCTCGAGAAGCAGACACAGTTTGTGCACGCTGTTGCCTCGGTCTTGAGCATTGAGGTGTCAGGAGAGGAAGTGGGAAAGATGCTATCAAAGACAACGGCCTTGACAGCTCCGGCCCCGGAGCCGCCCAGATCCATGCCGCCGACACCACCAGCCGAGAAGCACAGCCCTGTCACTCCTCACGACACGAGAACACTACACGTCGACACCCACATCCGGGATTCTGATCCCAAGAGACTTCCGGTTTCAAGGCCGGCCAGCCAGGGTGGAAGCCGTGACGACTACACGACTCACTTGCAAGGTCTAAGGCCACAGGGACAGGGCGATGTAAGCTCTCGATCGCCGCTCTTGCGAGGATTCATTCAGCTAACACACTCGTGCAATAAGACCAGGTCACCAACCCGAGCCCAGACGGCCGATCACTACGCGTCGACGTCGCCCACCAAGAAGTCGAGAACAGACGGTCCATCGGCCTTGAAACCACATGCTCCCGAGAAGAAATTTACCCGTCCGGCGCGCAACATTCGTGTATCGGACTGAAGGAAACGGCAACGGACGAAGTCACCTGGTGCCAGAAACGCCTGCTTTGGCGAAATTTACAAAGGCGTGAATACCCGCTCGTGTTCGGAAACCTGTCCATCTCGGTTTGGAACAACGCGACCCTACGGCCGCCGGAGAAGAATGCGATGTCGGCAGTCGGCTTGAACTATGAGCGAGATCGGATTATGGGCAGGTAGCCGTGACAGGTACTCGTTTGGGATGGTTGCCTCGAATACGGTCCAGGCCAATGGTCTCTTCCCCCCTTGATCCTCTGACTTAGGCAAGGACACGGGAATCCTGCCGAAGATGAGGTGCAGATGTGTGTGAAAGAATGTGGAGTGCACCTTAGCACAGGATCTCATAGGGCCTATCTGTCGACTGGGAGGGTATGCACAGTAGATCGTATGCGAACCATGGGAGACGGGCCACTAGGCTCCCAAGGACGGCTGCCCCGGCAATTGTGATTCTTGCCTACTGTCCTCTGAATCGCCACACCTTCTTCCAGCGCGTCAAGGCCATCATGGTGATGACTCGGTGGTGGATGGCACGTTAAAGGTGTTGGGATGCTACCCACAAAGGGTATGGACGGAAGGTGACGAGGCGATGTTGGCGCTTAGAATATTTGGCATCAGGTCATCAACGTGTGCCATGTCTCACATGTTGCCGGATTCAGCTGTAAACCATCGTTGCTTCCTGGCTTGGAGCTGTGATTGGGTCGGGTGGCTTTCCCTAGTGCCGGTACTTAGTCGTGGTATGGGTGGCCCGATCCGACCAGATCTGATCAGTCATGCCCTCCCAACCAGAATGCAAGCCGTTGGGGACCTGCATTCGTGATCCGGAGGCTCCAAATGATTGATGTGATTTGCTGTAAAATCGTCTGGGTCTCGCCAATAGCGAAGGATGGACAGCTGCCATCATCCTTGCCCATCCCTCCTCGATGTGAGACTTGGTGTTGACGTGGAAAAGAGAGAATCGATCAAGATGACCAAGTACAAGGCAAGCGAGGAATCTTATAGAGGGCAGGGCCGCCGGCTGTGTCTGCAGGAATGTCTGGTCGAGCGAGACCTCTTCGTCTTGCTCAACTTGACTCAAAACCAGCGCCCAGGTCCTCCTCCGAAGCGTGCCCTGAAGAGGCATCCCAACTCACATTGTGAACATGCAATGGACCGTGATGACCGTCATACCGCTGGTCAGCCTGATCCTCACAGCCATCCTCGCGCCACTTGGCTGGGTGATACAGCGATACTGGACCTCGAAGGGTGAGTCGTGCCTCTCATTGTCTGTTGATGCCGGATCCTAATTCGGCGCTCCAAGACAACCGCAGAAGATGTGAACCTGATGAGGTTGAGCTGATACACGGCTATGAGATAATTCAGCGGACGCGTCGACCAAATTATGGAAGAGGATGGCCAGTCTGAGTGGTTGTGTCGACCACATTCGCGTGGCACTCAACTCCACGACCTCCCGACATCGACGGCGCGAAATATTAAAAAATTCCGGCGAGGTTGAACATGGTGGATGATTTGCCCACGTGTTCGAAGCTGAGTGATTGAGGTGGGCATACGGGACGGTCATTGTCTCTGCGTGGCTTTTATTGGAAATGTCTATGTGAGAAGTTGTACTTTGGTTGCGGTTCGAGTCCTGTTATTCTGCATTAGATCCGGCATTGATAGAAAAGACGGAGAGAGACCGCAAGGTCATTGGGAGGACACCAGCGTGCCCCCGGCGAGGGACAGTTGAAGCAGGCAAGAGGCCTGGTTCGGCAGTATTCTTTCTTACATTTTACAATTCAAGTTCCATAAGTCTGTTTTTTCAAAGGCCCTCTGGGGTGCCTCTCAACGACGCCGTCCCTTTTGGAAACAGACAGGTCGTGGTTTCGATGTACTGCTCCTTGTTCGGCTCCCACCACTCAGTCCCATTGTCCAGAGTGCCGCTGAGGACGGAAACGATCTCTTCCACGACAGGCGTGGTGATATGAGTCGGGCTGCCGCAATCGCCACAGAAGTGCCTATATAGCGGCTGTCCGGAGTCCGTATCTCTGTCCTGGAATGTCTTTGGTGTGCCCGAGGTCAAGGTAAAGAGCTGTCTTGGGAAGATGCTCGAGTTGACCATGTGAGTGCCGCTTGATTTCTTGCAGTTGAAGCAGTGGCACATGACATTGTAGATCGACTCATCAGCAGCAAGTCTGTACCGAATCTTGCCACAGAGACAGCCGCCTTCCAGTGTGTTTTTCTCAGGCATGGCCAAATATTCTGAGGTTGTCAGATCTGAAAGCTGAAAGGGTAGCATGTAGGTAGGCGAGTTGGTGTCACGTCCACGTAACAATTGGAGACCCAAAGCGCTAGTGACAGTAACAGGGGAATGACGTCCGCTGTGGGACACTGAAGCTCCCCCGCAATCCAGATGTCTTGGGAGGTGGGGCACTCAAGCAGGGGTCTTCGGAAGCAACCGAGCTCACTTTCAGCTCCAAAACTTTTTTTTTTTTGCGCGTCTCGAGGCAGGTTAGTCGCCCACGACGGCATTCATACCACAATCGACGGCGTGGAATATGGAGACACACTCCTTGATCGAGCCCAACTCATGGGTCACATTGCGGCTGCCCAATGGGACCAACCGTCTGCTGCAGATCATTCCCAACATGTACGGTCTTGTTCCTCCCCTGAGGATCTCCCTCACCAGTTCATGATACTGACAGAGTACCTCGACGGACGTAGGATGATCTCGCTTGGCAGATATGGCTCCTTCCCAAGCAATCTCTTGATACACCGCCCCTACCATCTCACCTATGAGCTCAATGAGAAGAGCCCGTCCAGCGACACCTTCACACGCTTGCGCGTCGTCCCCGCCATCGAGCTCCACGCCGACGTCCTCGCAGAAGAAGAGGCAGCAGCCTCATCCTCGTCTCGCCCAGACAGCGCAGCCCCTGAAGAGTCTATAATATCTGCTACCGACGGCATAGAGTACAGTCTGGTCGACAACGAGACTGGCGCTGTGGTGGTGCGGTCCAACCGTGAGATCATCGACGACAACGCCCGACAGACCTTGACGTGGCAGGAAATCGAGGCTTTAAAACGCGATGGCACAGATTCGGGCAAGGATTTGATTGCAAAGCTCATGCTGTCGCATACTGGCATGGACCAAAAGACGACGTTCAGCATGGCCAAATACAAGTTGCTGAAGGAGGAAGAAGTTCCTGCGCAGGTTCACGGTGCTGCCGCTGGACGTGAGCAATTTCGGGAGCTACGCGCTGTATGAGAGGGACGCGAACAAGATTTTGGAGATGAGGGAAGAGATGGTCGGCCTCTTGGGCTGCTGGGCCAATGTCCATTATAGTGGCGTGGACCATGCTGAGCTCGGCGACGCGCCACAGACGCCGGCGAAGACAGAGCAGGAGGAGATGGAGGAGCTCAAGCAGCCGAAACAACCTGGGGGAACAAGGTATCTGGTAGTGGACGACGGGTGGCCTCCTGGTCGCTGCGCTGGCTGAGAGGATGGGAGTTCTGTACCCGAAAACGACCGAAGAGAACGAGGCCAACGGTTTACTACAAACACACGACGCTGTCCAGAAACCGGTTCCCGCACCCAAGAAATCCGAAGCCGAAGACAGTGTCATGGCGAACACACAGGAGGTACCTCAGCCAGAATTGGCACCTGCTGTCAAACGAGATCACGACGGGAAACCAAAGGATGACGACCAACCCAAGCCCCCGGATGGCGCAGAGAAGCCTAAGAAGCGTCCAATACAGCGAAAACCCGATTTTCACATCCCCTTTGCCACCACCAATACCATGACCCTGGTTCACACCAATGGGCAACCCAATCTCACAGCCCTCAACTACTGGGGCTATGACAGCACGAATCCCAACCACCCACCCCATCCTCTCCTCAACCATCTGCTGCCCCTTAGCTGGCTCCAACTCATCGAGCCCGAACTCGACACCGTCTACGCCACTGAACCCGTCATTAAGACTGCCGAGGAGGTGGCATCGTGGAAGGCCAACCGGCGGGGGAATTACCACCGTAAGCGGAGAAGGTGGGCCCGCACGCGGTACATCGCCGACACGGCGCACGCAGGCGACTTCAGCGGGCTAGTGGTGGCCAGCGTCATGGACCCCATCTCGGTGCTGCGGCCCCTACTACCCCTAGTGGCCAGCGGTGCGCCAGTGGCCATCTACAGCCCGCACGTGGAGCCCCTAGCGCAGCTGGCCGACTGCTTCAGCGTGGCGCGGCGGGTGGCGTTCAACGCGCAGCCGGACGTCGTGGGCGGCCGGACGGCAGAGGAGCTGGAGCGGTGGGAGGGCACGGACGACTTCCCGCTCAACCCGACGCTGCTGCTCGGCGTGCAGCTGCACACGAGCCGCGGCCGCAGGTGGCAGGTCCTCCCCGGGCGGACGCACCCCGTCATGACGGCCAAGGGTGGCGCCGAGGGCTACGTGCTCACGGGGTGGAAGGCGAGGCCGGCCGAGGGCAAGATCGCCGCCCGGGGCAAGTTCCAGAAGAAGGGGAGGTCTGCGGGCATCGGCACAGCCGAGGGCACGCCCGCCGCCGAGACGGCGACTGCGACCCCAGCGAGCGTGGAGGCCTAGGAGGCCGAGGTGGCCCTGAGACATTCTTCTTAGGAGTGAGCGGCTTGCCTTGTTGCCAGCGCTCTCGGAAACCTCAGACAAGATAGATAGGTACATATTTCATGGAATGATAGATACCCCCCGGTTGTTTGGTTTGGGACACGGAATGTCGCCGGGACTCGTACCCTGGCAAGCAGTCTAGACAATGCGATAGAATTCTCAGCGGCCTCTCGCTCTCTGGCCAATGACCGGTAGCTACTTTTCCTCCTGATGTCTTTTAGGCAGGTGCTCTGGCCGGGATGGTCTCTCGTTGTACCCGGCCGAAATTCGGTTGGTTGTTCGTTGCACCGCAAGATACGCATAGCGGTGGTGCACTTTCAAAAACGCTCCTCTAAAGACCCCGCTCACTCCGTCCCTGTACTCGTCCATGGTGGACCTCCCTCGCTCACAGCGACTTGCCCATGAACTTCCTCTTGTTGAAGCTCAGCCACCACTTACTCGGCTTGTCGTCCTGATCGGCGTACACACGCGCCAGTAACCTCGTGGCCAACTCCTGGCGCACCTGGGACATGTACTGCTTGAGCTGCTCTGCGTCTTGCCTGTCGCGTGGGGGCTCGTACATCTACGGAGCCACGTCAGCTTCACTCTTCCTCCAACCCAAGGGTGCTCAAGTGCTGGAGCGATCAATTTATGATGGTGAAAGAGGACCACAACGCACCTGGTTCAGAGGCCAGCCCGGGTCGCCGGGGATGGCAAACTGCAGGTCCAGGGCCAGGTTCATGACATCCTTGGTGGCGGCCCTGACATCGGCATTGGGCTTGATCTTGGTGAGGCAGTCGCTGACGAACCAGATGCCGTATACGAGCAGGCGGTCGGCATAGCCCTGCAGCTCGAAGTTGCGGAAGAAGGTGTTTGCGCGGAAGAGGGCGAGCACCTCGTCGAGGATGTCGTAGCTCTCGGACTCGGCGTCGGGCGACTCGTGGGCGGGCAGGGGCGGGTTGGGGAAGGGGAGCGTGTAGGCGGGCCCGCGGGTCTTTGTGCGCAAGGGGAGCAGGGGGAAGTTCCCGATCAGGCGCGGCTCGTTGGGGTCGGCGTTGAAGATGGAGTTGTAGGCCTGCAAGGGGCGGAGAGAGGGCGAGAGTTAGCTGGTGTCTTGGGCCTGCGCATCGTTTGGCTGATATCTGGCTGTGGAGTGGGCAGGACAGGACAGGACAGGACAATGGATGGACGGATGGACGGCCTTACAGGCATTGTCACTTATGCGCCACCAGGCAGGCAGTTGCTGGTGGTGTGGGTGGTTGACGTTGGCGGGATGGTGAGAAGGTGAAGCTGTGGAGGGGTTGGATGCCTCGTAGCTCTCTACGTACTGCCCCTGACACGAGTGACAAGCAGTTGACTGACGACTGAGCCGACTGACGTCTCTCCTGGGCGGACATGAAATGTGCTAACCGTGTCTGGAAATCCAGTTGAGCTAACCGTTATTGGTTAGCATCGGAGTGGGCAGATCTGAGTCAGCGGGCAGCGGCTAGGCTCGGGGGCAGGATGAGCCACACTTGAGTGCCTGCTGCTAGGCCGCTGCTCCACCCAATCCACGTCTTCCTCCAACTGCCGGGGTACGCTCAGGAGCAGCAGCGGATAATGTGTGAGGCTGGTGCCTGTGGTCATGTGAGTTAGCGTCAAGGTCGTGAAAGGAGAGGGATGGGGGGAGAACTGGATTTGGGGTGAGGCCCCCAAAAGGTGGGGTGGCAAGTCGCAAACATCCAAGGTGCTGGCCGCCCGTCCATTGGCTGCCGGGCTGGTTTTGTGTGCTGTCAGCGCGTCACTCTGCCTACATCTGGGACCATGTTCTTGTTGTCTGTCCTGCCATCCTGGGCATCCTCTCATCCTCTTGGTGTGGACGGGTGTTACTGCACCGCATTCATAAAGGGCGACGCGACCCCCTGGCCACCACTTCTGCCGCCTGGTTTTCCTTGCGCGACCCGTCTCAAGCCCCATTCCGCGACCGTCCATCAGTCTCAGTCAACCATTTTATCACCCTCCCGCTCCATGACTGCCTGCATCTTTAATCCCACTGCCTCCCCCTCTCCGCGAACGCGTCGCAATTTCCTGCATTTTGTCCCAAAGTGCCAAAGAGCCACCAACACACCTGCAGGCCTGCAGTGTGCAGGGGCCCACTTTTGCGTGCAGCTTTGACACTTGATCGCCGTGTCGCCTTGCGAAGAAGCAAGCAATTCAGCATTCAACACCTGCACCGTCCTGCAACGGGCCATCGGCCACTGTTGCAATCCGGGCGTCCTCCTCAATCGGCCAGGACCCTCGTCCAGAGACCCATCTCAATGCAGCAATTATTAGAGTAAGTTACCTGTTCTCCTATCCCTTGCGCCTTCAGTACAATATCGCGCTGCCGTCTCCTTTGTCGCGGCATCACACAAAGAGACCGGCATGCCAAAGCAAATACCCCAGGCCGCCCCACACTGCGCGCAGCTTCCCACCCATGACCCGTCCCCTTTGCTGACGCGACGCGCCCAGGTCCCTACTCAATCGCAGTCCTCTTCTTGGCCAGCTGCTCAGCTTTGTTGACATGGCCGGCCTTACACATTTCAAGATCGCGCCCCGGACACCACCCCCGTCCCAGGGCGCCGACTCTATGCCTGCACATGACAACTGCGCCGCCATCGCTAGCCACACATTACCAGCTGCTCCCATATCGCCTCCCGACAACACAAGACCTAGGAAGCGAAGACGCGTGAATCGCATCACCCGGCCTGAGCCTGGTTCCCTGTACGACATCCTGCACGAGAACCAGGGGGAGTCGCTATTCGTCATCCCAATATGTTGGCAAGATCAGCACGCCCGTCTCCTGGGCGTACAATGGGACCACCACCCGACCGTCCGCAGACCGGTCCCTGACTTCAACTCCATGTCCTCCAAGTACCCACCACGTCCGACAAAGGTCGCGACCGACCTGAGCAGGGACCTCACCACCGTCTTGGCCTCGGATCCCAGCCCGCTTCAGATCGCTGCACTCAAGAGTGTCATGTCGACACTCTTCCCCTCCACACTGTCGAGGGCAAGGTCCGAACTCAATCTTGAGATTCGCTTTGGGGACCAGGTGCTGAAACGCGGGGTGCGCGTCCCCATCGTATGGAAGCAGTACGACCAGAACAGCCGATCCTTTGACAGCGCCTCCACAAAGGTCGCAAGCTCCTACGGTCGCATACCGGGCAGCAATCAGCAGTCTTTTGCGAGCCAAAACACCGACTGGAGTCGCAGCAGTTCTCAGTCGTGGTCAGATCAGCCTGTCCTGGCCTTCATTAACAGGACTCATCTGCACCAGGTGCGCAGCAACCTGTACCGTGTGCTGCCCGGTCCGAACAACAGCGTCAACGTTCCGGTCGACAACCTTCAGAAGCTACGATGTAAACGCCTCGTCCCGCAAAATGCCGACCAAGACTCCTATCTGGTCGCCATTATGTTGGCCATCGCGCAGTGGCAATGCTATCCCCAGCGCTCGAGGCATTCTTCGAGATGGTCGTCACAGAACTCATCCCAGGCGTCTCAACCGGGTCAAGAGTCATCCTTACCTCAGCCCGAGTTTCGAGATGTTCCGGTCAAGATCATCACCCAAGACCAGGGCGCGGCCGAGTTTGTCATCTACAGTGCTGTTGTCACATCAGTCTTTCTCAAACGATTTGCCTGCCCGTCGAAAGCTCCCGAAGCCACAGGCATTCAGGACGGCGGTTTAGACATTAAGGTTACCAGAGTACAGATCTGGCCTGTCCTCGGTCTGAAGGAACGACTCGCCAAGGCACTCGGCACCGAGATTGCTGGTGACCTGGCTTGCCACGACACGGCTGATACGGATATCGAGACGTGGGAGACGGAGCAGGAACGTGCCTTTCGCCTCGGTAACCTCAAGAGGAAGAGAGAGGCACTGTCGGAAGTATTCAACAAAAGCTTTGAATCCACCGAGGGTGCCTCGCCCGTCACTGTCGGCCTCGAATCGGGTCTGGGTATCACAGTCGCCTCACCCCCAGTTTCACCGCGGACGCCCAAACGGAGACGTACGCAGTCGAATACGCAATTGGAGGTTTGCTAGTCACAAGCATCGCCTTATTCACCGACACCTCCGCGGTGTTTCCGTGAGGGTTGCAGATGCCGGCTCTCGCCTGCCTGTAGCCCGGGGGACAAGAATGGATGTAAGGATGAGCAGGCTGGGGCCTGTTAGGGGTCACCGCCGAGGGATCCTTTCCCTCTTTTGTGGCTTTCAAATGGCTCTATTCGTGTCCCACTTCTTTTCATGTTGGATCAATTATATATAAGTTATGATAAAGAGAGGGCCCGCTTCGTCATTCATGTTGCAAGGCATTGGGTCCGGACAGAGCGGAACTTTGATATTTGACACTCTGCTTATACCACGGGAAAGAGAGGTCATAGGTGTTTGGGATTACCCGACTCGCGTTGGCTTACATTGGAGTACCTGGGAGCGGTAAATTCGCATTGGACAGTAAATGTCTAGCTGGCGTTGAGGGACATGAAGACAAGATAGGCACATGGAATACATGGTTATATCATTCTGAACGAACATTCCCTTGGTTATCCATGAGTGATAGTTCGCATGGCAGCCCGGTATTGCGTTCAGGACTCCGTTTAAATGTGACGCTTGTATCCTGTTATGCAGCTCGGATGTAAAGATGTAGATTCTCGTCACGGATATGAGAGACGAGGTTTACTGGATGGCAGTGACATTCAGATTCCAATCTCTTTTTGCGAATGTTGTTGCTTGGCATACTGCGTACCTGGTTTTCATAAGTCGACTGCTGTTATCAACACATTTTGTTTCTCATCCCATCTTGACGGATAGACAACAAGCATGTGGGCGTAAAAATATACAAATGGAATCCTTTTCTCAGATTCGCAGGGATCGTCCAACAAGTCTTCTAAGTTCATTCTCCCATTTCGGGACCTCAGGCTTCTGGTGCTATCTAACGCGCAGTGCGTCCCGAATCTTCGTTTGCCCACCCGCTACTGAATATGATGCGGCCGGGATGAGATATTTGTGTACTCATGTATCAGCCGACTCGTTCAACCTCAAAGGACAACCGCCTCCTAGTGACACCATCCCATCCCCGTCTCGACTCCGCAATGCCCAAGCCCTTGTCAAGAGTCGCTCTACACTCGAACTCTATCCCAGTCCGCTCCGATATCTCGGACCACATCTTGTTGAAAGTTTCAACATTGTGAGTAAAAATATACCCTCCAGGCTTCACCCCTCCTTCCACATCCCCCACGGCCTGCCCAAGGATCAGCGGGCCGGCAGGCGCAGGCCCGAGCAGCTTAACACAATTCTCCAGCAGCTCCCGTTGCTTATCCCAGCCGAACAGGTGCAGCACCATGCCGAGATGGAGAATGTCCACCTTATCCACCATGCCGCTTAGGTTGCTTCCCTCGCCGAGTTCAAAAACATCCGCCTGCACCAGCGTCGCCCCGAGGGTGTCTCTGTCCCGGAAGAAGTCATACCCCAGCCCTATGAATCCCTCTTGCAGCTCCGCGCCGTGCAGGTTGGCGCCTGGGGCGCCGTCGTGCACCAGCTTGCGGATGTCCTGACCGATGCAGCAGCCGACGTCGAGGTACGTCGCCCCGTCCCTGATGCGTGCCAGAATCCTCTCATATGAGGGCTTCTTGCTCAGGCTGAGGTTGAGGAAGCGGAACTGCCCTATGCAGGGGTAGGGGAATATGTCCCATGCCTTGTCGCGCTTTGAGGTCGGCGGGTTAGTTGCCTCTCTGTCTTTCTGTGTTCGTGCCGGTTGGGGGGGGGGGGGGCAGGTGAGAGGAGAAATAAAGTTTCGGTGTACCGTACCATTGCGATCACATACTGGTCCACCTCCTCCGGGGGTATGTGGGAGTACTCCTCGAGGAGCTTGCGGGCCGCAGGCTCGATCCCGTGAAATGTCTGATCATACCAGCCCACGCTCTTATCCTTTGAGCCCACGTTGGGACGAAAGGTCGCCTTTGGCTCTTCCATTGTATTATTACGTCCAGTTATTGTAGGCGAAGGAGAGAGAGCCAAGAATGGAGTTCCTCAGGGAATAACTTGAATCTAGGATGCTTTACCTAACTGCCGAATCCAACTGGCACTAAAAAGTGTCCTGGCCTGTCATCGATAGGAAACGGCTAAGACGGCTTCGCGGACGCTACGATGGTGAGAATTAGTGTTTCATTAGTGGTTTCGAACACACCTTAGGCAACTTATTTCCTCTAATCATTAGCTTCCGTTGCGCTTACATGACCGGGAAACAGGTAGTCTATGATGTGACCAAAGAGAGGGAACATGATCTAAGGTCTTCCTTCCAATGAGTTTTCTCCTCACAGCTTGTGCAAGACACTTACTGCAGTCTAAATTCGGGTGTCCATGAGATACATCTGTCCATCTCCTAGTGGAGTACTCTAGCGGCAAGCCTTCGACAAAGCCAGTTGACGGATTATGTGCAAATATGACTGAAGCTCTGTATACGAATGAGTTCATTGAAAGGGGTAGTTATATGCTGAATGAATTAAATACGTTGGTCAATAAATAATCCTTTGAAATTGCTTTTAGACGGCGATTTCAAACCTCATGTTTCCAACTTCAAAGTTTCTTCTGGCCAGGAATTGTCTGCGGGTCGCTCTCATCAAAGTGACTTTCTGGTACACCATCATGGACTACCATCTCACGCCTCTGAGCCTCAAACACGGCTTGGGCTGATTCCGTAGTCCGCATATATGCGATGCGGCCCTTGGTGAACCAGAAACCAATAGACACCACCAACATAACGGCAAATACCGCGATCGCGTAATTCATGTCAGCGGCAGCGGGATCGGGCTCGCCAGGGAAGAAGAAAAACACAGTCGTGATGGCACAATATACGACCGACGTCCAGTTTATCAGGGGACCTAGAGATCCGAGACGGAAACCACCAGGCGGGAGTCTGTCGCGCCCGGCCATCATGAGGGTCAAGATCGGCAGGGCGTATGAGACTGTGAGTGCGATCGTCGCTGTGCTGATGATGGCCTCCAACACGGTGTTTGCGAAGAGGTATAAGACACCAACAAGGGCGACAATCACGCCTTGCAGCACTATAGCCCTCGATGGGACCTTCCAAGTAGGATCAACCTTTGCGAAATAGGCGCTGAACGGTATTCCGCCATCTCTTGCAAAGCCCCAGGTAAGCCGCGACCCGGTGGTGAAGACACTGATCCCTTGGCCAAGGCCGTTGAAGATGAAGAGAGCCAATAGGACCGCGGCGCCCTGAAGACCGATTGCGTCCTGGACCAGCTGCATGAAGGGCACGTCTGAGCTGATGACCGAGTCCAAGTCCTGGATGCAAAACAAGCAGACGAGCATAAAGATGAATCCGCTGATGGCGCCGGTGACGACGGCAAGCCACATTGCTCTGGGCGCATTACGCCGGGGTGCTGGTATCTCCTCAACCATGTGGATGACCGAGTCGAAGGCCGTCAAACCATATGCAGCCTGGAGCAAGCCTGTGAACCACTGCAGAATAGTTGTCAGCGGGGTTTTAGAGGTAACTATGGAAGGCATGACATCTTGCCGCTGGAGATGAGGGCAGAGAAATATTCAGGCTTGCTTACCGTCACCCCATCGCTCCAACCCGTCTGGTTGATCCAAGTCGCAAAGACGAATCGCCCAGGCTGGAATTCGAGACCGGGTTTGGTGCCCACAGCAATTAGGAGTGCCAGGCTGAGAACCACAAATAGGCCCACAAAGCCAATGCCAACAAAGTCGTTAAACAGCGGTAGAACTTTGTCCTTTCTACACGCGATCAAATTGAACACGGTAAAAAGGGCATTCACACCAAGGTATACCAGGAACTGCACCCAGCCGCTGCTCGCGCCTGTCCACTCAGGGTCGAACATGACCTTCATGTTGAGCAGGAAGCTCGTCATGAACGCAGTCTGTGACGCGGTGAGCGTCCACCACCCGAATGTGTTGATCCAGGCGCAAAGATACGACACAAATCTCCCCAATGGCGCGTCCCAAAGCCGCAGGACCCAGTAGGCCTGTCCCAGCGCCGTGGGCATGCTACTGCAAAGTTCGCCCAGGGAGACGACGACGCAAACATTGCAGACGGTCACAAGACACAGCCCCCAGAGAATGCTGATGGGGCCACCGTTGGTCAACCCGCTGCTGAGGTCCTGTAGGGAAATGGCTTGGGTTAGCATTTGCCGCTTTTTCCTTTGGCCACTTTGCGTCGAAGCAACTTCAAGACTGAATCGTCGCCACCCGCCGGAGCCCGTGATAGAGAGAGTCGCTTGTGCTCACCTGCGCGAACGTCGACCATGTTCCCAGCACACAAAACGCCAGTGCAAGTATGCTCCAGATATCGAACTTGCGAGTGAGGATTTGGTCGTGGCCCAGGGCGGCCAGGTCGCAAGCATCGACCACATCCTGATCGACGGCATCGACGACCTTGGGGCCCGGCTGCGCCGCTGTCTCCTCGAGCGGTTGAGGCTTGGTTGAGTCCATGATCAACTCACAGTGTGCAACAGAAAACACAGATATTAACTAGTACTGTAGCATTATGTCTGACCATCCAGGTACTTGATGGTGTAATTGACAATAGAATCAAAAGCTGCCCAGGTGCCCACCACAAGATGAGCCTTTGGCCGAAGTACACATTGCCCAACCCAGGGCCAACGTCACTAAGCTCTCCCCATGGCGAGGGTCCTGATAACGGCTGCGGCAATTAAAGTACCCCAGATATCTGTCCGCATTACCGGGGCGCACTGTAGTGTCGCATCCAGATCCTGAGAGGGGACAACCGAGGCGACCATATCCTTGCTCGTCCTAGCATCGGAACCGTCCGCGAAATCGCAAGCGGAGGCTAGCGCCGAGCTTACTTTATGTTATCGATTCTGGGCTGATAAGATGTTTTACGTGAAGTGCTGCGCTAAGGAAGTGATATCTATGTCGAGGGCGTGGTATCGGATCTTGGTCGCGATGCCAGTAGCATGCTGATAAGCTGCCTGGCTCGGCTCCATAATAATGTTGACGACGTCGAGACCAGCCCCAGACTTGCGTGGTCGGAGACAGGGGACGTTCACGCGCCCCACAACCTTTGCCCTAGGCCAAGATCTACAGCTTGCAGGGATCTCGAAGGGTTCTGGACACGGTAGTAATTGAGAGCGTTGGAAGGGACCTGGAATGAGATGCCAATATCAAATGTCACAGGTCGTCCTGAGTAGATGGCACAGAAGGAGACTCCGTAAGGAGAAACCCATTCCGCAGTCGACATCCACATGTGCAATAGGCGGTTATCCCACAGAAGGTTAACCTACATCATGTTATCCTGTAGAAAGCGGACCCACAGGAGTGATCCTGCAGCAAATTGGTACTGTTCAAGTGATAACCGAATTCCTTGCGTACTTCCACATGTGCATTACCTTAGTCTCGCTGATCCTCTAGATGAATCTGAAAATGCATGTAGTCATTAAATCTCTTGAAGGCACTTGGAACAATAAAAGGCCCAGGTTCTTACTCCAGCTTATGACGCACGTGCTGTCTACAATCGACCCTAAGCAAAAGCCGCCCTATGAGCATCATTTGATGAAGCAGGAGAGGCCCAGAACTGCGGTCGACAGAGCAGCTTATCGCGTGTGCTGCAAGCAATTTGAAACGTGACCCTCGGTTGTCTTGAGGGAAGAGTTGAATCTAGAAGTCATTCCCGACACAGACGGAAACGGTGATCATACCGATAATCTTATTTCAATAGAAAAGTACCCGAATACAGGGTTATGAATTTGTGAATGAAGAGAAGCTAGAAGTGCTCGAGAACGCGTTCATATTATGACCAAGAGCACACATTTTGAGACGTGGTTTGAAGTATTGGCACGTTGTTGGCCGTGCTGCTCTTTCCCCAATAGCCTCCCTACCGATTGAGCTCTTCTTCAATTTCAATGCGATTACCTCGAAGAGATCGTAGTTTCGGGATCAATTGCTCCTTAGTGCATGCCGACCATGAAGAGTGGTATTGGAAGTTTTGCGATGAGTATGCAGTGATCAGCTCGTATTTGCACTATCACGAATTCCTAAGCCCCAAAGGAAGACTCACTGCAACATGCCCAGCTGCCTTGCTTGACTAGGGTGGGTGAGAATATAGCGATGTGAGTCAGCGGCGGCCATTCGAAATCGCTTCCTGCCACCCTTGGCATGCTTAACACTAGTCATAATGTTATTTCAGGACAAAACAAACTAGGGTACGATACCACCTCAATAGTGCTGTATTTGTGCATCATCCACTGCCGTCAAAATCGGGACTCTTGAAATGCCAGGTCGGGCGGTCCGACAACGTAGTCTCACCCGTAAGCGGCTAGTACGGTACAGCAATATTTCAGTAGCCCTCGATCCTTCGCGCCGTGTCCCAAGCGCCATTTCGTATCCTAATTCTGTATTGCCGCGTGACTCAAAATAACGCCTGGAGTCGTCCGAGTTGAACTCACGATGGTTTGGTAGAGATATAAAGCCCGTCCCAGTGGCACAACAACAGCCGGAATGCCCACGCTCTAATTACCTCGTTTTTGTTCCTCACACTGCCTTCACCATGAAGAATACCCTGCGCAGCATTTTCGGGCGCAAGCCCAAGAACCAAGCCCCGAACGCAAATCGGCAGCCCGCCCAAACACGAGCCACTGCCGCAACGCCTGGGTCGGGACCTCACCAATTCGTCGCCCCTGATCCATTCGAATCGGAGGCGCAATTCCAAGCTGTCAAGGACCACCTAAACAACTTAGCAGCAAGAGACCCTGAGCGATTCGCCATGATCTCCCGCCCAGCAGCCTACAGGGCCGCGGAATTCTGGATGACACAGAACTTCCCAGAGGCGCAGGTGGTGAACGGGGGTTGTTTTCCTGGCGACATCAGCATGCTTGGCAAGGACGTGCGGCCAGAGGACACGCAGTTCTTCGTCGCGATGGATCCTGCAAACCCGAGGAAATTTATCGCCGTCAACCTGGTGGTGTTCAACCTGGCATTCACGCTACCAGGGAGCGGTGACGCCCTGGGGACGCCTGAGATGAAGGCTGCGGAGGAGGGTGTGTTGGACATGTTGAGAGGATGGCACAGAGATGGGATGAGTGACGGGTTCCTGGTGCTTGTGTCTATGGGGGTCGACCTGACCATTTACCGGTTCTCCGGCAAGGACGGGCTGGTTGATATTCCTGGGGGCGTGGATTTTGTGACGAAGAAGGTGACACAAGATTGAAGAGGCGGCTTGGAGCTTGTGACTGAGGTCAGGGTATTGTGACGGCATGATTTACGAGTGAACGATCTATAGAGGAGAGGCAGATTTACGGCGCGCAAGGTGTTTCATACCCAGGTAATTATATGTCTTGATCATTTGTATAGACAGTTGGAGTAATCACATCAAAACGGTTGCAGCATTTAGAAAAAACTCAAGCCAGAGTTTCTTCCAATTGAATGGCCGTCAGGCAGGTTTTTGGACACACTTGCACTGAACTTTTTGAAATCCTCCCGGCCTCCTTGCTGGTAAGGCGACCAAGGCCACATAGCTGACTCACCTCATGGCTTGACAATGTAAACTGTGTATTTCATTAAGAGGCCACTGGTTGGATGACCGGTTTGGTTAGTCGCCTGAAGCACTTGGAGACAGCGAGTTGCGTTGAGGTAAGAGCATTCGGGCAGGTTTCAAATGTTGATAACGTACCCTCACCTGATTCCGACCACCCCGGATTCCGACCGCCCTTTTCCACACAAACTCACATTTTTTAACTCTATAAAATAATATTATTAATAATTATTACTAAGCATAGCTTATAAAATATTATATTAAATAGCTAAAGAAATAAAATATTAAGAAATACTAGTAAACTTTATATAAATTTTAATAGTTTTTAATTTTATATATTATTAATAATATCTTAATAAAGAAATTAAGTAAATTTTATCTTTCTTAAAAATATAATTATTTATATTATTTTTTAATTAATATAAGAGTATTTTATTTTTAAATATTTTATTTATAATATTATGCTTAATAATAAGTTTTTTATATAAGAAAATAAGGTTATAATACTTTATATTAATATATATAACATATTAAAATATAATAAAAGTATATTTAAATATTATATTATTTTTATATAAGAAATAAAATTAATTTTCAATTTTAAAGCTTTTATTTAATTTTAAAAAATAAAATATATAAATCTTAAGAAGTATTAATTAATTATTAGTAATTCTTAATGTTTTAAGTAATCTTAACTTTAAAAATTTATATTAAATTTATTATATAATACTATTAATATGTATTATTTTTTATAAATAATATGTTTATTTACTAATATAATTTAAAAGCATTGGTATTTTTAGAATTTAGTTAGAATTTATTATTTAGAGTTAAAAAGTAGGCGTTTTATAGTGTGTCTGCACCAAAAAAATGGTGGTCGGGAAGGGGTATGGTCGGAATCGGGTGGACCTACGTTAATGTGTAAAGCCTCGGCCTTGTGAGTTGCCTGATACGATTCTATGCGCATTATAGGCTTGAATACCCTTCGCTCAAAATTAGAGCATCTGAAAGTTGATAAGCTCGGAAACAGCGCTGAAAGTGTGCAGGATGTCCGTGACCCAGCGAGCCATCTGAGTCAAGATATCTGGTGTCGTGTCTTTTTGGATGCTCCAACTCAATTTTACGCTACCTAGTTAGGTGGCATACTGCTTGACAGTGTAGGACCGATGTCTCTGTCCTGCCCTTGGTGTTATGATTGTCTAACCTGACTCGTAGAAAGAGGTGCAATTTTCAGTATGCTGCCGAGGCTGATGGCAGCCCAGTTTAGATCTAGCCTTACTTGATTGCTCTGAGAGCACCACTGCGCGGACCCATTCAATCCTTGATGACTACACTGGTCTTCAGATTGGCATGTGAAATAATGTCAACTGGTCAGGCTGATGCCGAAACAGTAAACAGAGGAAGGCCTGATTGAGTCTTTGATATCTGTGGCTCATTTTGAATACGCCGACATCGCATATTCGTTGTTAGTAAGCTGAGAGATGGCGTGAGTGAGAACCTTGATGGGTGACGACGTATGCTCCTTGCCGCGGCTTGGCCATCTTGGAATGTCTGCGCATGTGCTCCGTTCCCCGGCTCGATGAGAGGCTGCAGTCAGCTCAACATCTCTGGCAGGCTGGTACGTGGGAGAAGAGCACATGGGAGGTCTGGGCCGAGATCAGGCCACCCGGAAGCCCAAGAAGCGGGTTCCACTCCAGAACGTCATCCGGGGTAGCAAGGTCGTGATTTGGAATCGGGCGGACGAATTGGCATCTGTGGTTGCGGTCTGAACGTCCACTGTAAAGTCCATATGACAAGATCAACTATCATGGTAGAGGAGATCAACGAGGGCGTATGTCACAAGAGATGCATTTGTCAGACTGTGGATTCCAGATGTCAAGCACTTGATGGACTGTCGAGATAGAGGAGGGTCGTGAGGTCTAAAATCCCGGGACGCCACCGGGACAGCGGGACGGGACCACTTGGGACATCAAAATGGAGACTACAGTTTAGAATAGAGCGTGTTAGGTCGGTAACACATCAGTCATGGCTTCAGTGCGAGGCATGTTAGAAGTCAAGGATTGTCCAACGCGATTTGGTCAGACAAGGCGCGAGGCCCACAATTCTACCAGCACCATGTAAAGACGCGACCCACTAGGGCGCGATTGATGGCGTTATCGTCACTTATCGAAAAAAACCGGGCCTGAAGTTTTCTCGCTCTTTGTCTCCTTTTCTGTCAGGAGCTCCAGAAGTTTCGGCCTGCCTGTACCCACCACCCTCACCACCCGCGTGGACCCTCCCTTCATCACCTTGGTCAAGCCAAACCCAGTTCCTGCCTGGCCGAGCGGACAAACATTGGCCTTGCGAGATCGGGATTACGGACTTTTACGCCCTCAAAAGTGGGCTCGATTCTCTGCGGTTCTGTCATCGACGCGTTATCTAATCGCATCTCAACGTTTTTCACCCCTCCTGCCTCTCTCAAAAGCGTCCAGCTTGGCCTTATCTCGCGACTGCAAACACCTCAAGCTCCTCCTCGCCCACTACTACGCCTCACAACACACTTTTCCCTCTTCGTCACCCCGTCAACATCAGTCAAAATGTCCAAGGCATTTGTTCAGAAGCCCGCCCCTGCCTTCACGGCGACCACCGTCCTTGAGCACGGTGAGTTCAAGGAGGTCTCCCTCTCCGACTTCAAGGGTCAATGGTGAGTCCGACACCCCCCAAGACTGCGCGGGCTACTGCCACTGTCCCTCTTCGCCGTGCCAAGTCGGCCCCGAGCCTCAATCACAAGGCTGGGACAACTGCCTCCTCTGCCTGCCAGTCAGCCCTTCGTCCCACATGGACACTCGCTCACCTCACTCACAGGGTCGTCCTCCTGTTCTACCCCATGGACTTCACCTTTGTGTGCCCCACTGAGATCCTCGCCTTCAACGACGCCCTCCCCAAGTTCGAGAAGCTCAACACCACCGTCCTCGGTGTCTCCACCGACAGCCACTTCACCCACCTGGCGTGGCGCGAGCGCCCCCGCAAGCAGGGCGGTCTCGGTGAGGACCTGAAGCTGCCCCTGGTCGCCGACAAGAACTTCAAGATCGCCCGCGACTACGGCGTCCTGATCGAGGAGGAGGGCATCGCCCTGCGCGGTCTCTTCATCATCGACCCCAAGGGCACCCTGCGCCAGATCACCGTCAACGACCTGCCCGTCGGCCGCAACGTCACCGAGACCCTCCGTCTCGTCGAGGCCTTCCAGTTCACCGACGAGCACGGCGAGGTCTGCCCCGCCGACTGGCAGTCCGGCGGCGAGACCATGAAGGCTGACCCCAAGGGCAGCCTCGAGTACTTCGGAAAGCAGGGTGGTAAGTCTCGGCCCCTCAGCAGCGGAGACGCGTCCCCCATTGCGAAGCGTCCACGTATTGAGTAGAGGGTTTTCCCACGACAGGTCAATAAGCAAGTGATATGAGAGAGGCAATGGGATTCTGTCGTGAAAGCAATGCCGAGGAGCAGCCGCGACGACTCCGGCCCGAGTCTGACACCGGTGGCACTTGAAGGACTGCGTGTGTGAGTGTGTGTGCCCGGCGTTAAGCAGATGGACGGACCGACATAGACCATAGAAGCTAGAGCTCAATATATCCCTGGGTCCCTCGGACCCGGACCTGTTGTATTTGAATATCTGCTTCCCAACCCAGTTGAGTGCATGTTCCATTCGACCGCTCAAAGCCGGTGAGACGGTGCCTTTCAATCAGTATCTGCAGTTTGTCCCCAATTTGACGCCGCCGCCGTTGACCCACAACTCCGACCCTGATGCTCGAAGTCTGACATATTGTCCCCGCCAGGAGGTAATCGCCATGCTGTAACAACAGCTGCCGTGCCGGAACCGACTTCAACTCAATCTTGGTGAAGCCTCTCCCGCTCGCTCCGATCGACCCTTGCCGATTGTAATTCGATGGGCATGAGTCGACAACCCCGATCGCATCTTCTCACGGAATGCCCTCCAGGACTAGAAATGTCTGGCGCAGCAGACTCGGGCTGGCCACAGAGTCTAGTACCCGCGCGTCCTGTCGAAGATCAGGTGCGGGTTCGGGCCCGAGCGGTCGGACATCATGGACGGGCGGAAGAGCGAGATGGTGTCCTCCTCGAACAGCGCCTGCTTGGGCGGCGTCCTCGGCGGCGACGTCGCGGTCGACACGCGCGGGACGTCGTCGAAGGGGCTCCCGTGGCCCGCGAACCTGGTCGGCCGGGCGCTCTTCTTGGAGCTCCTGTTCTTGAACTTGTTCCTCATTCTCCGCCACCAGCCCATCTTGGCTCAGATCATCGACAGAGTTTACTCTGTCAGGTAGGGAAGGGTTGGGTTCAAGGGCAATGGGTCCGATGAGGGCCAGGGTGCAACTGATAATGAGCCAGCTCTCGCTGGAGAAATTGAAGAAAGAAATGTCGGAGGATGGAAATGCTGATCCGCAGCGTCCGGAATGCACAGCGCAGTTTCGTTGTGGTGTTTACACAGCCACGCATGAATGCGTTGTCCCGCTCTGCCAGGGTCTTCCCTTGGGAGCCGAAGGGGTTTTCGTTGCGGAAGCCTCGCCTTGGGTTGCCCCCCTTTCGCCTCGCGGGTCCCGGAAGTCTAGCCTGTGTGGGATCTGGAAGGACGAACCCGGGTCTTGGGGGGGGGGTATCTAAGCTTTGGTAGCTCCCTTGAATTAACTGACAGCCGCGTATTGCATTTTGCGTGCATTGATACCACGGCGTGGCTTGGCCTCGGGAGTCTGGATGCGCATTCGAATCAGGGGCGAGCTCCAGTGAGGCGGAGAATTGAGCGGGACTGTTTCCGACTTGTTTCGCTGGTCGATCTCGTAGAGTTTGCGTGACAAGCGAACAAGAGTGGGCAAGCCGACACGGTCGAGTCGAGATATTCTGGGCTCTGTTAAGTGTGCTAACCAATGCTTTGGAAGGTACTGCATACATGACACCAAATCTAACAGCGTCACACTGCAGTTCGCTGGAGTATCAGTTAGCGAGTCTCCTCACCACCAGGACTTGGCTTGAGAATCTGAATTGACGCATAGACTTACCCTCCATGCCACGGTTCATTTGGCATTTGGTGCACGAGATGGAACCGATTTCGGAGCCTCGAAGCACGTAGTATAGTGGGATGTTACCTGCCGGGCATCACCACAGAAGCAAATCGTCCGGCTGAAACATATTGTCCATCCACACTAGAGGGTTCGTGCTTTCCCGTCTGTTTCGACTACCCTCCAGGTTATCTGAAGGAGCATGATCGAAAGGTTGACCCAAACCATCAGATTGCTGCTGCGGATTCGCCCAATCAGACACGGAAATACCGAGCATTGATAGACAGGAATCCATCTCTGTGTTGGCATGGATCTGCTCTGACCCACTATGAGTTGGGCGGAGCTCGACGTACTGCAGTGCCACGTCGTGAAGGGCCTGGAAGAGCCGTTGCATCTTAGCTATCGGCCCAGAGCTCGGTGCAGCCATCGCCAGCAGAGTATTGAAGTTGCGAAGACAAGCTAGGTCGACCTGATTGAGGGTCTCGATGGTGTTGCAGAAAATGACAATAAAAGGTATTGGGGAGTATAACAGGACGCTGTTCTAGTTAGGACTGACACAATCTGAGACTAGTAGTGGGCGTCAAGGCTCGGTTCTCAAGTTAACTTACTTGTACGCATTTGCTGGGACATATTCGGTCTCTTTCTGTATCAGTTCCAAAAAGCCATGAAGCCGCTCCAGAGTAGCCCGGGCGCTCTCCACGCACTGCCCGTTGAAAATTGAGGACACTGCCAGGCGCGGGGCAGCTCGATAGACCAACGTGAGGAGTGACATGTGAGCAATGTCACATGAACGGAGAAGAATTGCGACCAAATCTTTGACTCTCGCATCTGTGTTCAGTTTCTCCGCCTTGGCTCTAACTTCTCCGCCGACTTCGCCCAGCTGACCTTCCAAGATCTGCACGCGCGAGTGTCGTACGTGGTCTGGCAGAGCAAGAGAGGTCGAGCTGTATAAGAGCTCGTGTATATCCCCCTGACAACGAGCAATCTTCACGCCCAGCTCCAGGAACGATACCCGTACCTGGTCTGGCGCCTGATCCTCGGGCGTGGATTCTGGCAGAGGTATAGTCACGTCCCAGTCTTGAATAGTGGATGCCCGGCCAAGGCGAAGTGACAAGCCCTTGTCCACAATGTACAGGAACCAGAAGAGACGTTGCTTGTGACTCGATTCTCTTTTGGAGTCTTCGCTCTTGTGTCCGACGTGGTGATATCCCAGGGTTTGGCACAGTTCGGAGGCTTTAGTGACCAACGTCCACGCCAAGTGTGGCTCCGAGATGTCGAGAGCATAGTATATCTTACATTAGAAGTTCAGTCAGAGAGAGCGTGAGGGTGAGGGTGGGAGAGAGAAAACGATAAGGTAAATCATGAATATTGATGAAACTTACACCACAAAGGAGAGCGGTGATGTTTCCAGCAGTTGGTGGCAAGTATAGTGGCAGAATTGAAAGGCCGGTATCGACGTTATTGCGGCACATATCCGCGAAGTGAAGACATTTTTCTCGCTCGGTCTCTATTGCCATTGACGAGTATGCTTGGAAGAGATAGTGAAGGCCAATATTGGCCGTTACAAAATCAGTCTCGGAGTAGTCCTGAGAGAAATAAACACCAAGACTAAGGTCTGCAAGATTGTCCATTGGCAAGAAGTGAAACATCCCTATGCTTCTTATTGTGTGTTGATCTGAGCGAGGCAAGGCATCAGTCGATGTTAGTCCTCATTTTGAAGAGCGCGGGGATTTAGAAAGTGCACCAATAGTGCACCTTGGAGAGGAATATGAGATGCCGAAGCTCACAATTGGGGTTGCGGATGAGTTCCACGACTTTCTCAATAGGAGGCATCTCACAGCCACGTAGAGAAGGGCGTTTGATCGGGATTGCATGGGGAAAAGACGATTCGGTGGGAAATCCAGACAGTCCAAAAGACCTGATGGTATCCTTCAAAGCGGTGAAGGCTTTGCGCATCTCTGGGTTGTGGTTCATTGAAGGGTCGGTTGTGACAGTCTTCTGAATAAAGTCGTGGGCAAATTCGGAGTGTGCAGCCATGGTGGAATCGGACTGGCTGCTGGGTTTGGTTCTGTTGAGCTCAACTGAGTGGCTAGAGCGACCAGATTGGTTCTCTGTGGGTGGAGTGGCGTCCTGTGGAGCATGTGCTGGCTTGTTCGATGAATGGCTATTCGCGGGCATGTTGCACTTCAACTCGTCGAGCATTCTCACAACATCATCCAGCCGACGATCCATGCGGTCGAGCTTCTTCTCACTGTTGCGCGAAATGTAAGAAAAGTAGATACAACGGCAGGTAGAGTCTCACTATTGGGGAGTAAGCAGAATCCGCGTGCGCCTTTCCCTTGGTTGGTCAGCGGTAAACGTGCATGCTATGCCAGCACGAGAGCAATGCGCGCAAGGCGATTCTTTGTTGCATCGTATCTGAGATCCACACTGTTCAGCAAGGAGTCGCTGCGACTGAGGAACGAATTTACCTTGCGAGAATGACAGGCATCGCACTAGGTTCGTAGTCAGCAGAGGTATTGCTGCAAAGCAAGCCAGGGCTAGGGAGACTCACAGCGCGGCGACTTCTGCTGCTGGGCGGCCCTGACTGTGGCTCGAGGGAATCTTCGCAGCCACTGATCTCGGCCTGATTATCCGCCATGTCGCACCAGTTACAAACAAGTGGATCGAAATTGTGCTGCGTAGCTTGAACGTTTGAGAGTAGATGGTGAGAGAAGGTGAGGACTCGGATCGAGGGAAAGTCGGCCCCGAGAAATACGTCGACGACGCTAATGATGATGCAGCAAAGACCCACATATTCCTTGGATTGACGAATCATATTATACGATGAATCTACCCTTCGGCGGCCGAGTTCGCCGTCTGCCGCACATCATCCCGTTTGTGACGCCTTCACATTCCAGTCAGTTGAGACGGGCATCGCAACTGAAATCAGTGAATTTCCCCTACCCCTATTTTTTTACTCACAAGAATGAGACCTGCTGTCTCCTTGAAGGATTTTTGATTCTTCATTCTGGTCGTCCATGCTCTCTGTACACTCTTTTCATCCATCCCACGCGACTCACCTGCGTCGTCTCTCTTACTGAAACCTAATATTTATTCATACGTACGGGTACCTGACAGATGATTGATTTTTCTGATCCCTCAAAATTGCATGTTGAAGACTCAGGGAACATCTACAAAGCCATGGCGCTCCACACGTTACCCAACGAGAAAACGGTCCAGGACTCGGAAATGCATCACGATGCCTCTAATCCGGAGCCAACCGCCGAGCTTCCCCAAGAAATGGGCGCCTTTCAAGCCTACAAGGTGAGGATGCCTACCTAATAGCAAATTGAAACAGTACCTAACTGTCCAACCCCGTCAGAGGATCTTCCGATACGGGTCGAACATCGATCACATACTCCAATGCATCGCAGCTGTGGCAGCCGTTGCCTCCGGGGCCGGTATCGCCCTGCAGACCCTCATCTTTGGTAGCTTTATCACGACAATGAACGACTTCGTAGCAGGCGTGTCATCTGCGTCTGAATTCCGTCAAGGTGCCGGTGATTTGGCGTAAGCAGTCTCTCCCCCCCCCCTTTCCGCCTCATGCCACTCGTGGTACGTTTGCTCAACCTCTGACTAGACTTTACTTCGTCTATCTTGGAATTGCAAGATCCGTGCTTTCTTATGCATACAACCTGCTTCTTACATACACAGCCCATCGTATTACCCGCAACATTCGCTTGGAATTCCTCCGGGCTGCCCTTCGCCAGGAGGTTGCTTTTTACGACTTTGGCACTGGCGGCTCAATTGCAACTCAGGCCACTTCCAACGGCCGCTTGATCCAGAGCGGCGTCTCCGAGAAGCTTGGCCTTGCATTCCAGGGAATCTCCGCCTTCGTTGCGGCTTTCATCGTCGCCTTCTCGGTCCAGTGGAAACTCGCGCTCATCTGCATCTGCATTGCCCCAGCCACTTTCCTCATTATGGGGATAGTCTCGGCTATGCAAACTGGCTTGCTGATAAAATCGATTGGCATCTACATGCGCGCTAACTCTTTCGTAGAAGGGGTCCTGGGGGGAATTCGGGTTGTCCACGCCTTCGAGATGAGGGAGAGACTTGTTCAAAAGTTTAGCGAGCATCTGGAGCAAGGTCGGCGTGTTGGCAAGAAACAGTCTCCCCTGCTGGGTATTATGTTCTCGTCACAATACACCATCATTCAACTCGGCTTCGGCCTTGCTTTCTGGCAAGGTATCCATATGCTCGCGAGGGGGGAGATCGAGGACTCAGGGCAAATTTTCACGTGAGCCTTTGACATGTTGCTTCATTACCTAACCATACTGATCGATCACTTCGTGGACAGGGTAGTGATGTCGATCATCCTTGCGTCCACCAACTTGACATCGCTTGCACCCCATTTTGTAGACTTCAGCCAGGCCGCGTCTGCTGCTTCCAAGATTTTTAGTCTCATCGACCGTACCTCTGGTATCGACCCCTTTAGCCAGACTGGTGAGAGGCCATCCGAGGTCAATGGAATCATCGAATTGGAAAATGTGAGGTTCGCTTATCCAACCCGGCCGAACACGACGGTCCTGCAAGACTTTTCTCTTGCCATTCCCTCAGGGAAGGTGACAGCCCTGGTGGTGAGTGTTTCCCTTCAGCTTTCAGCTGGTCACAGAAGCTGAGCTATCTACCTAGGGTCCTTCGGGCTCGGGAAAGAGCACCATCATTGGGCTGCTTGAGCGATGGTATAATCCGCTTTCCGGCTCCATCAAGCTAGACGGTCGCCCGATTGACCAATACAACCTGAACTGGCTTCGCATGTCGGTGCGCCTTGTGCAACAGGTATTCATTGAGACGCAGATACTTACGGGGGAAGAATCACGAGCCTAACATCTCGCCTAGGAACCAGTGCTGTTTCGCGGCACCGTATTCGACAATATCAAGGAGGGGCTAGTCGGTACCGAATGGGAACATGCTACCAGGGAGCAACAACTTCAGAAAATCCAAGATGCTGCCAAGATATCATTCGCGCACGACTTCATCACTGAGCTCCCCGATGGCTACGATACCGAGATCGGACAGCGTGGCGGGCTTCTTTCCGGAGGGCAGCGCCAACGCATCGCCATTGCTCGCAGCGTTGTCTCCGAACCTAAGATCCTCCTTCTTGACGAAGCAACGAGTGCACTAGACCCTCACGCCGAGACGGTCGTCCAGCAAGCTCTCGACCGAGCATCCGAAGGCCGCACCACGATTGTGATCGCCCATAAGCTTGCCACCATCCGCAAGGCGGACAACATCGTCGTCATGAGCAAGGGCCGAATCGTGGAGCAGGGGGACCACGACTCCCTGATTGTTAACAACGGCGTCTATGCTAAGCTTTTACGGATCCAGAGTCTCACTGTCAGGACAAATGCAGATCCAGAGTCAACCGCTACCAGCGACAAGGAGAGTGATGTTGAGGCTGAGACAGATGGAGGTGGCGAAGTTCACAAGCTACTAACTCGCTATCCGTCTTCAGTCCAAGAGCTCATGGGGCGCAACAAGGACCGGGATAATTACGACCTTCACAAACAACTGGGCATCTTGGCAGTCATTTGCCGGCTTGTCAAGGAGACCCCAGATGCCGCTTGGTCGTATGTCTTCGCTACGCTGGGTGTGATAGGAGGAGGTCAGTTCACTTGTGATCTTGTGGTCAGTGTCTGTGTGCTAACCCTGTTTTAGCAACCGCCTTTCCGGCCCAGGCAATCCTTATATCCAAAGTGGTCACAGTATTCAACTATCCGAAGCCTCAGCTCACCGAGGATGGCGACTTCTTTTCCTCAATGTTCGTTGTCCTAGCTGCGGGTTGCCTCTTATCTTACTTCTCGCTCGGATACTCATCAAACAATATCTCACAACAACTCAACTACAAGTACCGGAAACAGGTCTTTCATGACATCATCCACCAAGACATACAGTTCTTCGACCGGCCAGAGAACAGCACCGGTGCTTTGACCAGCCGGGCTGACTCTTCTCCCCAATCCATCCTTGAACTCATGGGGTTCAACATAGCCCTGATAGGCATCTCGGTGCTGAATCTCGCGGCGTGCAGTATTCTCGCCTTGGCGTACAGCTGGAAACTTGGTCTGGTTGTCGTTCTAGCCGGCCTCCCACCCACGGTCATGGTCGGCTATATCAAGATTCGTTTCGATGCGAAGCTGGACCGCGATAATTCCAAGCGCTACTCAACCAGCGCGGCCATCGCCTCCGAAGCTGTGACTGCCATTCGAACAGTCTCCTCGCTAGCCATTGAGAAATCTGTCCTGGCCCAATATGGTGCGGAGCTAGATCGTGCTATTTCGGAGTCAAGGTCGCCACTGTGTCAGCTTATGATCTGGTTTGCCATGATGCAGGGTATAGAGTATTGGTTCATGGCTCTGGGTTTCTGGTAGGTCTGCCCTCTAGACTTGATACCACCACTACACAACCTACTCACAACTTCCACTAGGTATGGCTGTCGACTTCTCTCGTTCAACGAGGTTGACTTGGGCGCATTCCTCATTGCCTTCCTAGGCGTTTTCTTCGCAGGCCAAGCATCCTCAGCCATATTTCAATTCTCGACTAGTAAGCTATGAGTTAACTGAATCTGTCAAAGCCGCTTCATACTCACCGCCTTTGCTAGGTATCACCAAGGGCGTCAACGCCGCCAACTATGTCTTCTGGCTGCATGGTCTCCAGCCGACCGTTCGGGCTACGCCTGAAAACAAAACCCGTGGCCCTGATAGTGGAGATTGTATAAACCTCAATGATGTCCGCTTCTCTTACCCATTGAGGCCGGATATCCCCATTCTGAGGGGCGTGAATCTGAAGGTATGCCTCAATCAAGTTGTCGAACCGCTCCAACCACTCAGAACCCTAGATTGACTGACCGCTTTCTCGCAGGTCAACAAGGGTCAGTTCGTTGCCCTTGTGGGTGCGTCTGGCTGTGGGAAATCAACCATCATCGGGATGCTCGAAAGATTCTACGACGCTACCACCGGCTCCATTACGATCGACGGCTCAGCCCTGCTGCCAGACCTCAACCCCCGCCTCTATCGCCGCATCGTCGCCCTTGTCCCACAGGAGCCGGCTCTTTTCGACGGCTCCATCCGTGAAAACATCGCCTTTGGCATCTACAGTCCCGAGCATGATGAGATGGCCGCACAGGCCGAGCTCTCAACGGGCGTTCCTGACGCCACCATCGAGGAGGCACTCCGCTCCGCCAACGCCTGGGATTTTGTCTCTTCGCTCCCGGAGGGTCTCAACACAGACGTCGGGTCCAACGGCTCTCAGCTGTCAGGCGGACAGCGGCAACGCATCGCCATCGCACGAGCTCTCATCCGAAACCCCAAGATCCTACTGCTTGACGAGGCCACCAGCGCGCTAGACACGGAGAGCGAGAAGATTGTTCAGAATGCCTTGGACGAGGCGGCCAAGGTCGGCGACAGGATTACTTTTGCTGTTGCTCACCGTCTCAGTACTATCAAGGATGCTGACGTTATCTGCGTCTTCCATAATGGCAAGATCGCAGAGGTTGGGACGCATGCCGAGCTGGTTGCGCAGGGTGGCATGTATCAAGGCATGTGTGAGGCACAAGCTCTCAACTAGGCAGTTGCAGTCTCAATTCCTACATAGGAATTGAGGAATTCTCCGGGCAGCTGCCCGACTGTCAAACTACGGTTGTCTTGGAAGCATGGCACTAGATTTCGAGGCGTCCCTTGAAGAGGGCTGGGCGCAGTGCTGGGCGCCGTGGTTTTGCATGTGCAATTTGAGAGAGTCTCCACCGCTGCAAATTTCAACCTTGGTTCCAATTTTAGGACCGTTGTGGCACGAAATGTTACATTCGGATACTGACACCCAGAAACGCAAATGTGTGTGCTCTCCTCTCCGACTCACTATCGCTGTGGATCGCGCATGAGTGATACTAAACCTTCCAGGTTGGCTGGCTCGGGAACACGATGTTATGAACACGCTTGTCCACGGACCCGTCATGCGTTGCGAAAGAAATGACACAATCGATTGAAAACTCTGATATGTGTGCAGATTAAAGCATCGATGCGCTAACTGTATGATTCGACAGCAGCACACACATGCGCCCCTTGCTCGTGTGTAAGAGAGCGTCGCGCCCGAGACGTCGACTGTGACGGAGCATGCCGGCTATGATTCGTCCAACCGCCGAGCAGTCAGACCTATCGCCACCCGGAATCTTATTCGTTTCTCACGTCGCGGATGATCGGGCCACAGCACGGACGTTTCCAATCCGTGGAAGCTACCGCAGGCCGCGTCCATCCCAGGAGATAGAACCAGCATGGACATTGCCAGCACAACGATCAGGACCCGTCCGAATCATGGGAAACATCTGACTAGGTCGACTGCATTCGGCTTCCCGCGAGACTCCCGCTGCACTGCATCAGTACTGTTTCTGGCTGCAGGTGGAGGCTCTGGGGGTCACTGTCATAGTTTTGACATGAGGGTGCAATGATACAGGTTCAAAGTCCGGATAGCATCAACTCCGCCCAGAACAGATAACAAAAATAACATCTCTGTTAATAACCTCTAGTCTCGGTACCACATACGTCACCGAACACGAGATGTAGTTGGCTTGCGGCTACAAACGTGGGTCAGGTGTGCAGATGAACTTGGAAGAGGGAAACTCAATCTCGACGGGCTAGTCTGTATACGGCTGCTCGGGGTCCAGCACTCGGCATGGAGGAGCGATTCGATGGAACCATTAACGAAAGATTATGAATTTTGAGTTTTCACTGCGTAGCGAATCCAAGATCGGCCCGGCCGTTTTGCCGTGGGGGGGTCCTCTGTTCGACTGCAGCTTGGTCGTACGGGCATGGTATCCTGGTTGACAGGTCGCTAGTGCCCTTGAATTCCTGGGCCACTGTCGCCCACACACGGTCCAAAAGTTGGAGTTGAGCTCTGAAACTGGGCCGGTTGGCACCTTCAAGGCGCATCCCAAGGAGACCCTCCGAACCCAATTTGTGCCCAAAGGCCGTAAAGAGAAACGCGAAAATTGAGATGTGAGCACGGCATATTTGCACGGTGGCTGACTGGTGAGAGGCATGACTTCGCCGGCCTGTACTCTGCTGGCCCAGCCGGCGACTATATCATATACCAGCAGGGCCCCTCAGCCCACCTAGCCCATGGTGATCACTGCTCCACTCCATTACCACCAGTCCTTTCTATGTCCAGTGACCTTCCTCCTATCCCTGGTCTCTATCCAATCATGAGAAAGACGGACTCTACCGCAGCAACTGCGGGCTCAGGCTCCAGTTCCTCAAGCCGTCGCCATGACAAGGAAAGATCCAGCGGCCGCAGCCGTGACCCGGATCTTGTCGACTATGTCCATGACAGGGACAGGATTCCTCGCCCGTCCCTGAAGCACCGGGAGTCCAGCCGCGAGGGCAGACGGCACCACGAGTACCGGTACTACGAGCCGCCGGCGGGCCGCCAACGCGTCCGCAGCGAGGAGCGTCGGAGCCCAGGAAACTCGGCAAAGGCATCGAAGACCAACAGCCCGGACAAATACAGGGACTCTGAGAGGTCTGCCCCGAAAGAGTCCAGGGGCAGGAGGAGGCACACATCGGAAAGGTCAAGCGAGACCCGCAGCCGAAGCGAGGACAGGCGTGAGGACCGGCGCGACAGCCGGCGGCCCAGTGACGACGGCCAGGGAAAGAAGCGGGCGACCGCGGCCAACTTTGGCAAGACCGCACTGGCTGCCGGTGCCATGGAAGCTGTCAAGCAAAAGGGGCGCAAGGAGCGGGAGACTGACGCTTGGAAGAGGGTCGCCACTGCTGCCTTGGGCGCTGCTGCTATTGACGCCGCAGCAGGCAAGGCCAGGGGCAAGGACCCCAGGGACAGAGGAAAGGGATCTCTGATTGGCGCATCGATTGGAGGTTTGGTCTTGGACAGTCTCGTCAACAAAGTGCGGTGATGTCTCCGTTGGGAGTGGTTGGCACCATGCGAGTATCACGGTGCTGCAAAAAAAAGGGGTTCCTAGAAGGTTGTAATACTATTGCGAAGGAGTTTGAGATTTACTCTTTTCGAATTTCAAATAATATCGTTACCATGCTATCATCGAAGTCTAGTGCGTGCTTGTACTCGGGGAAGGACCCTTATGCATAATGAACAACGAAATAACACGAGGTTTTAATTATTCACTGTCCACATTGTGTCCAGACTACAAAGCCTGATGGAGCTGAGACACTCTGACAAAATCCAGCATGTTGTACATCGTATAAATTGGCCACAATCGATGGAGCAGGATTCCCTCTAGGGAATGTCTCTTCGTGGCGCAGGCCGTCTCTGCCACGAAGTCCGAGAGCGAGGATGCCGCCAATATCTGCAAATTTTGGGAAGCCTTCAGCTGTCACAATGAAACTTTACGTGCGTGCAAGCGCCGAAGAGTCATGACTTACATTGCCTGGCAAGAAGTGAAATACGTGTGGATAACCTGTGGGCTGTAGCAATTTGTAAATGTCCCAATTCTTGGAAGAGCATTGATCGGATCCCTCAACAGTGCTTCAGTTGGTCGTTCTCCACCCGATGTTCGGAAAACCATGGCGACCACATGGGTCGGCAGAGGGTCGGCTTTCAGGTTGGAACCTAGCATCGACGGCTGGTATCGCGTCTTAATTCGACACCAGACGCGTTTTTGACCATGTGATATCAGGGGATGGGTACCTCTATTCTCTTGGTGACAGACCAGCGGGTTAAGAGCTTGTTATGCTCTCCAGCAACTTCAGTTGAGAAGTTATCAGCTAATTGAAATACCATGAATCTTCTGCTATCTGGGATTCTAGCGAACAGAAAATGCTTTTGAAGACTCAACTAGAGAAGGCAAATGTGTATTTGGGCGCGACGGCACTCGTTCGATATGACGTGGACTGACAAACGTAAACGCTTCACTAAATTCCACACCAAATTATGGCATCATGCAATACAAGTTGATACAGACAACTTCAATGTGGCTTTCAGCGCCACCTGATTCTCAGCTCACAGCTCCTCATGCGTGATTCCCCCATCTTCAGATGTAGTCATCCCGTCCCAAGGCTTGACCTTGCCCGCGCTGATATCATTCAAGAACGCCTCGACCACCGCCGACGTCAGGTTCTTGCTGCCCCTGTATGGGTAGACGCCGCCGGTGCTGGGGCTCGACACTGCTAATACCTTTGTCGACGCAGCCTGGTGGCCCATGACAGCCGGCATCTCAGGGTACTGGGTGACGTCCGTGGTTGCGAAGATGAGGTAGTCCTTGAATTTCTTGGCGAGGGGCTTGATATCGGCCACATAGGCGTCTCGATCCTCGTCGGCGGCCACAAAATAGTGTACGATGCTCTTGCCCACCTAGAAATTGTAACGGTATGGTTAGACACTCTGGATCCACGGCCCACATGCATGAAGCTTGAAGAGTTGAGTCACAAACTCACCCGCATGTACTCGGCTTCATTGCGCCTAGTCAGCTCCGGCACCAATGGGCGTGCACACTGCTTGACGAAGTTCTCGATTGCTGCTGGGTTTGAAAACTGTGTGGTGGAGAACTGCTCCTGGTTCGCATTGTTGACACATTGCAGGGACGAGCCATGGGATGCCACCGGTCCGATAGCAAAAGAGTGTCGGTCACGGTACAGGTACGCAACATCCATGTAGCGGTCTTCGAGGGCATAGTCTTCGTCCGAGAACTGAGCAATGAAAACTATGTCATCTGTGCTCGCAAATGTGGTGATGTTGTTCTCGTCCACCACCGATATCGGTGATCTCTTCATGCGCTCAAGGTAAGTTTGCATTCTGGTAACGGGTTAGTCGGGGGGCAACTGGAGCGATTGGCTATGTGTTGTGACATACTCTTTGGCTCTCCGTGGCCCACGATACCGTTCGAATGTACCGTCTTTCTGGTGAAGCCTGATGGTAGGGAAGGAGACGATGTCAAAGTCGCGGCATAGCTTTGCATGGTTGGAGCAGTCTACGGCAAGCACCATGCCCTTCTCTGCCGAGCTCTGCACTGTCGACCATTCCCTCTCGAGAGTTGCATAGCTTTCACTGCTAACAATGAGCTTCCTTCTTTTCAGAGACGCTCTGAAGCATGATTCTTACTCGGCTGTCTTCGTACAGAGATTCGGTCAGTGAGCACATCCACCAGCTTTGGGCAAGAAAGGCTTACCAAAATATCTGTAGACAGTAACATGTTAGAATCATTCACAGTGATAATTTGCCGCAGGTGCGTGACTTACATGCTACCAATGTTTGCTCATTGGTGCCGATAGCGTCCCGGAAAGCAGTCTCGTCAACTGTTGGCCATTTCGCCAGGGCGAGTTGGGACAGGAGACCGATCAGTGAATACGTCCTGGTGACTCTCATTGCGATAAACTACGAGCACTGTCTGGTGATAAAGTCACCTTGCCGAAATCATAACCACACAGAAATACCACGCTGGAAAGAAGCTTCTTTTCTACGAAGCGAATCGTGGGGTTGCAAGGATCCGGGGGATGGTGGAGTTCAGACAAAAATTGGACGAGGGTGTAGCATCAGGGGTCGCGCCAGTTGTTGATCAGACGGATCCGACCCCTGATGTGCTGACTTGGGAGCGGCGATGAGACCACAGCCGCAACTCGGGACAAGCGCAAGCGGCCCAGCAATGTTTCACCCATGAATCCCTACAGACCTCGCTTGAGACCCGTGAGATCAGCAGGGACACATTTGAGGTTCCTCACCATGCCGAGACTCATTCTCAAAAGGCACTGAGAAGCCGGTCCAGGCGAATAGCGATATCGACAACCAACGTCGGTCAACCGTTTGCCCATAATATTCCACCTGTTTGTGACCGAAGACACAATTATGAAGTTATTGGGGTCTTTTATTGTTGCAACTGCCATCCTCGGCAGGGCCAATGCAACCCAGAAGCCCTTGACCGATGAATACGTCTGCGAGCACCCTCCATACACCGTCTCGTTGGTGTCCAAGTCGCCGCTGGTTGCATATCTTCACAATTTCATCACCCCAAGTGAGAGGGCCCACCTGCAAGAAGTGACGTGAGTACCGCTTGCCATTTCTAAGTTCTCGTGCTCAAATACTGAACCATTTCTGTATAGCAAGGATAGCTTCTCCCGCTCCGGAGTCACGGGCGCCGATGGAGAGCACTCAGTGCGGACGTCACAATCCACATCCGTGACACCAGACGATGTTGTCCGGTGCATCGAGGACCGGGCACTTGGCTTCCAAGGCTACGATGTCCAGCGTAGCCATGTTGAGCCCTTACAACTGGTCAAGTACGGCACGGGGCAGCGATATCATTTCCATACCGATTGGTTCACCGACCCTGCACATGCCGCAGCAGACCTGGGCGGAAACCGAGTGTCGTCCTTCTTCGCCTACGTGCACGTGTCGAACGACACAACAGGGGGAGGGACAAACTTCCCGATGCTGGACGCTCCGAGAGATTCTCGTTGGTGTGCCACACTGGACTGCGATGAGCCGTACGAGAACGGGGTGACCTTCAGGCCCATCGAGGGCAACGCGGTGTACTGGGAGAATCTGTTCCCGAACGGCATGGGTGATGAGAGGACGCTACACGCCGGGTTGCCGGTGACGACGGGGCAGAAGACGGGCATGAATATCTGGACAAGACAGGGGCCGCTCAGCGAGGAGTTCAGAGGGGGCAAATGAGATTATCGGGGCCAGAGTGACCGAGGCAAAATAATGTTCACTCACTTGTTCGGCCGCTCTTCATTCCAAGTACGGGGAGGGTGTCTGCGAATATCATCCGGGTCAGAGGGTCAAACCCTGAGAACGAGGTGTTCCCTTCGTTGGCCCACGTTCATACTGCCGCGCTGGCTGATGCCTTGGAAACACGTCACCCGAAAGAAAAGAATATCGGAGCTTGAGGGCACGGGCATCAAATGCTGTTCAACCACAGGACGGAAGTCATTATGTCAGTCGTGGGGAAAGGAAAGGGGTCGAGAGTCGAGATGGAGCCTCAAGTCAAGCCCCGGTCAGTGCCGCGGCCTAACCGAATCGAGTTTCTGCCGAGGTCCGGGAAAAAGCGGCTACGCTCGGCGACGCTGACAGGTCGCCGGAACCTCCCTCCAACCGTCGTAGCATCTCATCTTGTCTTCACATGCCAGCTGGGTCTTGTTTCGCTGCACATCCTGCTCATTGATATATCACTTCCTGTCTCAACTGACCGTCTGTCCCCGTCGAGATCAGCAAGGAGAGATCAGCGGCCTAAGGAGTCCCCCCTCTTGTTTCGGCGCCCAGCAACCTTGAGCATCATGGTCGCCATCAGCAAGCGTCCATCCCTGACCGTTGTCGACAACCGCACGGGGAAGACATACGAGGTCCCCATCAAGAATAACTCCATCCTCGCGACCGATTTCAAGAACATCAAGGCCCAGGCAGATGGCAACAGAGCAGAAGATGAGACCGAGCAGGGGCTCCGTGTCTATGACCCGGCGTACATGAACACAGCCGTCGTCCAGAGCAAGATCACCTACATCAATGGCCTGGACGGTATTCTGAGATACCGGGGCTACCCCATTCAGCAGCTCGTCGACAAGAGCAACTTCCTCGAGACCGCATTTCTGCTCCTGTACGGAGAGCTGCCGACGACTTCCCAGGCCCGGAACTGGCAAAATGAGGTCATGCACCACACCTATGTCCACACGGACATCGAGGAGATGTTCAAGTCGTTCCGGTACGACTCACATCCAATGGCCATGATGACATCCGCTTTTGCAACCCTCGGTGCCTTTGCCCCAGAGTCAAACCCCTCGTTGGCCGGACAGAAGCTGTTCACAAATGCTGCGTCAGGGGACATGGAGTCACTGAAGCTGCTCGACAAGCAAATCCTGAGGATTATCGGAAAGGCGCCGACCTTGGCAGCTGCTTCGTATAGGATGCGCCAAGGCCGGCCGTTCAACCGACCTGCTCACGGGTTGTCCTACTCCGGCAACTTCCTATACATGCTCGACAATCTCTCAGGCAGTGAATACCAGCCTCACCCCGTCCTGGAAAAGGCCCTGGATGCGCTGTTCATAATCCACGCCGACCACGAGGTGAACTGCTCTACCGCGACCGTCTTGCAAGTCGGGAGTTCTTTGGTCGACCCCTACTCCGTAGTCGCAGCCGGATGCGCTGCGCTATATGGACCTTCGCACGGAGGAGCTTCAGAGAGCGCCATCCGCATGCTGATGGAGATTGGCTCCCCCGAGAATGTCCCGGCCTTTATGGAGAAGGTGGAGAAGCGAGAACGCGTCTTGGTCGGCTTCGGCCACAGAGTCTACAAGAACGTCGACCCGCGGTCAACGGCGATCCGCCAGCTCGCGGAGCAAGTCTTCAAGGTCACAGGCCGAAACAAGCTCCTCGATACGGCCTTGACACTCGCGGACTATGCGAGGAAGAGCGAGTTCATGAAGAAACGAAACCTCTATCCAAACGTGGACTTTTACTCCGGGCTGATTTACCAAGCAATGGGCTTCCCCCTCGATTTCTACCCCGTCCTGTTTGCTGTGCCACGATGCGTGGGGTGGCTCGCTCATTGGAGGCAGCAGATGCTGAACCCGTCGGGTGTGAAGATTTGGAGGCCAAGACAGATCTACCTCGGTGAGGGCGAGAGGGACTACGTTGAGGCGGACAAGAGGAGGGAGAAGTCCGGAGGCACCATCTTCGATGGCCCTGTTGCTGTCGAGCACGGTGGTGACAGCAAGAGGAATCAGCTTGCCACTTACAAGGATGAGCGCGGTCAGCCGCGGACGAAGAGCAAGTTGTGATCGATCAATTGATCGAGGTCAGAGATGTCCATCAGGCATTGCCCAGATTGTTTCAGCGGCATCATGTATTAGATAAGGTGTTCTGTGCCATAATTGAGACTGATATCCCTTATTTAACATGTGTGCTTATGATTTTCAATGTGACCTTTCTCGCCATGAATCCAGAGTAGCTATGGGGCTGCATACTTCCTTGTTCAGCAATATTTAGCCAAGCATGACTCAACAAATTTCATGCAAGCGAGGCTCCTCTTCATGCCTGCACACGATGTCTTTCATTATAGCAATGGTTGCGCCACCGAGGCCAAAATCAGCATCTCCGCGATCGCAAAGCGGTGAGCAGCTCTGCATTAGTAGAGGGCGCAAGAAACAAAGACCAAAGATATCGTTGGCCTGGCTACCCGGACACGTGTGTGGATCGACGATTGACGGCGTCAAAACGACCGAATCAAGTGCCCCTGGACAACGGCCCACGGGGACTGCAACCAAAGGGGCAAGTGGGCCAGGGCCATGGACGTGTGCATGAGATCGGTTCAACAAGCATTACCCGATCCACAGGTTTTTTGTCTCTGACAGCTGAAGGCCTTTTAACATCAATTCTTTCCCATACCGCCACTCCTTGCTGGGTTGAACACACCAAGCTCTATCACGAACAACCCTTCTTGCCAATTTTCTCATTTTTTGCGCCGCGCGTGACTCTTCTTCCCAGCTGTTTTGCGGCTTCTTTCTTTCGAGCTCGACGAACATATGAGGAAAGCGAGGATGGCCACTAGACAACCACCGGGGTCTATCTCAATCTCGAGGTACGATGCGGTTCCAGCGGCTGGTGAACTCAGTCCATCCGGCACCTTGAGCCCTGGCGGCCATGGAGGCGACAACGCAAGGAATTACGTCGACAGCCCGGGGTCTCGAAACAACGAAACGGGGTACTTCGGGACAGTCCCACTTTCGCCGATGTCCGAGGACAGCACAGCACAGCCCCCAGCCACGCACCCGTCTCAGTACTACCGTGATGCGCCGAGGGCGCCATTCGCTCGAGACACCGTCATATCTGGTGTCTCAGGCTTCTCGGGCGTCACGGACCACTCCGGGAGGACGGTGGGATCGGATCCTGCGGCGCCGATGCTGCCGGAGAACCTCAAATCAGCGTTCGACGATGATGTACCAGAGAAGCCGAAACAAAGGGTTGTTCTTTGTGGAATCAAGCGATCCAATTTCTTCATACTTCTGGTCCTTGTTTTATTCCTCATCGGAGTCGGGGTCGCTGTGGGCGTGGGCGTGGGACTGGGCATGCCGAAAACAGACAACTCGAGTCCATTTTCGGAGCAGCCGGAGAAAACAGCTTCCTCGACAGATTCATCAGCTGTACCAACTGCAACAACAGAGGCGGTATAGTACTGAAACAAACCACCTAGCATTGAATTTTGGCCCCCTCAAGCAGTCATGGTAAAGGACAACTTGAGCTTTCGGTGGCAGATGCTTCCCAAAGTGAGGAAAAGTTTCTTGAAAAGAACCGTTCCATACAGCAAATTCCGTGAAATCGTTGCTCCTTCATTCAGGGCAAATCTCATGCTGCAAAACATCAAAACTAAGCGAAAATGTTGATTCACACGATATTCTAGATCCAGACCAAAGGTTGAGCCCTCCTTGTTGTTGTGAAGGATTGGGTTCCGCAAAACCTGCGATGTTTGTATTTAAAGTGGGCGTAGGGGCTAGAATTCTGACTGCAGAGAAAGCCCCAGAGAGCTTTCTTTCATGCGTATGTAGGGGAGCGTTTGCAGATCCTAAAGTTCTGTTCTATTAATGGCCGCATCATATCAGCCTGTAATGAGATGAGCTGCTGTTGGAAACCCGTCATGCCGTAGGATAGATAGCCTACCACTACCTTTAAAGGATGGAACACACTAATCTCTTGATTAAATGGGTGCATTATTTGATTTAAGTATCTGACTTCTAGGTTTGGTCGCGAGATACAGGTACCAAGAGATGTGGCCAGCCTTGATTTGCATGTCTTATAGTGTAATCTATCCACCTTTCACCTCGTCTACATCATGTATGCGAGCATCTAACTAGATTACTTGACACAAGCCCTCTTACTTCCTTCCTTCTGCATTCAACGAGACAGTCACTGGCCATGGAATGATCTTTAGATCCGGCCAGATGGCTCGCCACCTTGCGGTTTTCTTCTCGTAGGCTGCACGAGTCCCGCTTGCCGGGTTCGGACGCACTGTGAGGTTGAGGATGTCGGTAAAGCCCCAGGGAGCAAACACTTCCCAGTCGCCGTCAGGCAGCAGCCGGACACCGAACAACGCCGTCCCAGACAGCCATGACATTATCGCTCCTTCGGTCGAGGTATGCTGTGGACATGGGATCCCGAATTTCTGCGGATACCAGAGATGTACTCGGGCTTGATTCCTGATCTCGACCCTCGCGGGGAGACCTACGAAAACCCTGGCGCCTTCTTGAATGACGGAGTCCTCCGCTTCCCAGGACAGGTCTGAGTCATCGCAGTAAATGAGGTCGTAATCATCAATCCCGTTCTCTGGATCCTGCTCTGTGACGTGGTTCCAGACTGACTGAGTCAGAGCGCCGGCCGCTAGGTACCAGCCCGGAAGGTTCATGGTGGCGGCGCGGCGGAGGACTTCCATCAGCGTAGGGTTGCGCTCCAAAGCGGCACGGAATCGCGCTGCTTCGTCCTCTGTGTGGGGTCCGTCGATTTGCATTGTCATTGGGCGCACGTGGCTTACGTGACAACAGGTGCTGTGACACTAGGTCAAACCGTGTACTGCGCAGAAGCTGGGGCAAGTAGTCATGCCAGGCATGAAGTTCGGAACCGTGTCTGCGCTTGGACACGCCACGGGTGTCGGTTGTCGTCGGTCAAACCAAGGCGTCTTGGCGTGGATCTAGACGCGGCCGAACCCTCAGGGCTTATCTGGCCCGAAGGCGACTATTTCCAGATTCAGGAAAGATGTTCAAGTAGTAGACGATGGAACTAACTACCCCAGATCTTATTTTCTTTTGCCTTTTTACCTGAACAGCTGAACAGAGACATGTTGGAACATTTGCCGAGAAGCGAGTCCGGCATCAGGTCATATTAGTCCGACGGGCATAGCCGTACGAGTTTGTTTCAAACTGGGCCAGTAGGGTGACCGGCGGTGGTTGAATTGTGTGCTGATGTCCCAGAATTGTGACTTTGAATATAAGAAAACCCTAGTGATCATTGAATGGGCGACTGCATTTATGTGAAACATTGAGGACATGTCGCACCACAACATTCTAGGTCACATGCTGTCTGTGGCTCTGGATGAAAAGCTCGCATGTAGGTGCGATAATGGAAACAAGTGGTTCTACACAAGCATGTGGCTTATTTTAACAATATCTAAGCTGTGTACTGTAGCTTAGGGTGGAAGAAAGCGGCTAGAGGAGCATAAATTTATAAGAAGGTCGCTTTTGCTAGGAGGGCCAATGACCTTGAACCCCATGAGCTGTCTCCGGGTCATCCTCCTTCAGCCTGGGGGACCCGGGACCAAAAAGCCTGGTCCACGGCCACCCTTGACGCCGTCACAACCATCAATGCCCTGTGCTGGTCAAACATCACTACAGGAATCAACGTTTTTGTTCTTCAGAGACAGGACACACCTAACACCCATGCCCTGTCCAAACCCCGGCTCTATGCCATAACGTACCCTCACCCAATTCCAACCACCCCAGATTCCAACCGCCCTCGCCACTCACAAATACCACTATTCCTAACTCAATTTCCTACCATAATTATGCAGAAACCCTCTTCCATTAGTATTAAGGAATTATTTAATTAATTAGCCTTATTTATAAATACCTTATTAATATTGTTAGATTGGGTGGCCCGCTGTAGACCGACCATTAAAGCATATTAAATAATGAGTGCCTTAAGTAATAACACTAACTCTGGTAGAAAAGGCCAAACCATTAAAAAGAAGGGGGTTTATTAAAATAAAGCAGAACAATATATAATTAAGTTATTATTAAAACTTATTTAATTATTCATAATATCGATAATTATATATAATTTAATAATTAAAAGTTTTACTGCCTTAAGCTAATTAAATTATAGTAAATTAAATTAATATTAAAACCTTAAATACTTTTTTAACAAAGCTTAAAAATTAAAATAATTAAAATCATAAATTTAAACTTTAAGTTTAAATATAAGGGCTAAATTCCTATATTATAAATAAGAAACCCTTTTTTTTATATCTTAAAATGCCTAATATTTAATAAAAGAAATGTATTAAAAAACCATATATATTATAAACTATATAATTTTAAATAATACATAATAAAAAGGAGGATAAAGATATAATTTAAGAAAGGGCTATAAATAATTAAATAATGTTAAATTTTATTAAAAGTAATTAAAAAATATTTAACTTAAACCTATTATAGTTTAAGCAATTTAATATAATTTATAAGAAAAGGTATTAATTTATAAAAGAACTTATTAAGTAAATACTTTAAATAATTTCCTTAACTTATAAAAGTACTTATTATATTATAAATAAATATATTTAGGAATAATATTAAAATTTAAAAGAAAAGTATAAAATATTATTAATTAATAAAAAGATAAAATTAAAAATAATATATAAGAATGCCCTTAAATTATTATAAAATATTAAAAAGGTATATATATAAATTAATAAATAAAAAGCATTTATAATAAGAAGTTTTTAAAAAGGACTTTTTAATGTTAAAAATATAATATTATAAGTATTAAATTTATTATAAGTAATGTAAAGATTGCTGCTTATATAAGTAATATTCTTTAAATAATTTAAATAATAAGCTATTATAAATAAAAACCTTATATTTTATAAAGTTAAAAATAATTTTTATAAGGAATTAGCAGCTTATAACTTATAAAAAATTATTAAAGCTTTAAAAAGGGCGTTTATAATTATTTATAATAATAATAAAGATTATAATAATAAGAATAAAGATACTTAACTTATTAAAGATTAAGAAGTATTATTATAAAAAAGCATAATTAAATTATATAAAGGCTATATTAAAAAAAGCGTTATTAACTTAAAAAAGAAAATATTTTAAATAAAAGCTGCTTTGCATATAATATACTTTATGCCTTTATAAAATATTATTATATCTTTTTTAAGAAGGCTTACTTTAAGTAAAAATTAAAAAAAGAAATTTAAGAAAAAATAAAGTAAGCTTTTAAAAATAATGCTAATTTATAAGTATAAATTTAAGTTATTAAAGAATTAAAGTTTAAACTAAAGTTAAGAATTTTAAAATTAATTAAAATAAAAGTAATTAAAGAAGTTAAAGATTAATTTTTAAGATATTATATTATTAATATAAAAGTTAAAAAAGCTTTCATAATAAATATAAAAAATACCTTTTTAATACTTAATAATACTTAATTTAATAAATATAATTTTAATTATAAATAATAATAATAATAAATTATTTAATATAAAATTAATTATATATAATAATTATTTATAATTTCATAATTATTAATTCTTTATCTTAAAATATAATATTATAATAATTTATTATAAATTAATAATTCTTTACCTTAAAAATATTACTTTTTACTTAAAGTTATTAATAACTTTAATATTTTTAAAATAGCTTTAAAGAAAAGGCATTTATTAAATTAATAATTCTTTACCTTAAAAATATTACTTTTTACTTAAAGTTATTAATAACTTTAATATTTTTAAAATAGCTTTAAAGAAAAGGCATTTATTAAAGTAATAAATATAACTTAATAACTCTTAAGTAATAAAATAAATTAACTTTATATTAACTTTAAAATATTTATATTAATATATTATTAAGTATTAAATTAATAAAATTTAAAGTATATTTAATACTTAGTAAAAAAGTATATATTTTATATTAAATAAAAATTACTTATTAATAAAGTTATTTTTTAGCATAGTTAAATAAGGTATTTAAGCTTATATATATTTAAATATTTTATATCTTTATTTTAAGGGGTATGTATTTAAGGATTAATAATAATTAAATATAAAGTATATGCTTTAATTAAGATTATAAGGTAAATATATTAAGTATTAAGGGAGATTTTTAAATAAAAAGATAAAGAAATTACATTAAACTTTTATAATTATATATTATAATTACTACTTATATATAAGTCTTAAAATATATTTAAAATTATTACCTTAAAAATTAAAAAAAAGTAAGATAATTCTTAAAATAATAAAAATATAATATAAGATTATTATTAAAGTTATTAAATATAATATTAAAATCTTTATATAATAATAAATAGTTAAAAGCTTTTTTAAATTAAAATATGTTAAAATTAAGCTCTTAATATTAAATATATAAGTTTAAAATAATAATATTAAATACTTAAAAAATATAATTAAAAAGAAAATATAAATAATATAAATAAGCTTAAAACCCTTATACTTGCTTTAATTAAAAATTAAATATATAATTATATATTTTAATAATAAAATGCTAAGTTATAACTTTAAATAAAAAATATTATATTATAAATTTTAATTAATAATTATAAAATACCTTAATATATTATAATTAAATTTAAAATTAAATTAAGCATACTTATAAATCTTTAATTATAAGGTATATATAATAATTTTAAATATATAACTTAAGAAAAAAAGATATAAATATTTAAAATTATAAGCATAAATTAAATATTTTATTAAATATTAATCTTTAAATATTTATTAAATATAAACTTCCTTTATTAAAAAGGTAATTAATATAAGAAATATTATTTTTAATAAATATTAAGTATTTAATAAAAATTAAAAAGGGTTTAAAAATAAACTTTTAATTATAAATATTAATTATTTAATAAAATAAATAAAGAAATATTCTTTTTTAAATAAAGATAAAATCTTAAAATTAAAAGGGAAAGATTTACTTAAAGTAAATACTTAAGGAAATGAAACTTAGTTTAAAATTAAAGAAAACAAATGCTTTAAAGTAAATTAATAAAACAGCGCTTATATAAATGCAAAATTTATCCTTTTACTTATACCTTAATAATTATTATTATTTATATTCTTAATTTATATAATTTAAATAAAAATAAATAATAAAACTTTATTTAATAAAAAAGTTTATTAAACTTTTATATAATAAGTTATATTTCTTATAAATATAAAAGTTGCTTTAATAATAAAGTTAAATAAAAATGTTTTAATAAAATTTAAATAAAGAAATATTTATATTAAGAAGTAAAAATATATAAAAGTAATCTTTTAAACTTATTAAAATAATATAATAATTTAAAAAACTATTTATTTAAAGCGTTATTTAAAAAAATAAAAGCTAATTATTTATAAAGTTATAAAGATATAAAGTTATAAATTAAAATTAATAAAAGAAATATTTATATAGCTAAAAAATAAATTTTAAATTATATATAAGTTTATATTTATAAGTTTAATAAATATAATATATTTTAAAAATATAAAGCATAACTTATTATTAAGAGAAATTAATAAGTATAAAGATAAATATAAGATATTTATATTATTATTTTTATTAAATAATTATTTTAAATGCTTATTATTATTATATTTAAGTTTAATCTTAAATTAATTTAATATAATATTATTAATATATTTATTTATACTTTAATAAATTAAAATATTTTTATAAAAATACCTTATAAATATAAAAATAAGAAAATAATCTTATTACTTAATAA